AGGTCCTCCCTGTGATTCAGAATCACGACAGTGTTTCGACTCTAAACGATGATCAGACACTGTTGGTTATGGGCGAACTCAATATTCCGGGCTTCGGAGACGCATCTGCTGCCCTGTTCAACGGCACGGCGGTCACGCCCTTCATCCTGTCCACGCAGTCCAACGGCCAGCCGGGCAGCATGTCGCAACTGTTCTCCGAAAAGCAGAACCCGTACTCTAATAGCAGTAAGTTCCACATTTTGCCCTGACCATGAAGCCTCCTGTTAACATGAACCTCAGCTGGACACCACTCCAACGGCATCGTGGTCCTGGTCGCCTTCTGCTGCGCATTGGGCTGCGTTTTCCTCATCGTCGTCGCCGGCGTCATCCTGAACAAGGTCCAGCGTCGCCGCCAGGGCTACACGGCCGCTCCGCAAAGTTTCGGCACCGACCGACCCACCGACATGCAACGCGTGCCTCCGGAGTATCTCTTCAACTCGCTGCATCACCCACAACCCGGTGTTCCAGCCGTTTAATGTTTTTATCCCCTCTACCGATTGATCCCTTTTGAAAAATCGGCGTTCTTCGGAAGCAACCGCTGCTCTCCCATGGATACCCCCACCCGCTTAATGTCTTGCTATTTGCTTCCTCATCATGCGTTTTTTCTCTCTGTTTCGCAATAGTTCGCGCTGGCCCTCTCCGCGATCTCTCCCCCTCTCTCTCTGTGTCTATCTTCGAGATTTCTCATTCTTTGTTTCTGGCAACCTCTGCCCATACCGTCTGTCCGTGCTGACACTTTTATTCCGTTGTGAATACGTTCCTGTGTTGGATTGGATGTACACTAGCCGAGGTTATAACATGTAGATAGCTACGCGAGCGTGGCAATGGATGATATTAGTCTGTTCAATTAACCGAACATAGTTAATAGTTAAGAAGCCCATACTTAGTAACAGGAGTGGACCTGATCTGTTGGGGGCCGAGCCCCGGGTCACCTGGTTTCCCCGCAATCTCCAGTTCTGGCGCGCCCCAAAGGGGGCTGCTTTTTTTCTCGGTCTGTCTTTTCTGTTTTCCACTCACCCCTTCTTCCCACCCGGACACCAGCCTCTGATCATCTCAGATGCTGCTGCTTGGCTTTTGTTCGTGACCCGGCATGCGATCCCGAACTGGCTGGTGAGTGCATCTCGTGTCTGGTTGCGACTAACTAACCGCCTCATCCTCTAGTTTGACGTGCCGGACTCGGAAGCTGAAATGTAAGCCGATCCCCGCCTCGCACATCGCTCCGACAGAAGCTGACAGACTTCATCTTAGGTGACGAGCAAAAACCCCAGTGCTCCCAATGCGCCAAAGGCACGCGCGAATGCCGGTGGGGTGAGGGCGTCGTGTTCCGTCACCAACAGAATGCCTCGATGAACGATGGTAGCGGGGACGGAAATCTCAAGGGCTTCTACTCGTACAAGAACACCTTCGACAAGGACAGCGTGTGGCTCAGTATTCCCAAAGATGGTATGTTTTCTTCTCTTCACATTAGTTAGTGGGCTGGCGCTGACCGGGTTCCCTTTTTGGCGATCTAGTCATCTTCGTCGACAACTCCGATCCCTACGCAGATGACCTCGAGGTCTCGCTCGCAGAATCAGGACAGAGCCACCGCCGATGGGGCAGCGCCACGACGGATTCCCGACCGTCAGACGCAGAAACACATGGCCTGGAAGCCCTGTCCGCGGCGGTCGCGAGCCATGACCACCGATTTCCGTATTCGCCATTAGACCACCACTCCGTCTCGGCGGATAGCCCGTCGTATCATTCTCCGAATCAGACCCGAGCCATGCCTCCGCCGGCTTCGCCGTCCATCTCGCTTCCCTCCAACAGCAGTAATACCAATCATAATAGCAACAGTAAACTCAACTTCCTGCTCAATCCATCCCATTCCATGTCGCCGCCGATGGATCCGAGTATTGCTGATCGCGCAAGTTCCACCTTGCCATCGCGACCGGTGGCAACGACACGGGGCATTGCCGAGAGTAACGGAGAGTCGGATTTCGAGGTGGCCTTCTTGCTGCGGCATTATAGTGAAGTGCCGGGGTTATGGTACTTTCTTCTCTTTTCTGTCTGGTTGACACCATAGCTGACCCTCTTGCAGGATGGATTTGTTCGACCTAGGAACGTATTTCGCATCATACGTGCCCGCGAGAGCGCAGTCCAACCCTTTGCTCAAGTACGCGGCCTGCGCATACGCGGCGAAACAACTGGGCCGAGTCAAAGGCGCCAAAACTGCCATGGGTGGTGTATGCTCACGGCAAGCCACGATGGAAGTGTGGCCGGAGAAGCACGAGGACTGGATCTGGTGCGGGGCCAAGTACTATGAAAAGGCCATTCAACTATTGATGAAAGAGTTGCAACCAGACACGGAGGGTCCGCCGCCGTTAAGCACACCCGAGGCCTTTGGGCAATGGCAGGCAGCTGAACTTTGTGGAAATCCAGAAAACCCGCGGAAGCGCAGAAGACGCGTCTCGAATAGTCGGCTTTCTCATGGGGTTCATTCAGATGAGATCCTGGCTGCCACGGCAATCTTGTCGGTATATGAGTTTCTGGATGCAACTGGTCCGGCGTGGAATCGGCATTTGAGTGGCGTCAAGTCGTTGTTAGATGTCGCCGAAGTAGGCATGATGCCTCTTGAACAACTCGCGTCGCCGGGAGATCAGTCGTATCAGCCGCAAAAGAAGTCAGGGCTTTCCAAGGCGAGGAAAGCGACGTTCTGGAATTTTGCGAGACAGGATTATTTGGCTGCCTGTGAGTTTCCCTTGGGGTGGTGCTTCTTAATATGAACGCTGACGGGGGGTTGCAGTTATCAATGAGAGCCGTACGAGACTAAATCCGGATGATCTCCTATTGTGGACCGAAGCCGGACTGCATATCGACGGCATGGGCTTTATCTGTCCAAGCAACACCAATGCAACAGGATACCCCGAAGGCGACGACGTCATGAAAGAGGACTTGATCTGCAACGCGCTCATCTGGATCGGGTCCAAGATAGTCAACTTCATCAGCGCGGGCGACAGCATGTTGAATGGCCAGTCCTCCCAGTCCGGTCCCCTCGGAGTCTCACAGCAAGTCCTCCTTGAGCGATGGTACCGCCTAGAAAATGAGCTGGACAACTGGTACAACGGCCTCCCCGCAACATTCCAACCCAGCGCAAGAGTCGACCCCACGCGGGTTGCGCAACTCAAGCCCTCCGAGGAACTAGAAGATCAAGCCACGCTCCAGGAAATATGGTTCAGTCTGGCCATGTGTGCATCAAGCATGCAGCATTACCACATGGCGCGGATTCTGCTCCTGATCAATAAACCGCACGAATCCACCAGCCGCAGATCGACCATCACAAACAGACTCAATTCGTACCGCTCCATCGAAAACGAGATCCGTTTTCATAGTCGTGAGATTCTGGGGATTGCCCTTGCTCGCCCAGAGGGCAGCGTGCGCATTAACTCGCTGCAACCTCTCTTCGTGGCGGGTCAGTGCCTGACAGATCCGCGCGAGCGGAGGATGACCATCCGGCTGTTACGGGCTATCGACGCTGATCTGGGCTGGGCAACTGAGTACCGTGTCAAGCAGCTGCTCAAGGAATGGGGGTGGAACGAGGGGGTATCTCATTTGCCCGAGACATGAGCGGCGTTGTTTGTCGTCGAATTAAGAAAAACACTCGAGAGTGTTCTCCTTCTGGAGACGAAGAGACAGAACAAACCACACAAATCGGACCATTCCAGAAGCTTTGTTTGGATCAAGCCTGTGACGAACTCTCGCTGGCGAAAACCCCGTCCTTCGCCTACCAGCGACTGCAAAGCCGTGAAGGCTTTGCTAGCAAATCGAGGAAAGGGACCAAAGAGCACAAGCTTCTTGCCAAGATCTGACATGGTCCACTGCGCTCGAAACACGGTGGCGAAGGACTGAAGGTTAACTCTGAAACCGGACATCGTCGCGCTGAGAAGCGAAAGCCGTCTCTTTCAAGTTTATCCATCTTGACCAACACAAACGCCGACTCCTATCCCGCCCCTCCTCAGATTGCGCCGAGTACGCCATTTAGATGATCCCCATTTCCATGAGATCGTCGCACTTACACGCAACCCCGGGGGGACCCCGATCCTGTCTCGCGTAGACGATGAGACTTGGCAGCTGCTGTGATTTGAACAACGCAGTGTGTGTATGAATAAGACAATGCTTCGCACTGGGTTGGAACATGTTGGTAACAACAACGAAAGACAACGACGCGACGATCCCACTTGTACAGATAGTTAATTCAATTCAATCATATACCCAGCTAGATTGCAGTGGGAGGGTCAGGGCAGGGGAATGGCGTCTATGAAATATTTAGAGCCCCCCAGCATCATGAAATTGAACATCATACCTACTACTTAAGTTAGCCTTGCCTTCGATCATTTTCTCTGGTGGGTACCATGATCGGGTTACCTCCTCTTTCTGTTATCCCGAATCCACTTTCGGGTTGGTTTTGGCAGCGTGGCGAACTTGCTGTAGGTGGTGGAGTTATGCACTAGTGTCCATAGTCTGCTTTCTATTTTGTTTCTCTTGTTTTGCTTATCCTCCTGCAGGTTCTCACTTTCTATACATCTGTCGTGCTGATATTGCCTTCGGACTTGCGGTGGAAGGTTAACCGACGGCATTCTTCTTTCCCTTAATTCCTCTTCTCTCTGCCTATCCCTGGCCCCTTTCCACGATAAGAAGAGAGCGTTAAACGGGATTAACTTTTTTTAATGCATCTCTCTCTGTCGATGTCGATCAATCGCTCCGCCATGTTTCATGGAGAGCAAGTATGGCGAACACCTGCGGCGGGGTGGCTTCCCAAGCACACGGTGGGTTACCTTCGTCACCCACTCGCTGTCTTCCTTTGGGGGTGTGATGTCAGTTCACGATGGATAACGTGCTCGGCTGGTAGATCATTTACTGATATGTACAGGGGTCCACTGCCGGACCCAGCTCCACATGAAGCTACAGATATGGGCTCGTTCATCTTAGCTGCTATTATGTACGCCGTGCGGCTCTTTGAAAGATGTAATGTGATGAGCGCTGGAATGTCCTGCTTCGATTTTCAGCGGTTTAGAATAGGTGCGGTGATTCTTGGACCAGCTTTTCTTGCCGAATATGAATGCGGACCCGAGTTTCCCTGTTGAACTCGAGCTGGAGCCGCAGCCGAAGTATGAGCAGATCGGCCATCTCTGGATGACCTGGACCTGCGCGATATCATGAACGGTACTGCGTGCACCGAGTTCTGAGTTGCAAACCCATGCCATGGACACAGACAACCCGGTCGTTGCCAGATCATGCAAAATTTCTTGCTTGATTGGCTCAAAGCAAAGCAGGCCAAGTTCAATGCCGTACAAGATCTCATCAGAATCAGGTGTTTGCCGCTGAGAGTTGCTTAGACACCTTAATCGTCATGGAACTGGCCGACTCGAGCCTGTGCTGCTCGACCTTCCTCTTTGCACATAGCAACTTTGAACAGGCAAGTTGAATTCCTTTACATCCATCTTTATGCTCATCTCCACAAACGTTGTTTGGAACGCTCCATGCCGACTTGAACGTGCACTGTTTAAAGTCTTCTCTTTGCTTATCCTTGCCCACTCGTGGATGCGCAAGCCGAATCCGGCTTCCATTGTTCATCCCGATATGCATCAGCCCATTCGGCTTAGCCTCGACTTCTTCATTATCTGATTCATCTTGATATCCTTTCTCTTTCATACTCGCACTCATCTTTGTATCGAACCTTTCCTCGAACTGATCGTTGGGGTTACCCAGTCGTATGCTTCGAAGTTCCTTTACCGTCATCATCTCCATTCATCCTTTTTCTTCTGGTTCCATTTCTCATTGTGCACATCCCTCTCCTGGCACCCGCCCTTTATTTCAGTTCAACCCGAGATCCGCTCACAACATCCCTTTCTGATCTTGATCTCTGTACATTTGCATCACTTCTCGCACCCCCAATCCTCGTATCTCCGACCCTTTACCCTTTTTCATTATTCTTCCACTCAGCCATATCCTCATACTGACACTCGACCTTCCATTCAGCTCGACATCCACTACCCCAATCAATCTTTCTCTTCCAGTCTGTAAGGTATACCTATCCTTTACCTTTCTCTTTTAACTTATCCAAGTCATTCAGCTCAAAATCCCCTTCACCATCATCCTCTACATATGTCTTTCTTCGTCTCCTGATAATCATCTTTCACCTCAGCTCAACACCCGTCATCGTACTCACTCAAACTGGTCTCGAGCTCTCTGTATGTTTGCATCAGTCCTCAAGACCCAATCTTCATCCTTCCAGTCCCTCTCATATACCTGCACTCAGCCATATCCCCGTACTAACACTCAGTTTTCAATTCAGCTCGATCTTCATCATCCCAATCAACCTCCTTCATCCCCCTGTGAGTTGAACCTAACCTTTACCCTTGTCTTTTTACTTGTTCTCTCTCCTCTCTTCCCTCTATCCGCATCCAAAATCAGCCCTATCCCAAGTTCCCTAAGAACGACTGCACCCGAATCATTATCCATCCCTGATCAAAACCTGATATCTTGACAGTGACAAGAACAGACAATACCGTCACCTCGCTTCTTTCGGAGATCTCTACGACCTCACCCTTTTAGACTTCACTCTCTTCGGCCCACACAATTGCCAGTGACCTTCATCGCATATTTGGTAAGTATCTCCATTTCAGGTTTTGATTGTGCTTTTATCTCTATACTCCTACACCTTTTCACACTTCCCTCGATCAAACCCTGCCTTCTTCTCACGCTGCACCTTCCTTCATTTGTTTCTCATTTCTATCAGTCTCGCACTGCCTCTTCCTATGCTTATGCAAATCCTACAGGCAAAGAACTCGAGCTGAGACTTCTATCAGCAAGGCTAAATGAAAAATAAAAAATCCCAAGGTCCCACATCTGGCTCTATCATCAAGATGCCGCCCAAAATCAAAAAAGAAAACGCGAGGCGACTGTTAGCGCCAGGCCCCGAAAGGTAAGAGATGAATTTTTATTCACCCTTTTCAATCCTAATGCAGTATAGGTTCGACGCGGCGCGAAAAAGCCTGGGAAGAAACAGCTCCATGAAGAACCGGGCGATCCAGAATCCTGTGATACCTTCCTACAATGCAAGGGCAATGAGCAGAAAACTGCCGCATATTTGGGGTTCTATTATACCACGGATCTGAGATTTTTTGCTATTTCTTGGCCAGTCCTAAAGGCATACGTTCATGCCCACGATTTCATGTCTTCTGAGAAGAGACAAGAATACCCGAAACGACAGGTCCTCGAAGTGATCAAACTGGACGAAACCAGGATCTCAAAGGCAGATCCTGCAAAAGATTGGGATTACAACGAAGAAGGTGAGACAGAAGAGCGTCAGAAACAGATGAAAACACGACATCTCGCATACCATCTGTTGAATCTGGAAGGAGATGTGCAGGAGTATCGGAACAACACGCTTCAACACAACAAAGATCTGGATGCTGAATATAGGACCAAATTCAACGCTCTGGGCGAACCTCAGGTGCCTTATGAAGAATTTGAAATTCGCAAACCTCCAGAGCTTTTTCGTTATTCGGAAAAAGAAAGTCGGCTAGAGAGTATTAATCGGTGCTACGCACTGCTGCAATACTTGAAGCACAGCGTGACCCATCCCCATATTTGGGATGGAAGAATGAAGTCTCTCGAATCCATTCGAGAAGGCGTTCATGTGCACATCAGCCATGTTCCCGGATGGATGCAAGTTGAAGAGGATGAGACTGGATTGCCGTTTCCTCCTGACGATGTCTCTGATGATGAGGTTGATAACAAGCCTCTCTCAGTCAGAGTCTTTTGGTATCAAGATAAAATGCTTCCCGGACATGAAGGCCTGGAAGAAGCAATCCTGAACGGCAAATCACGCGATTTTAAGATACCATCATCTGATCAATCCCTTTCCAAGGACCCTAGGCTCTGCAAGTCTGGCGGGGTGTTTAGGGACATGATTCGCAAGATGTTCAACTGTCAAGAATTGCGTCTGGACATTCGAGACCTCGAACTGCGGTATACATCGGCAACAAACGAATGTGGAGCCTCGAAAGATCTCCTAAGTTGTGAATGGGAGGAATGCAAAGCCGTCTTTGCGAGTGACGAGAATACCGACTTCGTCATCAAATTGGTGCTTTATGCAGTCGAAGACCCCAGCGCAGACATTCTTGAAAGCGACAACTTGCAGCCAGAGTTGGAGATGATGGCCAATGACGATGGAAACGCCGGTGAGATATCCCAACCAGGTCCTGAGAAGGCCAATGCCTACTCACTCCGTGGAATCTTTGGATCAAGGAGCTTTGCGGGCCTCCATGGCACTGGCGGGGCGCCAAAGCCGCGCAAGTTCAGCAAAAGAGAACAGTCTCTGAAATATTACGGCGGGTTTAATGTGGCCTCTGAATCTGGTCGCACAGGCTGGCAAAAGTCCATGCTGCATGATGTGGCAAGGATGGTTCCGCCTCATTGCGTCAAGCGTGACAAGCCACCGCATGACTTTACGTCCGCTGAAAAAGCAGCAGCCACAGAAGCTGAGTATCAGGCAGAGCGTCTGAGGGCCGAGGATCATAGCGAGCCTAAGGTAAATTTACTAGAGCCTGACTGCCAGTTTCACCACTGATTTCATCTCTAGAGCAAGAAGAACGTTGACTACTATACTCAACAAAAAGCGTTCTCGGGCACGGAAAACCGGGTTGGACCTCCCGTTGATTTGTGCTTGGATCTCCTGCTCTGTGAATTGGAGGGCGATCGATACCGAGCGACTTTGTTCCAGGAATTTACTCACAACATCACATTCTATCACTATCAGATCTCTGGCGCGGTCGGACTTATCCTCAAGCAATATGGCGAGATAGACGCAAACAAGCTCATCGGCAGTGCGGGACTCGACTCAAATGACCCTCGTGCTGAGAAAGTCAAACTTGCAGCCAAGAAGCTAACTGATCTCCAAACCCATTGCGTTATCTTAGCCGACGAGACCGGGTTTGGAAAGACAATAACATGTCTTCTTATGCTTCTGATGCGCACTATGCCTACCGAGATCATGAAGCCAACACTGCTTGTAGTTCCCGCCACTGTCATTGGCCAGTGGCTGACTGAAATTCGTGGACATTGGCCTTGCTTCCGTCCGATTCTCTCCTACAACGATAGCGAATGGGAAGACGCTCTTGGGCTTGACTCTATTCCAGCGCAGGCAATGCGTGACCCAGAACACAACCTACCTCCTAGCTTGAACTGGCTCTTTGATGAGGATAACCTCGAGGCTTCGAAAGCAATTGTTGTTACCACCTACAACACCCACCTTCGTCGATCCCTGTACCGGGAGAGAAACGATTGTATAGACGAAGGAACCACTGGCCAGCCCCGATCAGCCGAGAACCAAACACGCTGTCAAGGGAAATTCGGAGTTCTCATAGCCGATGAGGCGCAGCGCTTCAAAAACAAAGCCTCAGCAACCTGGGCTATGCTCTTTGCTCACCGGTTTGAGAAGGTTGTGGCTGTGACAGCTACACCAATGTTCAACTCAATCAAGGTAAGATCTTGGCCTTACGGGTTTCATCTGGATATTTTCACTACTCATACTTTTATATAGGATATTCTCGGCTTTATTGAGCACTTTTGGCAGCTTGTCGAGCCAGAGTTGGAATTTCGGAAGACCCAAGACGACTGGAGAGAAGATGAGCTTCCTAACGGAAAGCAGTCCCCCAGCATGAAGATGGAGAGATTTGCTGGACTTGAGCGCTTGGATCCAAGACGTCTCAAACTCCTAAACCCAAAACTAATTCATCGCGTTTTGAGAAGTGAGAGCGACCAGCACAAACGGGTAGCTGAATATCTTGGGCTGCTGTTTGACTTGGTTATGATTCAACGTGGTCATGCCTCTGTGCTTCCTCAAGAGTCTGGCAAAGGGATCTCGTTCAAGGATATGGTCCCAAAATTGGAGTGGAGCACGGCGGACGTGAAGCTTTTGCCTCATGAAATACAGGAGCATCAAGTCTTTCATCGGTTGGCTGCAAGGTCAGTCTGTTATTATGGAGAATTTCAGGTTTGATCTAAGTTCTCGCTGACCCTTGATATGTAGCCTCTATACTTCGGAATTTGTCAAGCGGAGCCGCGCCAATTTAATCTACGCTCTGCGTCAGTTTAGTATCCTCAGCTTTTCAATCATAGGCGCTAGACTCAACCGGCTCATGGAGGCAACTAAAGGTGACACCTATGTACGCCAGCTTGCTCATTGGCGTGTGCAACACAAGGCGGGCGAATTCGTTCACAGAATGACACGCAGAAAGGGTGAAATAGGCAGAATCAAGGTTGCCCGGGACCTCATCAGGTATCTTGCACACGGATCTCCAGCAATTCGCTTGGTTTGCAAGCAGATACTCGAGATCAAAGCAGTGGAGGCTCTGGGAAAACATCTTCGCGGATATCAGAAGCTTCTCATTGGAGAATCTCATCCATTCAACGCGTGGTTTTTGGAGGCGTTTCTACGAGAAATGTTGATCGATGCTCGGGTCTTCCATTCACGTCTGGACAACTCGGATAGAGCAAAATTGGTCAAGGAGTTCAATGATCCTGAAAGTTCCATTCAGTGCCTTATAATGACCTATGATGTTGGGGCCATCGGGCTAAATCTTCATGAGGCTTGCAATAGGGTCGTTATCACTTCAATCGGGATCAATCGCGCCCAAGAGTCACAGCTTGCTGGTCGGATCTTACGAGTAAGTTATTCCTGTTTGAAAATTTACAGATCCTCGCATTTACTAATCTATGGTTTAGATCACATCCAAATTCCCGGCCAATGTGGTTCGGCGTATGACTCCAAACTCGCATGATCAGTTCAGAAGCGCTCGCCAGATGGAAAAGGCGTCCTTACAGTTAGCCGTGAACGCCAAAAACCCCGACATCAGCAACCTCATCGTTAAGCTCCTTAACGAACTACAACCGGAGGTTGATCGCTGCCATGCTTCACAGGAAGGCCAGAAGCTTTTCGGTAATGCCCAGGGGAGTGGTAGGCAGACAAGTGCGAAACAGCCGCCAATTAGCCAGGCTCCTGAAGAATCTTCCCCCAGCCACGAAGAAATGCAAATAGAGGTGGAGGTGGAGAGAGGGACCGGAGTCACCGACAGGCCCACTGAAGAGGTAACGGAGCCTGAAAATGCCCTCAATCAGGTCAACGAAGACGACATATGCGAGGAAGTTGACTCGAATTATGACACCGAGGATGACTACGAAGGCTATGAGCTCTCAGATGCCGATCTCGAATCACAAGTCGGTGAACCAGGAACCTCTGAGACGGATGAACTTCGTCCATACAAGGCATGCTATGATTTCGCAGAGATAAGCCAGCCGAGCGAGGAGGAAGGGTATCGCCTCGCTCTTCTTGCACTGCCGCCGAACAAGACCTGGACACTTCAAGACCTGGAAACAGAGTACTTTCTCCACATGGGTCTCCGGTTGCTGTATAACAGGATCCATGGGATCAAGCGACTGTCCCTGGGAAAGAATATCCACATTCACTACGACAATCTCCCGAACCGCCTTCTCAATAGAATCAGCAAGACACTTACAAAGACGGAAACGAAGAAAATCCAGCATCTTTTGAAAAAGTGAGAAACCTTTAGGGAACGACATGGGGGTTATGCGTGCGCCGAGAGCAATGGGTGGAGGAAATTAGGTTTGCCGGTGATCATGGACAGTCGTTGATATTGGAGAGCGGTAATTCTATGGGAAAGTGATGGATTGCGACTCCGAAAGGACAGATTGATGGGAAAGCGGAGGAAGGGAAAGTCAGAATAGCTAACTAGTTAGAAAATGGATGAAAATTGGGAGGAGAAAGAAAGACGATATGTCGTTTTGCAGTTTAAACTTCCTCTAGTATTATTGGATCATGAATCAATTGAAGGTTCAGTGAACTAATGAGCCCTGGCCGTCTTCTCTTACTTACTTTCGACGCCTCGTACATATGATATAAACTTATTCATCAAAATTTGGTAGCTTCAGGGGATATGCTCCGTAACCCACCAACTCAACTTATCCCTCGTGAATGTCTGGAAATCCCACTCCGCTTCCTCAAGTCTCTCTCTTCCCGCCACCCACACATACGCCATAGCAGAGACCTCGTTCGTGGCTTCTGCAGTATTAAATGCATGCAGCAGGCTCATATCCGCGCTGGCCTTCTCTCCAGAAGAGGCCAAACCAAGTGATTTATCTGCCGTTCGCACCAATATTCGTTCCCGCACGTACTCACTGCCCTCATAGTCATCAAGAAGACGAATATCGCTGTCTGTTAGGCCTGACACGAGAGTACCTAGAACAGACATCTGGCTATCCCCAACAGAGTCTGCATCCCCTGTTTCTGTTGCAGCTACAATCCCCGGGTATTCTTCGTCTCGTACACGATATCGTCGATATCCGTGTAGCACCGCCGGTTGGAACCTAGGCGGCGTTTTGTTGTTGGGATCAAGGTCAGAACACCCGTAGATAACGCGGTGCAGTACCTGAGGGGCCATCAATGTCCCTAGTGTCAGGAGTGTTAGTCTTAGGGGCATGCACTTTAGGTGGAGAGCTGGCTGAAAGTACCATAACAAAATAAGACGTGGTCGCCCATGTTTATTAGGTATCTCAAGGGTAATTTTGAGTCTGTTATTTTCCGTATCTAAGGTCTGGCAGAGATATTTATGCCGGGCGAATGAATTCCATCCATCCAGGTGAGACTTGAACCTGTCGGGCCGATGAAAATGTCAATCTTAGGTATGATCGGTACGGTCCGCCTTTCTGAAAAGCGATTTTGACTACTTCTGGTAACCAGGGGTCCGGTTCTTCCTTCGTTTGGTGATAGCGTCGGGATCTCTCCCCCGAAGGAATGGCCACCCCACAGTGGGTTAAATTTCAGGGTACACCTCCCTAAATAAGGAATTTAAGCGCGGATTGATTCCTTCCAATTTGCCTAGAAATTGTGAAAGAAGCAACTTGTCGGTCACAGGGAGATGTCTTGAGAAGCATAGATGTCTAACCAAAGTACACTGAATGACTATGGGTATTGAAAGTCTTTTGTGGATATACAATCAGAGGGTGGTTGTGTGCGAGAGATCATTGGGGAGTTAGTTCCCTTGATTTTGTGGGGGTGGGTTATATACCCCGCAAAATCGGTAAACATTCCGCTGGTCGTCTTAAGACAGTAACTAACCGGTCGCCAAAATGGCAGTGAAGGCTGGTGCTTCGGTTAGATCTGCCGAGGGAAGCATATAAAGTACAAGCCCATAGCTATGCCCTTGCTAGTTATCCACACTGTGGTTGGGATTCTGTCGACTTCATCTCCAAAACGAATTCTACCCTTAAAGAAGCCGGATATGATTGCTTCCGAAGGGCAGGATGGCGACCAAATTGGAGACGTGGTCGCACCAGCCGCTAATTTGAATAACACGGCTGCATCCTATGATGAAGCAGCTGATAAGGAGCTCGGCCAACCCCCGGCCTTAAAACGCGAGCTTCAGAGTCGCCATATGCAGATGATTGCCATTGGTTAGTAGCCCGAGGGAGAGAAGCGAGAGAAAAATGCAGCTTTGAGCGATTATGGACTAATCAATCTACAAAGGTGGTGCCATCGGAGCTGGTCTGTTCGTGGGAACTGGAGGTGCGCTCCAAGAGGGAGGGCCTGGAGCCCTAGTGAGTTGTATTGCGGTTTGACCTGTAGTGCCTGGAGTACTAATTATTCCGTCTCAAAAGCTCATCGCATACATGATTGTTGGTGTTATGGTTCTGTTTACCGTCCAAGCCCTCGGGGAACTTGCGGTGCTCTATCCAGTAAATGGAGCTTTTTTCGACTACTGCGTCCGGTTCATCTCTCCTGCATGGTTAGGCTCTCGTCATTACTCGATGTGAAGGGACGAGATTCACTGATTCCTAGATAACAGGGGATTTGCAATGGGCTGGGATTACGCCATCGGCTGGCTCGTTATCCTCCCATTCGAGCTAACAGCTGCGAGTATCACTATCCGGTTCTGGCGGGATGACCTGAATATGGGTATATGGGTAGCGGTCTTCCTGGCAGTACTATCTGTCATCCAAATATTTGGTATCCGCGGCTACGGAGAAGGTAATATGGATTGATCTCTTTATGCTATTTCAACGTGCCAGTCGATGCTAACGGTGGCATTAGTTGAATTTATCCTTGGTATCATCAAGGTCACAGCAATTATTGGATTTATAATACTCGGAATTGTGATTGATTGTGGCGGGGCCCCGAAGGGTGGTTATATTGGAGCTCACTACTGGCATAATCCCGGCGCATTCACCTCTTTCACCGGTTTCTGCTCTGTCTTTGTCACGGCTGCTGTTTCCTTTACTGGTACTGAATTGACGGGGTTGGCTGCTGCTGAGTCCAGAAACCCTGGCAAGGCTATCCCTAAGGCGACTAAGCAAGTTTTCTGGCGGATTACGATCTTTTATCTCTTGGCAACCTTTATAGTAGGACTTATTGTGCCATATGATTCTAAATGGCTTCTAGGTTCTAATGGCGCTAACACTAAGGCGTCACCCTTTGTTGTGTCTATTCAGAACGCTGGTATCTCGGGGTTGCCCTCGGTGATGAACGCAGTCATCACAATTTCTGTTATCAGCGTCGCCAACTCCGCAACATTTGCGTCGAGTCGGACATTACAGGCTCTAGCAGAGCAGAGAATGGCCCCTCAGATATTTGCTTATATTGACAAGGCTGGGCGGCCCCTCTACTGTGTTCTGCTACAGATTGCGTTTGGCTTCCTGGCGTTTATTAACGAGGCATCATCAACGGGAAATGCCATTTTCGACTGGCTCCTAGCCCTGTCAGGGGTGTCGCAGTTCATGCTCTGGGGCAGTATCTGCCTCGCTCATATCCGCTTCCGCAAAGCTTGGGCATACAATGGGCGCGACTTTAAAGAACTCGCCTACTACGCACCATTTGGTGAAATTGGCAGCTGGATCGGCCTCGGCCTCAATGTGCTATGCCTCATCGCCGAGTTATACGTGTCTGTGATATCAAAAAGTGCAATGCTCTTCTTCGAGAACTACCTCGCGTTTCCTCTCACCATCGCCCTCTTCCTAATCTGGATTGTCTACCTCAAATTTTCCAAAAACATCTCCCTCGGACTCCGAGAATTGTTCCTCTTGAAGGTGCAAGATATTGATGTTCTGAGCAATATTCGTGATGGTGCTCTTGACGTCAATCTGCAGCCTAAGGTTGAATATGACACCTGGGGAGAATGGATCAAGGCGGCGCCGACACGCATTTTGCACTCATTGTTTTGAGCACACTCTTGATTATAAAGAGACCTCTTGAAGCTGCTGTCATTAGTTCGGTTGGTAGAATGTAGAGATTAGAACTTGTGCGATATTAGGGTTCATATCCTGACTATACTAATGTATCGCTCGAATCTTCTATATCTCACCTGTCTTGGGCCGGCGGTCCCCGCAGTTATTCCATTTGTATTTCGCCTACTTCCAAGCGGTGCAGTGCATCCAGGCCTCGCGAGCATCGTGGATCTGTCTGCCAGATATTTGTGGAGAAAGCACGGTAGCACCCCAAAACCGTAGTAAAACAAACGATTTGCGATGACACTTTTCATGGTTTGGGATCCTTGCAATACCAATTACTCATTTGACCTAGACTCTTTAGTTTGAACAATCAGTTTTGCAGGACGACGCGCAAGTTCCATGGAAGATTGTGACATGTAGATCGAACGAGTTAAATGATAAATTTAGTAGATCTAGGATTCCTCAAATATATGCGTGTCTGCCGTCGGTGCTCTACATTATTCCGACACGAATCGTTTGATTCGTAGCCTAGTATTCCAAGCCCAGTCCAATACGAGTCGAAATCTTCGTTTTCAAAGGAATGGCTGTCCGCCGCGCAGTGACAAGTCGCACCGAGCAGCCCTATCAGCATGAGCAATCCACGTTCCAGCTATTTAAGCAGGCCAAATATCCCATTGGTCACATTTACAACGAATGTTGGTGGCGATCACGAGAAGAGTCGGGATAGAGACTGTGATTGGATGAATTTGGCGCGTTCAGGATCGGGCGGATCATCGAAGGATGTGCCCTGGGCACTGCATCCTTGACGAGGAACATTATTATTTGCTGCGGTGCTTGTGGGCGGAATCGATCAGTCAGGTCATATTCTGATCCTGCCCATGCACAATTCACCGGTTGTGGGCCTTTTCAGCTGTCATGTTGACCTCGCCTCATAATGTAGTTAGCCTGCGGCCGATCAAAACATCCGTCTGACTGCATTATTTGGGCTCAGGGGCAAATTCTCCGGCTGCCGCCACTAGATCGGACGTCCGTTCTGAACACAGCAAAAACCCACACGAGCTTGCAATAATCATATGTGAGACTAATGCTGTTAGGCTCCGCCGAGGATGATAGGTTCTAGACTCAGGAGATGTTTCCGTTGGACGTTAGGCCGATCCACTCGTGGCTGAGGCTAACGATGACTCGTCCCGTGTCGCACTAAGAAAACCTTTCAGTCGCTATGTACTGTGCACACATTGCCATTGTGCTCTCAGTAGGGTCGCAGTATCACGATTCATAGGCGACACGGGCGACTGTCATACAGCGTCAGGGGGATAATAGCGCGCGAGTTCCGGAAAGCAAGGGAAAAGAGAAAATAAAAAGCGGAAACAAAAAAGGGGTAGAGCAGAACAGGTACGCTATCCGCTTACCCCTTTCTCCTGAATTCGACTACGTATTGTGGAAACGTGAGGGTCCTGGATCGGCGGTCGGCAGTTTTTTTTCTGGTACGAACAGAGCCAGCATCTCTATCCGACATAGTACCACGGGGGGACGGTGGGACGGCACAAACCGCTACGGCTATTGATCCTGACCCAGCGACGATCTATGCTCGAAAAATATCCGCTGATCGTGGGCCGGTCGCTTCCACAGCGTGTGGCCTCGGTGTTTTTGTACCAACCCTAATGCTCAAGTCCTATTATCCTCACCCCTCCCCGCTAGACCCAGGGTTCCAGCACCCCTGGAGCCAAGGACTGTTCTTGAACGGAGGACCGTGCTACTAACCCATCGCCACCGCCCAATAACACGCTAGGCGTCTCCATGGCCTCGTGTATACCGTGGAGCACTCGGTGAACGGGCCCTGTCTTCATACCTACCATTCGTAGGCCGCCCGATACTAAGCCTCTACATATACTATTGCTTATCCTCCCCACTACGATTTTTCTCTTCCTCCCCTTCCCCCAGATACCACTCTGCGGGTCTCTAGATCTTTCCCTCTCTTTTCTTCTTGCCCCTCATTTTTCGTTATCCGACGCTCTTGCGTGCGGTATTTTCGCGCTGGCGCGTTTAGTCTCTGGATATGACGGATGCTTGAGCGGTTCTTGACATCATGGCGTCCCAGGCCCTCTACGGGCATTGCCCCCCTCCCTTCCTTCAAGAGACTCTTTTCCCCTCGGCCGGTGGCTTTATTGGAGGCCGTTACTGTCAACCAATCCCAATTGGCGGCAGCAATTACTCGTGTTGTCTTCCCTGTCCTCTCTCCGACTGGAGATATGGTGACGGTTAGTCCATGAGCAAGATGTGCGTGTGTGGTTAGTCTAATCAATCGATAGATGTGGTCCCAAAAGTCGAGATCGCCAGCTGGATCAGTGTCGCCATCCTGCCGCTTTGTATTTTCCTACTCATTTCCTACGCCGTCCTCTCCGCCAAATGGACGCACCGCCACTACCTAAGCATTTGCTTTACCCTGGGCATCTGCTGTATGGAGATTGCCTTTATCATTCCTCTCGGCGCCAAACCGGATCAATGCCATAACGCCATCACGCCCAATGACATGTACTCGGATCTCTCATGCGCCTTTTCTGGCTCATTTCTCTTATTCGGCGGCTGGCTGGTTATTATGTGGAGTTTTATCCGCACGGTTGCTTTTCACCTCCAGGTCTGTTGGGAAGTGGTATTGGGACCCAAATTTATGTGGGGAGCGTTCCTGTGCGGATTTGGTATTCCGGGGGCCATGATCACAGTTATGCTCATTTTGACCGGCGTGTCGTTCCGGTTCGGCGAAATTTGCCATATCAATGTGCAAAACGGCGTACAAGACTACTGGGCTCCCATCATGGCTTTTGCGGTCGCTTCCTTGGTTCTTCAAGTGACAACTATGGCGTACTGCATCCACATCTACGTTCGCTCCCTCTTCGACAACTCCAATAACAATTCAAGCACCAACAACAGCTCTGGCCTACCCTCATATAATGCTAGCGTGCGCACCGTGACAGCACGCCAGGCTTACAGACGTATTCGCCGCGTTCTACAGCTGCAGTGGCGCGGCGTTGCGCTGGTCCTGATTATCATCGGAAATGTTTTCTTCTTTGCCATTGTCTTCATCAAGCTAGACAACGCCGTTGAGCCCAACGCCACCAACTTTGCCATTGCCGAGCCCTGGCTTACATGCCTTGCCTTGTCCGGCGGCGACAAAACATTCTGCCAGAGTATGGCTTCAGAAATTGGCCCTAACGAGGCCACTTTGCTTGCAGTTGTGATTCTTCTGTCCCTAGTGGGCATCTGGAACTTCGTTCTGTACGCGCGCCCATCCATGTTCGCCGGCTGGATGGACCTATTCCGCCGCAAGTTTACCCGACGGAACGAATTCATCTCCACTGATGCTCGGAAACGCTACGAAGACTCCAAGGGGTTCGAGATGTTAACGGGCCCCGGCACAAAGACCCCTGAGACCTTCATGCGATCGCCTACCCCTCAAATGGCCAGCCGCAGTCAAATGGCCAGCCCTAGCCCAACCTTCGACAGGACTGTGCAATTCGGCCGCGGCTCAGAGGCCCGATACATACGCCCGTCTCTGAGTTTCTCTGGTCCCCGCCCGCCTAGCTCGTCACAGGGTGGCCGGGATTGGGATCCGCAGACTACATTTGCAGCAGCAGGGTATACGCATTGATCTTCCGAGTCAGTCTTGTGCATTATTTCCAGAAAAAGTCAATTTTGAAACTTTCTACGCTTGTGATCCCTCGGTGTTGCGGATTTGGTTTGGTCTTCTGGCGTGGCGTCGGATGTTCTGGAAGGATCAAAACAACAAGGGCACTACTGTAAAGTGGCGGGATGGCTTGTTTCACTTTTCTCGAAACCACCATCATTCATGACTTATTTTTCCATATTATTATTCCATAATGTCTCAATCTCTCTCATGTGAGCAGCATGTGTTACAAATAGATCCATTTTCCCTTGCAGATGCAGATCTAACAGCAGGGGCACATCGACATGCCCGTTTCTGCTAGGACTTTCCAATCCGACCACATACTTTCAATAACTGTCCCCCTCTGCCTCCCCCTTTTGAAGGCTAAGATTAGAGTGGATATGGATCGTCATGGAAGTTTTTTCTCGCTTTTAGTATGCACTTAGTAGTGTAGATCTGCTCTCGAACAATTAGGGCAGCCGACCGCGGGTGAGTTTTTCCGTCTTCTCCACAACGGTGATTCGTCCCGAAACAGACATGGGATTTTTGGGTCCAACCCGCACATGGCAGGTACGCCGTCCGCCCGGCACACTAGCATATACGCCATGGCTACAGGGATCGGGGTAGGACCCTTGCTAGTTCCGTTCTTCGGGTGTAGGCAGATGATGTGAGAACTACTGTAGGTATGGAACTGGAGGTTGAAGTTAATTAGATTGAGTTACACCACAGATAGTCGAGGGTTATGCATTTCCCTTTTGTTTTGCTACCCGATGGTGATTCTGTAGGATTATAACGATGCTGTAGTTATGTTCATTTCTACTTCGGCTTCATTCCGGTGTACCTAATATTATTGACCTTTTAAGTTCAATTTCTAGGCGAGTTCCCCGCGGTGAACTAACCATAAGTACCCTGGTTCGCGGCCGTTGACCCGGACCCGAACATGTGCGGTTTGCCAAGAACTCTCCATCTGGAGACCGATGCATCCCATGGTCAAAAGTTCGTCTTTCCCGTGTGGTTTCCCATTGTGAACACAAGGCTATCCGAGGCAGGCAGGAAGATATCATCTCGAGCATCTCCCCCAATCTGTACCCCCGGGGGCCAGTCGAGATTCTGCTGTTAGCATACATGAGGCATTATTCACCCGAGACGCTGCTAGTTAGTAGTTTAAGTGGAGAACCCGGCCTGAATAGAGTTACTCCGACTTATTGCCAGTCCGCACTAACTATAGCCTCATCCGCCCGACGTACGTAAGCCCGTGCTTTGCGGCCGTCTGGCCGAGGCACATGTGATGGACTTTTTTTCTTTCACGATAGCATGGAAACCTAACTATCATGATTAATTGTTTGGAACCTGACAAACTGATGTAAGATTATAATTGACTAAGTTACATTACAAGACAACCCCACGAATTGTTATACAACCCCTCTTCTCGGCACACAAAACGAACCAGATGCCCATCATCCATCCTAATGGGTTCTCCGATGTATGTCTCGGGTAATGGCCAGGGACACCTATCAAACACAAGCCGCAGCGCATATTTGTGCGCCTGGTCTCCGAATGACTTCACCCCACCATGGTCCTCCATAAAAGGCTTGGCGAAAGTTCCGCTCTCAATGCGGACAGTGAAGGTCCTGGGTTGGAACGCGCTCTCCTTGAAGCATGACCTACTCAGTCTGATCCGTTCAAGGGTTTTCTCGTCAAAATTCCAGCCCTCGGGACAGGGGCAGCGGCGATCTGTTAGGGTGATTTCCAGACTGATGTGGGCCAGGGTCTTGGGAGTTGCCCCCGTAGTGAGGGCCGGCTGCTCATCTAGTACTGTGGGGTTCAGAGCTTTCCAGTCAAAGCAGGCGCCTAGTGTAAATGCTGTCTCGTGGCCGTCCCATATCTGCAGGCGTTGAGCGTATGCCTTTTGCGATAAGGGGTATGACGTACCTCGCCTCTGCCGTCAGTGTAGAACTTGACGCATCGCCGGTCGCCGTCGTAGTACCATGGCTCTGCGGCCAGGATGGACTTGATGTCTTGTGGTTGCGACATGATGAGTCTGGATGGGTAACTGTCTACCTGAGGGGTTGTCCAAATAAGTGAGGAATAAGACACTGCTGAGCCTCACGATCGACACGTGGCGGAGTTACGTTGGGGGCCTAACTTTGTTTACAGCAAAGACAATATAATTAGTTAATAATAGACAACAAGGAAATAAAGGCTGTTTAAAAGATTTGACAATCAACAGTGTAACTCGTGGTCGAAATGGAATTAATAATACGTCACGTTATTGATGTCACAAATAGGGTTAGTAGTAACGTAATTGTACACCGAAAGTCACAACATACCGAAAGTCACACTTTAATCCGCTCACGCGTCTTCTCCAACAAACACCAAATTCCTCCACAACAAAAGATGCCTCAAAAAAAGGACGAAAGGCAGGTCATGTTAGCCCTTCAAGCTATGCAAAATGACCCAAAGTTAAGCGCTTGAGCGGCAGGGAGGATCTATTCTATGGACCACGAGAAGCTGAGTCGTCGCAAGCGCGGTATACAATCACGACGCGATATTCTGGCCAATTCACAAATTTTGACCGATCTAGAGGAATCAGTCCTTATTCAACATATCCTCGATTTAGCTATCAAAGGATTCCCTCCCCGAGTGTCTATTGTTAGAGATATGGCAAATCGGCTTTTCGCGACACGCGACGCGCCACGCGTCGGGATGCGTTGGGCTTCTAGGTTCATTAATCGCCGCCTAGAGCTCCGAACGCGCTTCCAACGGAGATACGACTACTAGAGAGCTAAGTGCGAAGATCCAGTGGTCATTCGTGGCTAGTTTGAGCTTGTGCGCAATACAATCGCGAAGTACGGCATTGTGGAGTCAGATATCAATAACTTTGACGAGACTAGGTTTATAATAGGCGTTATCTCTACCGCAACAGTTGTCACAAGCTCAGAGGGACGTATAAAGGCAAAAAAGCTATAGCCTAGTAATCGGGAATGGGTTACGGTAATTCAGGGCGTTAATTCCTAAGGCTGGACGGTGCCGCCATTTATCGTTGTTGCGGGCAAAAATCACCTTTCGTCTTGGTACTAAAATAGTGGTTTCCCACCTAACTAGGTAATCGCTATTACTGATAACGGCTAGACAATAAATGAGAAAGGCGTGGATTGGATTCGGTATTTCGAGAAGTATACTAGAGCCCGAGCTATAGGTTGCTATCGCCTTTAATCCTCGACGGCCATGAGAGCTACTACTCGGACGAATTTGAAGAATACTGCAAAGGAAACAACATTATCACCCTTTATATGCCTCCTCATTCGTCTCATATCCTTTAGCCACTAGATATTGGGTGTTTTAGCCTATTGAAGAAGGTATATGGCCGACACATCGAGGATATGATGCGGGCTCATATCACCTATATTACGAAGGACGACTTCTTCCCCGCCTTTCATAGCGCATTTTTTGCTACAATGACGGAAAGCAACATTCAAGGAGGTTTCTGAGGTGCTAGACTTATTCCATTTGACCCCGAAAGTGTGATTTCTATACTAGATCTTAAGTTAAAGACGCCAACACCTACAACTTCCCGCCCCCGAACCCCTGAACCCTAGGTTTCTTAGACACCTAATAATATAATCGAAGCCACTTCGCAGACTACTTTCATTAAGAATCGCATTGCCTATCATAATAATAGCTCTCCCACCTCAATTTACGAAGCTGTCGACTAGTTTGCGAAAGGGACGTCGAAGATTATGTACAAATTGGCGTTGTTATAGTCAGAGGTTTAGATCCTTTGACAAGCAAATGAAGAGCTTAGTAAACGCCGGAGGGCTAAAAAGACACGTCTACGGCAAGGTGGATCACTTAGTCAATAGGAAGCACAAGACTTGCAAGATGAGAGGGACATTATGCAGCAGATAAGGTAGGAAACGCAGGCACGTAGTGGTCGAAAACCAAGGCAAGAAACGCGCGCGCGGCGCTGTGGCAACTGCGGCGAGACTGGACATAACGCACGCACCTGTCAGATTGTAATCCAGACGTCTGAGGAAGAAGATTATTAGTAGTATCAATTGATTTTAGGCGTTGTGGTGGAATTATCGCGATATATATTATGTGAGCGGATTAAAGTGTGACTTTCGGTATGTTGTGACTTTCGGTGTACAATTACGTTATCCCTACTAACAGTATATAGAGAAGCACTTCCAACTTCCCATTCTTTTACCCCCTTCCACCCTTCATAGACAGAGCTTAAAACTACGACGACAAGATTTGAAAGATTCCAAACACAGCCGCTGTCCTCGCGGAACTGGAGAAATCTTCCTTCGATCTCGCCGGAAATGTCACACCTCGCGCCGAACCACCTAACGCTGAAGGGAGCAACGTATCTATGTGTGGAACATGAATAAATTGCGATTATAGTGGCAAAGCTACGTTAGAGAGTTGGCTATCTATCTTCAGGAAATTCACCAGATCGCGCCGATCATCAACCTTGAAACTCGCGGTGTGGATGGTCCCGGGACAAATCACAAAAGCAGAAGTAGTCTTCCAAATATAGGACCTAGATCGCAAAGACCACGGTGTAAATGACCATAGTGTATTCCTGAATAATGTAGTCCTCGACACTTTTCAAGTTTGTGGTGAGTGAATTATCTAACAGCTCAACTTGTCAACCGGGATCGAGCGGAAGAAGCTTTCGGTTCGCCCCGGCCCAAATCCATCGTGGCTGGCCTAGAGCAGTCTACCACAACGCATGATCTAAAAAAAAAAAAAAAAAAAGGCACAACTAATGATAGGAACTGAATACCCCCCTTTTTGCATGCCCCTCTTTTCCAATGAACTTTTATTCTTGATTCTACCAACAATATCCCTACTATTATGGCAAAATCGACAGGTGTTGAGAGCCAGCTGTGGGAGCAAGAGTAACTGGAGAATCCAAGACTAAGCGCTTTGCTCACTCTGTAAAACTACAGGGAGGGTTGCCAAAAACACCCCCCACTTCAAAATGCCTTTGGAACAAAGACACGATATTCGTGAACTGCCACCGGATCCGCGAATTCTCGCAGGTCAGCGTTATCGGAAGTCCCTCAACTATGTCGCGCAGTTGGCAATATGGATCGGTAATCTTTATTTCAGTGCGCGCTTGTTATTGATCTTGTTTTTTTCCCGACAAACTTGGCCCATGTGGGTAATGTTGCTAGTGGAAGCTATATTCTCTCGTGAGCTTTTTTCTCCACCATGATCTACGAAGGCTCTAATCAGATGTCTAGATTTGTCTCGAAAGGAACAACTCCTGGTTGTGGCTGCAAGCCAAGTTCCAGGTGGTGGTCCCCGCAAGAGACTGCGGCTTCAAGGCACGAAAAATCTGCCCTATGTGGATATCCTGTTACCTTGCTGCGGAGAGCCGGTCGATGTGATCATGGATACAGTGCGAGCAGCATGTACCTTGGACTACCCCGTATCTCACTTTCGAGTCTTGGTGTTAGATGATGGCGGTTCAACCGTGCTGAAGAAAGCCGTGACTACGTTGCAGTCTCAATGTCCTCATCTGTCCTATCATTCTCGCGGCAGACAGTCCGGTCTGGTGTTTGCAAAATCTGGAAATCTGAATTATGCCTTGACGACCCTGCAGCGAGAGATCCAGCCAGAGTTCTGCGCCATTCTAGATGCCGACTCTATCCCGACAAGGGATTTTCTTCGAGGAACTCTGCCCCATTTGCTTCTGAACCCTAACTCGGCGTTGGTCTCTACCCGGCAATATTTCTCCAATCTTCCCAAAGGCGACCCGCTTTCTCAAGCACGGTCTCATTTTTATACCTGCCAAAATGCAGAGCTGGATATATTGGGAAACGCCATAGATGCTGGATCCGGTGCAGTTTTCCGGCGGAAATCCATCGTCGAAGTCGGCCTCTACCCCACTTACTCTTTCTCCGAGGACTGGCAGCTCTCACTGGTGTTACATGGCATGGGACACCGCACTATGCAGGTGCAGGAGCCTTTTCAATATGGGCTTGTCCCAACTTCTCTCACTGGACATATTGCTCAAAGAAATCGCTGGTATATCGGACATGCCCAGCAATTTATGGCGGTAATTTCTCGGGAGATTCAAACTCTTCCAAAGCATTTGCAGCGGAACATTGCCCTCAATGGCGTGGGAATTATTGCAGCAGAATTAAGTTGTTTGATTGGCTTCTGTGCTGTTCCATGCCTTCTTCTTTCTGAACAACTGATCCCGGTCAGCTCTCCCTTCATGACCAAGCTCCAGTTTTTACTTGCTGTGTTACAAGTCCTCGTAACTTGGCTCTATGAATATGCTCAGGCCGCGCATACAGGCTTCCGGAGTGTGCCATTCGCTCACCTGGAGAACAAGTGGCTTGCTGGCGGTGAGTTCACAATCTCTTCTTGTAGCAATTTCCGAGGCTAATATGAATTGTAGGGAACATCTTTAGCATCCTCAAGTTCTATTTGTTAACCAGCAAACCTAAAGGCTCATTTGTGACAGGAAGCACCGCAAATTCTTGGAACCGCAACTCCTCCACCCCGCTGTACATGAAGTTACACCGGGACCTATGGCAGAACTGCATCTGGATCAATGTACTCACGGTTTTTGCAATACTTGGAGCTCTTTTCTACTCCACGACTGCAGTGGTATCTGCAAGCAACGCGGGTTTGGCCTGTCCTCTGCTCACCACTGTCACCTGGCCACCGTTGCTACAATTGTGCTACCTGGCCGTATCGAGCAACTGGGTGCCGATGGCGTACCTCCTGAATCCTCCAAAGCATTCTGATCATAACTCGGAGCCATGTCAACCGAATTCCCGGATCTTAGCCCTTGATTCTGAAAAAAGGGCTTTACCACGATTCAAGCACGATATAGGCAGGGTGGGGAGGGAGATGCTCCATCTAGGAAGCATAGTAGAAATTGGTGAAGGTGAATTGTAGGACTGTTAAGGTTAGGGCGGAATGTCTGAAAGACGAACCTAATAATGTCAATAATACAAAATCTTGGGACACCACCATGTTTCCTCTATATCTACCAGTGGACAGCCGTGGCTCATACAAGACCCATCCTATTTTTTTCCTGCTCGGTATTTTACTATCAGCAACGTATAAATAGTACAATTATCTCCATATTCTCGCCTAGTAAATGAGAGAAATGCCAAGATTCGAGCACGAATACTGAATATGTCTATAAAGTCCTTCTGCACGACCTCCGAGCGCCATTGAACGCCAATAAGAAATTCTCATAATCATCTTGAAGCATTAACACTTTTCAAACAAGATCTCTTCCTTTACTCCGAATCCTTCTTCGCATCCCCCGCACCGCCTTCAAGTTCATTGCTCTTCTGAAGAAGGAATTCCCCCAGCACACGCAGTGGGTTAGAGGGTCTAAGATAAGCCAATTAGACAAGTATCACACGACCTAAGGTTCAAAACGTCATGCTTACTGGTCCTTAGCAACGGACTTCATGCCCTCGAGCAGATGCGGCACAATCTTCTCGTTCAGATACACGCGTGCCGGAGCGCCGCCGGGACGCACCTGCGTTGTGGCGGTAGCATTGGATAGATCGTGGAGAGGCGTGCTGGAGGTACCGGCGCCGTTGGTCTCGCCCATGGTGGTGTGAATGGTGGTTTGAGGGAGAGTTAAACTGGAGATGTTAATCAATCACGCCTGCAAACACAACAAACACCCAATCGAGTATTATGGGTCAGGTGATCTCGTGTTCCTCTCGCGCCTTGGTTTCTTCGTGTCATTCTCTCTACCCGATGTCTGCAAGATCCCTACCAGTATGTCCCTGCTGGACTACTGGGAGACACAGCGCGGGAAGCGCAGAAAGGTGTCCGGCGAATCTTACAATGAATCCTCTATCGTTGACCAAGAGGCCCCACTGAGTCCTAGTCCGTCAGTGGAAGTGGCAGACACTCCCGCTCCAGCATATGAAGATGCTGAAACTCAGATTCCTCCGAGTAGCCAGACAGATCTGGAGACATCCCTCCCTCCGATTAAGACAGATGATCAAGCTATCGAGGAGTACGAAGCCTCTCACGCAGCAGAGCAGGAGGGCGACTCTGAACCAGGCCTCCACGTGAGGCTCCGAGACGGGGTCTGGCAGAAAGGACGAAGCTCGATCTATGTCGATGCCTTCAATCTCGCTTTGGATACGGTGCTCGCCGAGGAATCACACCTCTTTGACGAGGCCGAGATGGAGGTTTTTAGACAGTGGAGAGAGCTGTCCTATCAATCCCAGTATCTGTATGTTTTTGCTTTCTAATCAATTCACTGGTGTGTTAGTTAACGATTCCGAGATATGTACGACTATTTCTTCGCAAATCGTCTGCTTGGCATCGTATCGGTCGACTCAGCTCCTACTCTGATATTTCAGACGTGTCTGCAGTGGCTGCTGACCTGCAGCGGGATCAGTGCTTGCCAAAGTCTGAGGATGAAACCTCAGATCTGAGCTCTACGTTTAGGTTTGCAGATGGCACAAAGGAAATTACCACGCTGGAGGAAGCCTCGTCATTGCTTTTGCTCGAGGAACTGAAGGTCTTTGCTAAAGAAGCCAAAGTCCAGGGCAAGAGCAAGAAAGAGCTGGTTGCAGCTCTGCTTCAGTCCAGCCAGACTCAAACTGGACTTGGGTGGAAAGGGAACGAAACTCCTAGTAACAGGGACAGTCACTTTGTCCAGAAGATTTTGGACTACACCGGAGACTGTATCAGGCTTGCGGCAGGCCCTCGGGCACTCTTCGAACGGGTGCATTTGGTGTTTTATCGGTCGACCGAATGGACTGAAAAGTCTCTTACCACCATCATCCTCGCGAAAATATCCCGGAGGAATTTCCCCGAGTACATTGTCTGCCGGTCCAACTCGATTTTCCCATCTAGAGCAACGTTGCTAGAATTTGAGTCTGCAATTCGGACACAATACGCCGTCGACAATATTCTCGAGTTCAACGGACCCCCAACAACGGAGTCATTACAGGAAATAATTGATCTCGCAGACAAGTTCTATCCGCGATGGACAGAACTAGTGGAACAAGAACAGCAGAAAGAAGATTCCATCTACGAAAGTGGAGAGGGCGCGTATCTTCGTCGCTTCTCGCCGGCTTGGGTGTATACGAGGATTATCCACAAGAGTCTGCATCCACTCGGCCGGTTTAAGGAGCATAAGAGAGAGCATGAGGTTCTCTGCAAGCTTCTCGCTCAGCGTCTTTTCCACGCTGCTCGGCGCGGAGCATGGTATCAGCGCAAAGCATTGCTGGAAGAGCACTACATGTGGGCACTCATGCCGTCTGACGGCCAGAATGAAGAGCAACAGCGCAAATTTTGGAAACGAAACGCTCTGCGGACCTGCGAGGAAGGTCTGGAAGATCCGCTCTGCCACCTGATCTACCATTATGACCTGCAGAAGCGGATCACGAAGCTCGAGAAAGCGCTGAAGGTCGTGAAGAGGGAACAGCATGATTTTGGGTATGTCATGTTGACCAAGCCCGCCGAGCGCACTATTGAAGGCATTCGCATCGAGCGCGAGGACTCGCCTACGCGAACACCAGATCCGCTTTCCAAGCGCGGCCGGCCAACGATCTGGATTGATGAGCGAGATGAAGGCGCCGAGTGTCGAGTAGAAAGTATGTGTCTGAGTTGGTACCGGGACCATGGCTGGAAAGGGTATCATTCTGAGGGCGGCATAGTGAGAACATTGGTATGCACACTATTATCCCCGATGCTCACCATCAGGTACTGATCAAGTACGTAGTTCGGCTACCTCTTCTACGACATCCTCTTCACCTACGTCCCAAACGTTTTCCAGACCCCCCTTCCAAACCTGTCCTCTCGACCTACATACAGACGTCTTCTACCCATCCCGCGCATCCGAAATCAACCACCGGCTCGTGGAAATCACCAACGGCGCCGCCGAGCGCATTGTCCGCGCCGTTCATGAGCGCGAATTTGCCGCCCAGCCCTGCGCTATTGGCATCGACTGGTCATTTGAGCTCGGTGACCTGCTCGAGATCACCCAGTGCTTCCGGGGTGAAGCCCTCGCTGCCATCTGCAAGGTCATGGCGCAGGAATACCAGCAGCGCGGTGGAGGCATCCCGGACTTGTTCTTGTGGAATATGGAGAAGCGCGAGGTCATGTTCGCTGAAGTCAAGTCAGAGAATGATCGGCTAAGTGATACACAGCGCCTGTGGATTCATGTTCTCATGGGTGCGGGCGTGCAAGTCGAGCTGTGCAACGCCGTTGCGAAGGAGGTGCGGGTTATGGAGTGAGGATTTTGTAAATAGCATGCACATATATACTGCATTCGCACATACTCTGAATCTACACTACGAGTTTGTTGTGATTTGATCCATGTACCGCCGGAGCAGGACCGACATGCACGGCCATGATGAAGATGTTAGGTATCGTAATATTCTTTTTTGACTAACATATCTAAATCAATAAGAAGAGATGTAGTGGCACATCTCATCCCAGACCCAGACACGGCCACCCTGTCAAAAGCCTTCAACAAAGGGTGCGGGGATGGTTACCCTTCGTAAACATCACAGACCCCAAAAAATTGCAACTCCACGCAAGCACACATTTCTGACGACACAAAACAAGCACATGTAAATGCATTTATGCGACCAGGGTGCTGGCGGTGGCGCTCTCGTAGCGCCAGGTGGGGGGCAGGACACCGACGGTCTTGTAGTAACGCGACAGACGGTGGATGCGGGACTCGATCAGAATCAGGCGGAACTTGCTGTCCTTGTCCTTGCGGTTGCGCTCGAGGTGCTTGCGGACGGCGACGGCCTGAAGGCAACAGGATTAGCGGGAGAGATAGACGGAAAGAAGCAAAAATAACTCACCTTCTTGATCAGGAAGTAAAGGTCCTCGGGGAGTTCGGGAGCGAGGCCTGTATTTCAAATCTCTCTGTCAGTCTAGTTCGGGACCAAGCAGAGGCATAATAGTATTATAACCCGGCGCACAATTGTGCAGTCCGGCAAGGGTATGTCGAGCCATTGCGCATTTCTTCAATGCACAGTCGCTGACTGTCCCTTGTTCATCCGAAGGAAACGGGGGGGATGCTGGCGAGTGAAGAGTTCGTACCGCTCGACTTCAAGATACGGAGGATCTTGTTACCTATTCACACATGATCGTTAGCATCTCCATTACCACTTTTCTTCGATGTTTATTTTTGAAGGGAATCGTACCAGTGACAATCTTGACCTGGGCAACACCGTGGCTGTCACGGAGGACAACACCGATCTGGGAGGGGGTGGCACCCTTCTTGGCCAGCTTGCAGATGTGATCCACGACCTGGTCGGGGGTGACCTTGAGCCACGCCGGGGCGGCGCGGGAGTAGGGGAGAGCAGAAGAGGCAATGCCCTTGCCCTTGCTGTGAAGGCGACCCATTTTTGCTGGTGATGTGGTGGTCCGAAAGGATGTCGGGGTGCTGGTCGGATGGTCGGTCGAGAAGATCGAAATGTTGCCGGCGAGAATTTGGCGAGTGGATGTGTGTGTGGGTCACGTGTGTGTGTGCGGTCAGGTGACTTGCTCGCTAATTTTGTTGCGGGAAAATTTAGTTTCCTCTTGTTTGGTTTCACCTCACTGTAATTATGCTGTTGGCTAACCCAATTACAAGGTCAGTTCCTCCTTTGGACTTCACATCTCCCTCTCTCGTGATGATACTCCTATTTTTACTTTTTCTGGTACCTCTTATGTCAGGGGGCGTGTCTTCGGACACGGCTCCGATGATCTAAACGGACTTCTGATCTTGCATCTCTTTTGCTCTGGAACATTTACGCTCCCGTTGTGACAGTCTTACTGACTGCCACTCAGAATTTAGGTTATATAAAGACCCTGGATGACCGAATATCGCGGATTTACGCTGGCTAATAAGGCACCCTGGATCAATCAATGGTATCTGATAAATGCAAAATAATCATGTCACATCAATCGCAATGTAATCAGCCACTGCGTAGTCGTTTCGACACTCTCCTCGTCTCTGTAGTCTGAGAAGCATGGACGATGGCATTGGGCTTCTTTCGTTTCTTGCTGTTCTTCTCCGTGCCCCCCTCTGCGTCCTCGACTTTCACCTGGGCTTCCCCTTCTTCTTTCAGTAATTTCAATGCCACCGCCGTTTCCACTTCCGTCTTGATCTCCACCTCGTCCTCGTTCTTGACATCTCTCGCTTCGACCTTGACCTTCTTCGTGGCCTCGAGCCGATCCGCAAAGGATCGCAGGTCCGCCGTGAAGAGCACACTATGAGCCCAGCCAGCCTCTTTGCCCCAGAGGTTGCGGAAATGGTTGCCAACAGCGTCATAGGTCGCCTTGGTCAAGGACTTGTTCGATCCCTTGCCGAAACGGTAATCTCTCTGCGCAATTTGCCAGACTACCCAATGAATTAGCCTCGGCTTTCCCAAAACAATGCTGAAATGCTCACCATGCGTATCCACCGGCACGGACTCTCCCCAGCCCAGACCCATCAGAGACACACAGTCAGCGACCTTCGGCCCGACGCCCTGCAAATCGAGAAGCTTCTCATGGGCATCGCGGTATCCCTGGCGTCCCTCCGGTTGCATTTCATCTGCTGGTCTAGGCTCCACGCCAAATGCAGGCGACTCGGGGTTGCTCAACCCATCTAGCCAACCCTCGGGCCGGTCTGCGCTCACCATTAAAGCAGTCTGCCAGATATATTTTGCCCGATATCCAAACCCTAGTGTGCGAAGATTGCCTTCTACCTCATTGCCAGCCAATGCTTCTGGAACTGGGAAGTCGTGATAGGCATGCTCGTCGACTGTTGCAACATATGGACCGTAATTGGTGCACAGCTTTGCCACCATCTGCGAAATGCGCGCGATGTTGTTGTTGCTGCTACAGATAAACGAGACGAGCGCCTCCCATGCATTTTGGCGTAGGATTCGGATCCCAGTGAACTGGGCGGCCTTCTTCTTGAAATTGGGGTCTTGGGATGACCACTGGGAGTACAGATCACTCAGATTGATGGAAAGGTTGAAATAATGCTTGATAATGTGCAAAATATGGTCGTCATCCTGAGTCTTGCGGGAAACAGTAACGCTATCACTGTCTGACTCGGCTCGGGAAGGAATCTCGGATGCGGGTGGAGTTGGAAGATGGGTACCTCGTGGTGGCGGCTTTAGGGTTCGGTAGTAGAGATAGTTTGAGTCCTGCTTCAGAGACAGAAGATGCCCATAGAGAACGCATCGCCATTCTTCGCTCTCGGGGATGTGATGCCATCTGCCAGGGAGTCAGTGCACATTCAAAGTGGTTCGCTCGGATGCATACCTGAATGACTGTCCACATCGGAGAGTAGTGTTAATACACAGCTCTCCCAGACTTATGGGTAGCCGTTTCCACTCTGTGAATACCATGGTGGTTGGGAGTGTCAATAATGTCTGTCTGATGAAAGGTCATATTCTGCCCCTTTATTCTCAAGGCGGTACCCACTTCACCGCCCATCCCCAAGCTCTGGATCCGTAAGTTTTCCCCTTCCGAGCGACTCTTTGCAGTCCCCATCTCTCTCTGCCGTGCCACAGTATACGACCATTCGGATCTCTGGTTGAGGTCTCTGCGCTTTTCAACTGTCGCCTTTAGAGAAGAGCATTGGAATTTTCAAGGCTTCCATCATGAACGGTGACACCTATTCTTCCAGAGGTACCGACCCCATGCCTGTGGATGCGACTGGAGCTTCCGCTAACTCGAGATCAGATTCTGGGCGCTCGCGCGATCACTTTGTGAGTTTGGAACTTGTGGCGACTTGTTATCTGCTGCATTCAACTAACATACTCATCAGCGCGACGAGCGACGGGAGCGCGACAGAGGCGAAAGAAGACGGTCACGGTCTCCTCACCACGGACGGGGGTCGCGTCGAGAACAGGAACAGAATTCATATTCGTCCAGCCGTGACTACCGTGCCAGAGAACGCGAAGACCGCTACTCCAGCCGCAGAGATGACCGGGAATGGGATCGAGGAGACCGAGGAGATCGTGGTGGTGACCGTGGTGATCGTGGCGGTGGTGATCGTGGTGGTGGTGATCGTGGAGGTGGTGATCGTGGAGACCGCCGACGCCGGGATTTCGATGACAGGCCTCCTCGACGGGATTTGTTCGAGGACCGTCCTCGGCGCGGTGACCGCGGCGGCGACCGATTTGACCGTGGCGACCGCGGCGACCGCGATCGAGGAGGAGACAGGCGGGAGCGCAGGAGAAGCGCCACACCCCCACGGAAGAAGGAACCGACCCCCGATCTGACAGATATTCCTTCGATCCTGGAGCGGAAACGTCGCCTGACCCAGTGGGACATCAAGCCCCCGGGCTACGAGAATGTAACTGCGGAGCAAGCGAAGCTTTCGGGTACGTATCTCTCACCCATTGATGAATGTATGTATCTGACTCTTCTATAGGAATGTTCCCTCTCCCTGGTGCACCCCGACAGCAGCCCATGGATCCCAGCCGTCTGCAGGCGTTTATGAACCAGCCCGGTGGCTCGGCGGACAACTCGGCTCTCCGGCCTTCCAACTCACGCCAATCCAAGCGTCTCTTTGTGTACAACATCCCGTCTGGCGTGACAGGGGATAGTTTGGCATCCTTCTTCAATCTCCAGCTGAACGGCCTCAATGTTATCGAAAGTGTCGACCCATGCATCTCGGCTCAGGTGTCCGAGGACCACTCCTTCGCGCTCCTGGAGTTTAAGTCGCCCAATGACGCGACAGTTGCGCTGGCCTTTGACGGCATCACCATGTCGGAGCATGAAGGCGACGATGGCAAAGGATTCGAAGTACGACGACCAAAGGATTACATCGTCCCCAATGGAAGTGCCGAGCAAGAATACCAGGAGGGCACACTGCTGAACGAGGTTCCGGACTCGCCGAACAAGATTTGCGTCTCGAACATTCCGGCGTATATCCCGGAGGAACCCGTCACGATGCTGCTTAAGTCCTTTGGCGAGCTGAAATCTTTTGTCTTGGTGAAGGATGCTTCTACGGAAGAGTCGAGAGGAATTGCTTTTTGCGAGTATGTTGATCCGACTGCCACCTCTATCGCCGTCGAGGGATTGAATGGCATGGAATTGGGTGACCGTCACCTCAAGGTCGTGCGCGCCAGTATTGGAACCACCCAGGCCGCCGGCCTGGACATGGGTGTCAATGCCATGTCCATGTTTGCCAAGACCACATCCCAGGACCTCGAGAGCAGCCGAGTGCTGCAGCTTCTGAACATGGTTACTGCTGAAGAACTGATGGATCCCGAGGACTACGACGAAATCTGTGACGATGTCCGTGAGGAGTGCTCCAAGTATGGCCGCATCTTGAGCCTGAAGATCCCCCGTCCATCAGGCGGCAGCAAGCAGTCGGCCGGTGTGGGCAAGATCTTTGTCAAGTTCGAGACCGTCGAGGGAGCCACCAATGCTTTGAAGGCGCTGGCGGGACGGAAATTCTCTGACCGCACGGTAGTGACCACCTACTATGGGGAGGTACGTTCCTTTTTACCATTTCTTGTCTTTGGCAAATACTAATGTTAGTGCAGGAAAACTTTGACGTGGACGCTTGGTAAAAAGGAAAAGAAAACACTGTCCTTCCGTACTTATGATTTTCTTGTCTTTCCTCGGGGACCAAGTGCTCGGAGCAAGGAGGGTTCGGGATGTACTACCCATGGATGTACCATAGCAAATATCAACTTGTGCTGTCCAGCTTTTTTTTCTTCTGCAGATTTCCGACAATGCGCATTGTATTAATGATGGAATCAGGCAACTACCTGAGCTGCCACCGTCAACCAACCAACCAACTTCTTCTTTCTGCCCACCCTCATTAGTCCTTGGCTGTTACGGAACACGGTCAACGGCGAATGCCCATTCTGACAGGAGTCCGGAACAACCCCGACACTAGCTCTACCGAGGAAATAGACTCTCGGCCTTTCCTGCCCTCGGCTGAGCTGCTCCTAGCAGTGCCACAATACACACGGCTTCTGCCTATGGCCTATGGCCTACGGCCATGTACGCTAAGTGGTGTACGACCTTTAGAAGGCTCAACCCAACGATTTTGCAAATAGGCGAGGTAATCAGAGTCAAAAAGCCTGTTTATAATTATGAGTGGAGATTTTCATCGCTTGCCATCCGTTGCTGTTAAATTTTAGTACTGATTCTCTGGTTTTGATCGACACAGGGGAGGTCGGAGGGCGCGACAGACCAAGAAGAGAAAAAGAGCACGAAAGGAAAGCTCCAATTCCAATCCAAGGCAGAGTTATGATCTATTCCTACTCTTCCAAAATCCGTTCTATAAAGTAGAGATATTACACACCGGTTTCTTGTCATGAGTCCAATGCCTTCTGATATACTCTGCAGTGGACGCACATTCGGATATCTACAACTTCAAGTATAGGATCATCGAAGGCATGTGTAGTGCGATTTCATTAGGGAACTATGGTGTAGAGATACATCAGGTCAAAAGCCTGCGGTCTAAACCTTGTCAATCAGAAAGAGCTACATGAGCTGTCTTGAGGGTTCAGGGTAAATTAGGTGGAAGTAACAAATAACCCGATGTGTAGCACAGACAAGGTGGTAGTCACATAAACCTATCAACCGTTGCCGAGCAGATTCATCCAAGAAATCTGTATCATCAAATCCGGGCGGGCATAAGATGACATACCAAAAGGTCGAGAGATTCTCGATGTGTCCTGATGTAGAGTGGTGGATCCCTTCCAGGTCAAATCGTACAAGAGGCGTCATCCGCAACTGGCCAAAAGAGAATAAAATCAGCTCTTGTTCCCCGTGAAACAGCTCACCTTGTAAAAGCCCGCTGGGCAGAACAAGCCTGGATTTACTGCCGATTGTTTCCAAGGCCTCAGCAGAAAGTCGCAAGTGGCGATACTACAAGCGCAAAAAAGGCGACCAAGACTGTGTAGGCGGCATGAGACACTTTGTGTTCCGGAAACCAACCGCGCAAGAACAGATTTGAAGGGGAGGGGCGTTTAAGATGGATGGCCTCTGTCGAATACAACCGAGCCGTTACTGGAGGATGGAGTTGTGTTGCACAAGAAGCGTAATAAGGCGAAACTAGCGAGACTGACACGACCAGAGACCGGAAAGAGTTGAGACAACCGAATTACAGCGTTTAGTGTGTGTGATGTGAAGAGATTCTGTTCCTTTCCCTTGCCGCTAGAAGAGTTTCCCGAGGAGATTTTCGCCAGACAGAAAGCAGCCACAATCATGCGACGACCGAAGATTGACGACACAAGATGTTCCGAGGACAGTTGCAGAGTCAGGTCGCAGCAATGGTTGATGGCGCACCGATTCAATTCGACGAGACGCACTTTTTTTGGAAACAAAGGAAATAGGACAAAGACAAATGGCAACGACGCCCCCACCGTGGCCCCGTTGTTTTCAAGACCCGCAATTAAACCATTCCGAAGCATACAGAGGGGAGGAATCAAATGACAGCAAAGGGGAATTTGGGGAAGGAATAGCGATCACAAGATCAAACTACTCATTTCTGTCAGCAACCTACCTGCTGCCGTAGCGGTCATCGGGACGGCCCTCGTAGGAGCGACCACCATTACCGCCGGCACCGCCACTATAGGCCTCGCGAGGCTCGCGGGGAGGCGCAGCATCGTAGCTGGCAGGGTTGGCATCGCGATCGTAGTAGCCACGGTCACGACCACCGCCTTCACCACCACCACGGCGGTCATCGCGGCTGTAACGGTCCTCGCGACCACCATAGCGGTCTCCACCACCACCACCGCCACGGTAGCCACCATAATCGTCGCGGTATTCTCCACCACCGCGGTAGTCACGACGACCAGAGTCACGGCCACCGTAGTCGCCACCGCCGCGACGGTCATACGAGTCATAACGGCCGTAGCGGTCATCATCACGACGACGCCAGCCACCACCTCCATAGCCACCACGGCGGTCACCGTAGCGGTCATCACGGCGAGGGGGGCCGCCGGGTCCACGCTCTGGAATGAATACATGAGTATTTTTGATGGAACATCGAAGAAAGGGGGAGATGGGAAAGCTTACCGCGCTTGGGGGGTCCGAAGTACTTGCCAGGAGTCGGGGTACGAGGACGGCTGCGACGGGCCTTCTCGATGCTGAGAGTGCGGCCCTCGATGACCTCGCCCTGGAGGCCTTCCTTGGCGGCATCGGCCTGGTCGGCAGCGGCCATATTGACGAAGCCAAAGCCACGGGACTCCTTGGTGTGGGGGTCGAGCATGATCGAGCAGTTTTCCACATCACCGTACTTCTCGAATAGGCGCGAGACGTCGGACTCGGTCAGACGAGGGTGAATGCCAGTCACGAAAAGGTTAGAGCCGGAGTTCTGGGCACCCTCCTCATCGTCATCCAGAGGTTTACGAATCGCCGAGGGTCTGGGCCTTTTGATCATCAGAATTAGGGACTCGATCCCCCATGAATGGGGACAGGAGTGGAAAGGCATACCGGTCGTCGGGGCGGCCATTGGGGGAGCGGCTGCGGGCACGGTCGCCTCGGGGCTCATCACGGGGAGAGGCGCTGCGGTCGCGCTCGTACCGGGGTTCGTCTATCGACGGGCATCCCAGAGTCAGCAGCTGCATCATCCGGTAGTCGTTTGATGATACTCACCGGCATAGCGGCCGTTATCGTTGTCGTAATCAGCCATGATGGGAAGGGGGAAGCTGAAGGGCGATGGGAGGAGAAGAAGGAGAGGAGAAATCGAGAGTCGATAAGACGCCGGAAAGGAATAATATGCTGAGTCAGCTCCCTCGCTGCGCGCCCAGTCGGGTAGTTAAGAGCAAGACAATCCATTCATTACTACTACAAGTTCGTACAAAAGATTAACCCAGCCTAGACGCCACCTCCATCCTTACACCGAATACTCAATCCAAATTAACATGTCCATAGAAAGTAGCCGCCTGCCTCAGCGTCGCCGCCGTCGGTTCCGTTGCGACCTCGACGATGACTTGGCCTTGACGGCAAGTGTCTCTGGAGCAGCCGAGTCCATATCCACATCGTCCACCAAATCGTTGAGCTCGTCCTCGTCCAGTTCGCTCAGCTCCTCGCTCATACCACGCATCACGTCTCGGCCCGTCCATCGCTCCTCGTAGATCGTGGTACCGACTGGGTCAAATGGTTCCATGTACCATTGGATACCACCCTGCGCCAAGGGCAGCTGCTGGTCTTCATCGTTCAGCAGTGGTGTCGGGAGTCTCTTAGGAGCGATGTATGGTCGGACAGTGGGGTTCTTCTCAGACTCTCCATTTGCAGCAGGGGGTTCTTCAGCACCGGATGGCCCAGACGCAGGCAACTCATCACCGAAAGGCTGTACCTCCTCCTGCTCCTCGACTGCCGACTCCGTAGTCTCTGCGGCGGGCCGTTCCTCAGCTGATGCATTTCCTTTCGCGCCAGCTGCCTCTTGAGATTCAGCGTTGGTGTCCGGTACTTGGTCCAGGTCCATTTCTTCAGCTGTGACATCTGTGATTCGCTCGGTGTCACCTTCAGCCGGTTCGACGGAATCGCCTCGGCGAGACATCACGCTGTGGTCAAAAATCACGTCCAGCTCCTTCAGCTCCTGCTCGAACGGTTTGCGGTTCAATTCGCTTTCCTTCCTGATCGCATCTTCCAAGGCAGGCTGGATGGCTTTGATGATCCGTTTTGCCAGCTTCCGCTTTTCACGTTGTTCCAAGCTGAGTTCCGGAGCACGGCCACTGATCTGCGCCTGGAGTTCGGCGGTGTCGCCAGCGGGCTGAACGCCAATCTCAGATGTAAAAAGGTTCGCCAAGTCGGCAGAGAAGGTCGCGACAGATGGGTAAAATCGGTCTTGAAGCCGCTGGCGAATGGACAGCAGGCCGTACGCAAAAACACCTTTGCTATCGAGCCTGTCAATTCGGGTCAGTGTCAGATACTCCAAAACAGAATAGAACCAGACTTACCCTTGGGCTTTCTCGAAAATCGGCCAGAGCAATGGGAAAATAGGGAAATAAACCACATCGACAATGCTTCGAAGCATCTCGGCATCCTTCAACTTCTCCCTCTCGCGCTTCTTCACCTCATCACACAGCATCCTGAGTCGGTCAAGATCCTTGTACAGTCTCTCGCCGAACTCGATGCGACGGTTCAGGCGCTTGTACCCGGTAACACCCATGGCGACGTAATCTCTTCGCGTCATCTCCATCGACGAAAAGGTCTCGAGCTGGAGCTGCAATCTCTTGAGGAGGGCCGCTCCTCGCCGGGCTTCCCGCTTGAGAGTCCAATACTTGCACGCCTCCTCGGCGTACTGTTTCCTTTGGCGCACCGTAAACCGCGCAAGGGTCGCCTGCACAGCGTTGAGAACGACCTGAGGAATCACAGGCGCACCAGACGGCAGCTTCCAGACCGTTCGTGGTGGCCCTTGAAGACGCTTGCGCTTATTACCACTCACAGTCAGAGTGATGCGGGGAGTAAGGGCCTGTTGGTTTTCATCGTAGTGACCGCCAGCCGGGTGTGTTTCCAAGGAGAGGGCCTGAGCCTGGCTGTCGCCCCATCGTCTTCCTTGCATAGTGTTGCGATAGTACTCAATCGCGTCAGCGGTCGCAGCATCGGTACCATGCTCCAGTCGCCAGTCTGGCGAGACATGCTTGTCACAGTAAGCTTTCAGAAGATGGGAATCCATGAGTCCATGGCCAATCTTCATCTTCAGGTAGAGTTGAGCCCGCCGTGCGCATGAAACATGGAACGCAACAAAGCAATTCTTGTTGCTGCACTGGATCGAGGCACCCATCTTTTGCTTGCAAATGTAGCAAAGTAACTTCCAGCGGCTACGCGGCACCTTTTCAACGTCCGTCACAGGCTCCATAAGCGACGGATTTCCGATAGACACCTCGGGAATCCAGATAGCACAGAGAAGGTGAGCCCACTTCGATGATGTTGTCTGCTTGAAAGCGCCCTCGGTATTCGGACAAAAGATGCAGTTGGTGGTGCCCCGGCCAAGTAACTGACACTTGCGACAGAGCCACTGGCCCTCCGGGATGAAGGGAACGCCATAACATTCCTGATGCACGGCTAGGTCGCAGCCATCGCAGAACACAATGGCATTAGCGTTCTCACAATCGCCGTCATCACAAATGGCGCATCTGCTGTCCTGTTCCTCTCCCGGGCCAGCGGTCTCTCCGTTCACCGCCGCTGCGGAGCTGGAGCGCGGCCGATGCGTCTGCGGTGGCTTCGGATTTGGTTTAGGAATGCGCTTTTCAAGAGCGTGCCACTCCTTCTCGATTTTGGTCATGGTGATTTCGAAGATCGCCGGCTTGATGGGCTCCAGTTGATCCTCTCTTCGCTTGAGGTTGTAGTCTTCCAGCCACTTCTCATCCTGCTCATCCATATCATACTCCACTCGCCCGACGGTGGTGTTGACATCGCCATCTGTCGTGGCAGGTTGAATAATATCCATGTCATCTTCTTGCGCGCCTTCGGTCATTCGGATGAAACGTCGGTCGTGACGAACAAACAAATCGCTTTCCTGATAGCCCACACTAGCCATCGTTCGATCAACATAGTTCTGTGTGCCGACACCCTTCCTTTCATAAAATGTAAAGGGGTCTTTGAGTCGAAACGAGGGCTTAGGCAGCGTCAACCTCTCTCGAGGATTCGGGCCCGGTGGCGGTATCACTTTTGGACCTTGTTGAGCTATGAGCTGGCTCAATATGGCTTCGGGACGGCGTGGAGGGCGCCCAGGTCTACGCTTAAAGGGCATTGGAGACGCCATATCAGCAGACAGGCCCAGCGGCGTCCCTGAGCCATCTTGACTGGTGGTCGTCGTCGTCGTAGCCAAAGAATCTAGACTCATGGGCCCCGAGGGGGCAGGGGTATCGACGTCCACTGATGTGAAGACAGCCAGCTTGCAATCAATATCCAAGTCTGGATGAAACTCCTCCCAGCCACGTTCCTCGCGAGGCTTGTACCCATCTCCCTGTTGCAGCGCAAGGGCAGCGGCCGTGGACGAAGGGTAGCGAGCGCGGCTTGGATTCTTTTCTCGTCTGGGACGCATCACAGAGGGCGGCGTTGTCGGCACCGGCACAGGTGGTGGTGGAGGAAGCAGGGTTGGAGGAGGGGCTCGGACAGGCTGAGGATCGACCTCGCGCGCAGCAGGACGACCACGAGCGCTGGAAGAGTGGCGTCTGGGCGTGTTGTTCTTTTTCGGAGTGTCTTGGGTCTTGCCGACATCGATGAAGCGACCTCCTCCCCCAGGACCACCGGGGACATATCTGCGCTTCTTCGAAGGAGGCGCGCCGTCAGGGGAGTCGACCGCCGAGCGCGAGACTTTCGAGTGGGGTCTACCTTTGCTTCCGGATAGTCTGCCCGGGAGGCTGCGTCGGGAGCTCGGCGCCATCGTGCATCGCAAGGTTTGGGACCAGGGGGATGAGCTTCGGGGTACGGGATTGCAGATCGCCGCCTAGTCTGCGGATAGGCCACGCAGGCGCGTCAGGGAGGACTGAGGCGCCACAAGGTGTCGAGGATGAAAAGGGTGTCCGGGACGACCAGGCCAAGAAGGATAACAAAGACACAAAAGAGATATCTTGGAAGGGAAACAGCGTGCGGGCGCAGAGAATGGACGGATGGGAGGGCAAGAGAGAGTGTTTGCTTTGTTATCCGACGGAGAGAAGCTCGGACCAGTTTATGCCTGGGGTGTCGATTCCCCATACAATTACATACGAGCATAGCTCCCTCTCTCCCTCTGCCTCTCTCTCTCTTTCTCTCTCCCCCCTTCCCTCGAACTTGGCCCTCTCTGCCTTCCCCGACCCCGAGAAGGCTTCTTGAAGACCTCATTCCTACCCTCCCATATCAGCATGAGCGGCCCCGGTGACGACAGGTACGTCTTCACCGGTCTCGTCACTGGCGCCGTACCGTAAACGCGCGCTCTCCAACTCCGCTGACCTTCCCGCAGATGGCGTGGAGGACCTAGTCGCCAGTCGTCACAACGCCAGAACCGCGGCGGACAAGGTGGCCAGCGTGGTGGCAATGCTGCTTGGAGTGGCTCGGGGCCAGCGCAGGAGCAGCATGTCCCCGTCCGTGGCTTTAATGCTGCCGAGACCAAGAATGCTCTGAAGAGAGGTGAGGAACGCTCGACAAGGAGGACTAGTGGGACTAGAGGGCTGACAATGCTTTCTTTTGCCATTGATATAGGTCCCGGAGGTTCGTCGGTCTCGTTCTCTCTGCCGCTTCCCCAAGTCTAATCAATGTCCCCGCAGAACCAAAAGCAACGTTTTACAAACCCACAGGGAAAGACTCGAACAACCAACGATCTGGTGGACCCTGGGGCTCGAAAGGTACACTCGCTACACTGTCCATGCTGGTTAGATATTAATTGTTCATTCCTGCAGCAAACACAATGGCCAACGGCAAGGACTTCTTCGTCGAGCTCCGGAAACAGGTCGCAATCTTGCAGCGAGGCGGAACTCCCGCAGGCGGTTGATCATGATCATAATATGATTGACGACACGACATGACACTTGTTATTGCATAGTGTGCCGGAGGAGGGTTGGGTTGGGTTGGATTAGCTTTTGAGAGCGGAAAATGAAGATTGGTTAGAACGGCACATTCATGGATACCCTTCCAAGGAACTTCGACGGGGGGAACGGACTCCTCGGTTGATACTCGTATTGTTACATTGCACCGGCGTCTCTGTTGAGCTGTCTGCTCTTGGGAATTTGAGTGGGCCATCTTGAAGTGTACATTCACTCGTTGACAGGAGCATGGACTTTTTGTGCTGGCTATGCCATACACAAATCAAATATGAAAAATCAAATAAGAATGGGGTATCTCTCGTAGTAGTATACAGGTCTATATCCGTCACACCGTTCCAGCTCGAATCCACCCACTCGGCCCTAGGATCCCACCATCGTCAGCCTGCGGATCGAGCGTCCATTTCCGCAACGCCCGACAACTGAGATCAGAGCGCCAGCCAGCTTCGAACATCTCAATGCCCGCCCATCCAATCATTGCTGCGTTGTCAGTGCACAGATACGGTGGCGGAGCGACGATATCAACATGTCCAAAGCCACGCACATTCAAAAAGGAACGGAGCACATGCATGAGGAATTTATTCGCAGCGACACCGCCACTGACAACGAGAGTCTTGACGTTCTCATCTTCGCCCTGGACCCTTGGCCGCAGAGCTTCGAGGGCGATAATCGTTCGCGACGCAAGGTGCTCAAAACAAACTCGCATTGCTTCCCGTCCCAGCGCAACACGCTCGTCCTGCGACAGGGTCTCATCTGTCTTGTTTCTCACAATTTTTCCAACCATGCTCGAGATAGATGAGAAGCTGAGCTGCAGGGTTCGCGTATTGGCAAACGGCGTCGTGACACTCCATCCCCAGGGACTCCGGTGTTTGGCCACTTCTTCGCCTCGATTTTTCGGTGGGCGGTAATCCGCAAAGTCGGCTGTGCCATTGGGGAAGACAAACTGTTCCAATATTTTGCCATACATGGTGTTCTTGGCTTCCTCGAGCAGGGAAGGTGGGAGAATATCCCGTGCGGCTTTGTCGAGAGTTTCACCCATAGCGACGTCGTCGCTCGAAGCCAGAATCGTGTGGTCTGTGAGGGATTTGGAATGGACCAGGATCGAATGCCCTCCCGAAACAAGGATGGACAGGAACGGGAATTGAGGCGAGACAGTTCCTGTCTTTTCTGAGCTCGCGCTAGCTGTTTCCGCCAGACAAGAAATCAATCGAGGTGTCAGCAAATGCGCTTGCATATGATGCACCCCGACCATAGGTATCTGCCAGGCGACAGAGAGCGCTTTGCCCGTATCCAGTCCGACGGAGAGATTGGACCGCATCCCGGGCCCTCTGGTGGCTGATATGAAATCCGGCCGGCGGCGAAGTTTGTCACCAACGGGTATGGTTTGTTCGCCTTCATTTCCCAAACTGGCAGGTAGATGTCTCATCGCTTTCTCGACCAGTTTTGCCATGCTCTCCTGGTGAGACTCGAGCGCGAGGATCGGGTGAATGCCTCGATGGGCCCGTGAATCCGCCGTCACATTTTCTAGGAAATGGATCTTGGCCGCGTGTCCTGTGGCGTGCGCGCATTTCTCGACAATTGCGACCGAGGTATCGTCACTGTAGAGAACTTGGTCAGCGCGTTCACATTTAGTTGGAGGTTTGGCCTTACCACGACGTTTCAATAGCGAGTGTGAGCAGGCCCTGGCGGCGTTGTGGGCTGAGAAGGGCTCTTGACGCGCCCCGTACCGACCTGCGAATCGCAGCGGGGGCTGTCGCGACAAACATGGGTTGGGAAGTTGTCGATTCTTCAATTGAAGCACTCGAGCCTACAGCGGCGAAAAGGAATGTGCACGGGCCACCTAACCCTCAAAAGTAGCCCTAATTGCCAAGTAGTAGTTGTTCGATGGGGTCAGTCTTCCATGTACGATGGCTTGTCGGTCTAGTTCTCCGAGAATATTCAGTAGTAATGACAATACTCCCAGCAGAGATATAGATCCAATCCAATTAACCCAGTATTTCACTGGACTGGCTGAGTTATACAGTGCACGTGATGGCCACTAAGCCCGATCTGGCTTGTTATGCCCCTGTTCAGCGTGGAGTACGACATCCTCTTGCCTACTACATCCTCACTACTTGAAAGATGTTATCATTGGGCGTTTCTCGAGCTGGTTTAGGCCGAGCGGCCTCATCAGTTGGCCGAACATACTCGACGAACTCGGCAAAGCATCCGCCTTCGAATCGGAGGAGAAACGTCGCACTCGCCAGCGTGATCAGCACTATGCCAGGCCTGTGGTGGTTCACGGCCACCGACGACAACATTCCACTTCTGAAGACTACGCCAGTGGATCATTGGGACGTGGAGCCAGGCCCTTCAAAAGACCAAGTGACTCGCATGATATCCGAAGGGGCATATTCTTTCCCTGTCAAAAGTGTTGCTGGCATCAGCAGATACGATGGCACCCAATTGGGCTCCAATAGCCTATGCGAAGACCGATTTACACATGGCAAACTTCCTTCGCCGTGGGATGATGGCAGTCAATGGATGGCCTGGGCCATTTTCGATGGGCATGCAGGCTGGCAGACAGCAGACTTGCTGGAGAAGCAGCTCCTCCCTTTTGTACGGCACAGCTTGAACCAAGTGAAGCCATCTTTGAACGATGAAACTGTTTCGTCCGACTTGGTTCAGCGTGCGATCATCAAAGGGTTCTTGAACCTCGACGACTCGATTATCAAGACAGCCTTGCGGACAGCTCAGAGCAAAGAACCACTTTCAGAAAAAGTGAAGAAGCTGATGCCTGCTTTCGCGGGGTCCTGTGCTTTACTCTCTCTGTACGATCCTTCCACTCGCTCGTTGCATGTGGCGTGCACTGGTGATTCACGGGCAGTGCTGGGGCAACAGCTGCCCAACGGGACGTGGGAAGCAATACCGTTATCTGTGGATCAGACTGGTAGCAACCAAGAAGAAATTGCCAGGCTGTACAAGGAACATCCAGGCGAAAAAGAGATCGTCAAGGAGGGCCGCGTGCTAGGAGTGATGGTCTCGCGAGCCTTTGGCGATAGTCGGTGGAAATGGCCACTAGACTTCCAGCAGGAGATGAAAGAAAGATTCTTCGGTCCATCTCCGCTGACTCCAAAATATGATGTTCGAACCCCGCCGTATCTGACCGCTGAGCCGGTCGTGACAACTACAAAGATTGACCCCGGACGACCTTCGTTCTTGATCATGGCGTCGGACGGGCTGTGGGACTCGCTCTCTAGCCAGCAGGCTGTTGATTTAGTAGGAAAATGGATCGGGTCGAGGAAAAGCATACCTGCGCCAGAGTATGAGGCATTTGATTTTGGCCAGGGAGTAAGTGAGAGGTTTGTGGAGGGGAGAACGACTGTCCAAGACGGTAATAGTGCGGTGCATCTAGTGCGCAATTCTCTCGGTGGGAATCACCATGAAATGATTGCAGGACGGCTTGCCTTTAGCCCTCCGTTCTCTCGGCATCCACGGGATGATATCACGGTGCAGGTAGTGTTCTTCAACACGCCGGTTTAAAAGATCTATAGTGTGCTGGACTCAATTTGATTTAGAAGACACGTGAGACTAGGCCTGCAGCACTTATAACTACATACGAGGCTGACTACGGATGACGTTGTGTATGTATATCCCGGACTGTAACGACCGACTGGGTTAAATTAAGGGTTGATATCAAGTTCATAAATCCGAGTCCCATCATCACGTCATAAAGGTAATCGTTTCATCAGCACACCGACGCATCATCTTCTCTTCTCAGCTCCAGTGCGCATGTAGAACACCGAGTGTAAGCTCAATCTGGGTAGGTACCTAAGTAGCTTTGGGTGTGTCCTTGATAAACATCTTGTCTGCGAAACGATCTGCAGCTGCGAATACACCACTCGGCTGGAGGGGCAGTTCGTCACTCACTTTTGATTCCCCAACCCCATATGGTCCGCTGGGGAGGGATGTTGAGCTCTGAATCGAGATGGCGTTCTCCTCTGATCTTCTTGGTCGTCTAAATAATGCAGGTCGCTGTTGCATCGTTACGCAGCCCAGCGTCGCTCTTCGCGGGTCATCTTGGTGTGCTTGCCGTAGTACTCGTCCGGGTTCTCAATAGGTGTCACGCAGTAGACAGTTGGGGTACCCTTGAATTGGATGTTCTTTGGGGCGCTTGATCGCGCGGCCGACGACTGCTTCTTGAGGATGCTCTTCGACGAGCAGTTGTTCGTGTATGAATAAGAAGGCACTTGCAGTGACGAGAATCTTTTGCTAGATGGGCTAGCTGCAGAGATCGGCGAGATGGGAGTGCGAGGAAGTGCACCCGGCGACTTGAGCGGCCGGGAAACAGTCTGTGCAGCGGCGATACACAGGGACAACTTGGGTTTGGCGGCGTACATTGTGAAGATGAAGATGCACAGAAGGAAGGTATTGACAGAGGGATAGAAATAGCGATGTTGTTTTCTTGAAGAAAAAAAAATGAACTTTGATCAACAAAGTCCACCTAGACGGTGTGGTGGAGAAAAAGATTAGGGACGTAGAGTCAAGTCAAGAAGTAAGAGCAAAAGGATCGTCTGGACCAGCCGAGACGAAGCGCGGGACGAAAATAGAATGAAGAGAAAATAGAACAACCTCAAACAGCGATACACCCAGAGTAGGGGCGAGGGCGGCTATATAGTGAAGGTTGGGGTTGCTTAGCGCCGGGCTCATGCACCCTGGCCTATCACCATCACACCGATCACGCCCATCACTTGAGCTGCTGCATGGGGAGCTGTGGGTTCTAGCCAATCACGGGAGCTATCTCTCCAGTTCCAGGTGATGGAATTGGGAATGTGCAGGGAGTGGGAGCATGTATACGGCATGGAGGTAGGGCTCGGTCCCATCCGAGTGGGAGGGCTTTCTGCACGGATCTGTTTTCAGAGGATCATCTGACAGGGAGATGGTGGTCTATGAGTCTAGAGCATATCTATATCCATGTTATAAATATATATATATAGCGTTGTCCGCAATTCTCTAGAAACGTCAAGTGTTGGTCTGTTAAATATATCTCTCATCCCCGCGACCATCGTCCCCACCATTATGCACAGACTAAGGATACATAACTACAGCACTAGAACCTGGCATAACACTGGGCACATCCGGCTATAATAACAGTAGTCCAGTTTCCAAGTGCGCGAACTAAACAGGCAGGTTTATCCAACCGGGCCCGGCCGCAGTGAGAGAAAGAATCGGAGGTGATGCGGAGCACGAAATCAATGTAAGCCAATCATCTCCGAGTTCTCCAACTGGACCCCGCATGATCAGGTGCCCGGGGGATAATTCCCTCGTAGTGGGTACTGGTACTTATCCCAGGATGGGTCGCCTCATACTGGAGCAAGTACCAGTACATCCAAGCCGGCTTGTGCCTGGTCCCGTGATGTCAGTCGGGCCGATTCAGGTACAGTAAGTAATGTACCCTGAGTGGCGAGAAAAAATTAATGTGACTGTGAAGCGGACAGGGAGAATCAGATCAATGGGATAGACAAGACGGTAAAAAGAAACAGTAGTAGTATAGATGCTGGACATAATCCTGTGGAGACGGCCCCATCAATCGGTGAGAAGAAAATAGTCGGGCTGGTCGCCGAATGGGCGTGTGTCGGGCCCAGGGGGGCAAAGAGCAGCTGGCCTCTTCCGCAATCGAAAATTCTTTCCTTGATCTCGACATCACTACAATCACCCCAATTCATTCATCTCACGTCCCTTCTTCCCTTTTCTCCCGTCCCCCCTGCATGGTCGCTTTGTTCCTCCGTCCCTGCACTCGGTGATCTCTGCCACAATGAGTAGTGTCAAGGAATCCGTCAAGGAGAAGCTGGTCGGCTCCACGACTGAGCCTTACCAGCTGTCCCACCAGGCCCGCTCCAATTTCATGCGCCATGCCCGGAAAGATGAGAATGGCGATCTGTACATGGGCAAGGAGGACTTTATCGATGCCATTGCTCCCAAGCAAGAGGACTACGTGAGTCAACCGCCCGTAGGGAAGCAACAACACCACTGACGCGGAGGTCATTGCAGCACAAAATCAAGCGCGACCAGTATGCCATCCTGTTCAGCGTCGCCGACCGCCGGAGGACTGGCAAGCTCAACCTCGCCGACTGGGCCACCTTCGAGAACCTCCTGGCGAAGCCCGATGCCGAGTACGAGATCGCCTTCCGCCTATTCGACCTCGATGGGAGCGGCTCCGTGAAGTGGGATACCGTGCAAGGTCTGTACAATTTGAGCAAGAGCTCCGACAGCATCCCCTTCGACTGGAATTCCGAATGGGCCTCGCTGTATACCGGCCGCACCAAGTCTCGGCACGACATGACCTACCCTCAATTCTCCCAGATGCTGCGCGGGCTTCAGGGTGAGCGCATTCGGCAAGCCTTCCACATCTTCGATAAGGATGGAGATGGCTATATCGAGCCCGAGGACTTTCAGCGCATCATCCTGGAGACCTCCCAACACAAGCTGTCGGACCATGTGTTGGAGAATCTGCCCACGCTGTGCAACATCTCGACCAGCAACAAGATCTCCTATGCCAACGTTCGTGCCTTCCAGAACGTCATGCGCGAAATGGACCTCATCGACCTGATTGTGCGTGAAGCCACCGTGAAGAGCGGTGACGGCAAGATCACTCGCTCGGACTTTCTCAATGAGGCCGCTCGCGCGACCCGCTTCTCTCTGTTCACCCCCATGGAGGCCGATATCCTATTTCATTTCGCCGGTCTGGATGCGCCGTCCGGAAGACTGTCTCTGAATGACTTCGCCAAGGTTATTGATGCATCGTGGCGCATCCCCGTCGCCGCTGCGGGCCAGGCCGGACACGAGGTCGCGACCAAGACCAAGTCGTTCCTTCACGGCTTGCTGGAATCGGCACACCACTTTGCCCTGGGCAGTGTGGCGGGTGCTTTCGGTGCTTTTATGGTCTACCCGATCGATTTGGTTAAGACCCGGATGCAAAACCAGCGTTCCACCCGGGTTGGCGAGCGACTGTACAACAACTCCCTTGATTGCGCCAGGAAGGTTATTCGGAACGAGGGTTTCACTGGGTTGTATTCTGGAGTGATCCCGCAGCTGATTGGTGTAGCGCCTGAGAAAGCCATCAAGCTGACGGTCAACGATCTGGTTCGGGGCGCTCTTACGGACAAGGACACCAATAGGATCTGGTATCCCTCGGAAATCCTTGCCGGTGGTACTGCAGGAGCGTGTCAAGTGGTGAGTTTTAATATTTGTCACTTTTTCTTCCCGCAATCTCTAACATAGTCTAGGTCTTCACCAACCCCCTTGAGATTGTCAAGATTCGTCTGCAGGTGCAGGGCGAGATTGCAAAGAATGTCGAGGGTGCTCCTCGCCGGTCAGCCCTGTGGATCGTGAAGAACCTGGGTTTGATGGGCTTGTACAAGGGAGCTAGCGCTTGTCTCCTGCGTGACGTGCCTTTCTCCGCCATCTACTTCCCTACCTACTCGCATCTGAAGACGGGTATGTTCGGCGAGTCCCCCACGCACAAGCTCGGTGTTATCCAGCTTTTGACTGCTGGTGCCATCGCCGGTATGCCGGCTGCCTACCTGACCACCCCGTGCGATGTGATCAAGACCCGTCTGCAAGTCGAGGCCCGCAAGGGCGAGACCAAATACACCGGCCTGCGCCACTGCGCCACCACCGTGTGGAAGGAAGAAGGTATCAAGGCCTTCTTCAAGGGCGGTCCTGCCCGTATCATGCGTTCCTCGCCTCAGTTCGGCTTCACTCTCGCCGCATACGAGGTTCTGCAGAAGGCACTGCCCCTGCCGGGCGCCGAGGAAGACCTGACCCCCAGCGGAAACCTCGAGCCTGGTGTCGGCATGCAGCAGGCCAAGGCTCCTCTACCTTACCTACGGTCTCGGAACGCGCTCAAGCTCATCCTCGATCTGGAACCAAACCTTGGCCGAGTGCAGGTCCCTCGCGTTGAGAACTGGCCCAAGTTCCTGCAGAGCAGTTCCAAACAGTGATTCTCTCTCCTGTTCCTTTTCCTTATATTTATAGCGACTATTTTTTGGACCATTTGCTTTTCGGTTGATTTAGCACGAGATCTCTTTTTTTCATTCCTCCTATATTTTGGTTTTGCTATACGAGGATTTGGATGTTGGCAAAAAGACACGCACACACTCACCCCTGCATGATTCCTTTCCGGCATCTTTTGTCATCTTTTTTTTCCTCCCTTGAGAAGTTCTTCTTCGGGGCCACATGTGTGCATTGTACCAACAGCGGATAGATTTGGATGGACTTGTGCAGGAGCAAAATAGAGGAGTCCCTTTTCTTCTACATTGGCTAAACCATTGGATGTCATTGCTGTTGTTATCTTGCGCTCGTTCCTGGATAGTCTCGCTGGTTGTTGGTCTGTGTTCTGTACAATATCTCACCTAGATCTAGAGCGATAGACAGATTTCATTACATGTCTGTTTGGAGAATTCCTTGGTTTCCGTTTTGAAGGTGATGACGGAGTTAGTGAGATTTGTCTGGAAGGAATATCCACTGGTAGATTTGAAGATAGTAGTATGACATGGAATTTCGGAGATATTTATACATGGGGTGAATTCTGGTTTGACAGGTGACTCCAAGTTGGACACAATAGTTTCATCCAGCCACGGGTGACATGGACGGGATTTGCTCAATAGTGATCACTCTTAAGACCAGAGTGATATCCTAGACATCCTCAGACGCTTGTACCTGGATGATAGAGCTCCTAAGAGCAGCGCAGGATTTGGTGTAAAAGTCTGCCATATGCGTGCAAAGTGGCAGGTATATGGTTCTATAGGCTTTACACAATGGTTGTAGTAAAGTCCAATATCTTGTATAGTTGTATGGTAGCCCCCCAGAGTGCGTCTCAAAAGAAATTCGTTTTCCGCGTTGATTGGATCTTGCTCTCGTCGCCTAGATTGGCGGTGGCAGGTGCCACAGAGTCCTTTTCTTGGGCTTTCGGTGTCTGGCTTTGCTTTTGTGGCGATTCGGACTTGGAGTTCTTTTGGTGCCAGAGAGAATCCTCTTCCTCAATCTCACGGAGCACTAGAGAGAAGCAAACAGTCAATAAGATGTACAGACTTGACCCAGCAGAGGACCAGTAGGTGGCATACCCTCTTCCCATTCCCGTTCTTTCGCCTCATCGCCAGTACCCAACAACCTCTCCACATCGACCGTCTCCCCCGCTTAACCTTCTCAATCACCTCCCGCAGGAGCTCAATCTTCGCATCTGTCGTCCGGCGATAGGCCGCATAGTCGTTCTTCAGAGTCATCAGGCGAATAGCCTGCGACCCGATGAGAGTGAAGATGATGATGTAGAAGGTGGCTGGGTTCCATTCGGTGGATTTGGTGTCTTTCGCTGCGCGCTCCTTGCGTGTCCCGCGGTTGCGGATGAACCTGGGAATCATCGCCGTCCATACGGATGTCTGGGCGATCTTTGGGAGGTGGTTGGTCGTCGCATATCGTCGCACTTGCAATGGAGCGCGGCACCTGGGTGTGGTAGAGAATATAGAGTGGTTGGACCAAAGATGCCGCAAGGTTGGCCCAGAGGACCGGGTCCGTAATGGTGTGGCCATGGTTATGTGAGTGCTATGGGGGCTGAGAATAAGGAAGAAAGAGACGATTCGGAAGTTCACTTTACGGCCTAAGACATGAGGCATCAACGCTATTCCCTGTCGGGAGTATTGTTGCTGCGACAACCAACGCCAAACCCAAGACAAGCAAATCACCACGAGCTTCAAGTCCGATGAACACCACAGGAGTAATCGCCTCCCTCCCATCATGGCGGTCACCGTCCTGCCTGCCGATTCCCTGAGCGAATCCGTCAAGCTGGCAGTCCGGTCACCTTCGACTTGCTCCGCGACGACCGTGTCGTCCCTCCAAGCACTCCTACGCGGTGCGTCCCAACCGCCAGACGTCAAATCGACTCGGAAGAATACCTCCTCAAAAGACACTGCATCCTCTCGAACGAAATCCATTCGGACAAAGGCCACCGTGAAGGGCGCGTCGCAATCGCTGGCTGAGCAGGATGCCGCGGGCTTGTCAAGCCAAGAACGGCTGGTTCTCGCGACGGAGGTGTTCAATACGACATTGAAGGCTCTCACCGATGCATCGAAGAAGACTCAGGCTTCTCCTGACAGTACACCGTCACGAGAGTCCAAGTCAGCTGGGCGAACAACGGGGAAAGCGTCAGCCACCGAGCTCGGAATTCATTCGGCGGCTGAATGTGCCAGGTTGGCATTGGCGACTCTGCGAATGCTCAAGACGGACAGAAATCAAGACAATGGGCTTCCCAATATGCAGCTCGAGCAGGGTGTGTGCGTTTTGGTGGGCAAATTGATTTCCCTGGGACTCAATGACCTGGCCTACAAGGAACTCAGGTCTCTCAAGCGGCGGATCCAGCAATACCTTGACCTGACAGCCGCCGGAAAGAAGAGAACAGACCCCAGAGAGGCACAGGATGACGAAGCGGGAAAAGAACGCATGTCTGATTTGATGACGTTTTCGAATCTGACAAACGTGAATTCCCTCTATGGTCTTCTTGTTCCATTTCACTCCAACGCAATGCGCCTCATTGCAGCGGACAGAAAAGCCTCCACAATTCAGAAGCTCTGCCCGTTTTTACAGCTGTCTGACCCCAGCAGTCCAGCCCAGGTGATCATGGCTGCTGCAAATTCTGGAAATTTATCAGATGACAAGGCTGCTCTCCAACTGCAGTTGCTGGCGAATACAGTCCTCTCGTTCTGCCCGCGTACCCCTCAATCATCCGATAACGTATCACCATTGAATCCCCTCACCACAATAACTTTGCAACTGTTGTCTCTGGAAATTCGATGCTTGAGCTGGAAATTGTCTGGCCATGTGTGCGACGAGACCAAAGAGGTGTTGGATCCATTGGCTCGCTATATTGGAGGCTTCTCTCACCGCAGCAAAGGGATTGAGAAATCCGAATTTGCCACTATTTATAAAACGATAACCCGCCTTCAATCTACCGTGGCAGATTATAAGAAGAAGACACCGGATCAGCCTAAGAACAGTACCCCCTCTGCCAACATCATGGTCGTTCTCGGACAGCTTGCTTTGGACGCGGGCTGCTTTGAAGAATCCCTGAAGTTGTTGAACCAAGCGGTTATACCACTTTGGCAGAATCAGAGTCTTTCTCTTGCTACCGTCCGATGCAAGATCGCGATTGTCCACGTCAAAACATCGAAAAGTTCGAAGGGCTTTTTAGATGAATTCTTGAAGTCAATATCCGATGCCACTGCGGCACTGGCACTACAACTGAAAGGAAGCACCAACGACTTGGATGAGCTGCTCGTCGAAGCTGCAAAACTCAAGAAAGTGACTCTCGCCTGGTTTGGAGACGCCATCACTAAAACACTCGCCAATGACAGCAAGGCAAATGAAGTCTCCAACCAAATCCGAGAATACTTACAAGCATTCTTGAGATTTCTCAGGCGTTATGTCGGCCGCGCACCCACCGAAGATAATGACAAGGAGACAAAGATGTTCCTCGACCGCATTGCCATGTCTAAAAGCATCGTGATTGCCGCCGTGGACTCAGCTGTGGCTGTTGGAAAGTTGTCTATAATGTCACAGAGCCCGCCTTGGGAGGATATGCTTCCCATCCTGAGCGATTCCAATCGTCTGCTGACGACCATCGAGGCCGAAGCTAAGGAATCTGAACATATCGGTGCATCACTCACGAAAATTTCCAATCTTTTCTGGTCGCGATATATCAAAGAAAAAGAAGCGGGACGAGGCTACCGAGAGCTTCTGCCTCTTCTCAAACAATCAACCCACCTGCTGTCGACCTGCTCGCCTTCCCACAGAAACCAAGGTTTTGCTGCTTTGAAGTTCGAGAGAATTGCTCATCTGTACTTGGATGGGAATATGCACAATGAATCCGAAAAATCGTTTCGACAGTCAATCAAAGAGTACATCGACACCGGCACTTTGGAAAAAATTGCAGAAGATGGCGCAGCAGATCTCAAAATGGCTTGTCAGGATCCCAAAAGTCATGGTTTTATGCTCGGCCGCGTGCTTTCTGCCTTTCTGAAGATGAAACTGCGGCGAAAGGGCTCCATCTCCTTTGCTCTCTACGATGACACCGAACTGGAACAGGAGCAAAGGGGCATGATTCTCGAGTGGCAGATGAGCTTGCTTGTCGATATGCAGGGCAGTTCCTCCAGCGATGACGATTTTCGTGCGACTCTCAGTCCAGTGGTCTCCAATCTGCTTGATATCTACTCCCCCGACCTTTACCCTATCCGCCGTCTTCGGGTGATTATTTCTGCTCTACGATTTCTCCTGGAACGCCCGAGTGCCTTGGACTCGACATTGCATGAGAGGCTTTTGAACGAAGGCACCGAGAACTTGGGTTTCGAAAACGGCTTTGCAGAAGACACTTATCTAGCTCGGTTCGCACCCCACACCGCAAATTCGCTGCGTGTAATTATTGGCCTTCACCAGGGTAAGATAGACGCGAGTGAGTTAGGCGACGTGCTTGCTTCATGGACATCCATGGCCCGCCAATGTCAGGACTTGGATTCTCTCCTTCTCTGTGTGAACGATACAGAGTACTGGGTTCTTCAGCTCAAAGCGCTGGTCGACTACACGGAAATACACGGACTCTGGAAAGAACAGCTCAGCGCCCTTGAGTTGATTATACTTGCTGCCGAGTTTCAGCAGACTGGAGACCCCGATGTCATTATCATTTTGTCTCGGTTGGTCTTACAGAATTGTCGACTTGGATACTGCCAGAAGGCGGGTGATCTCCTCTCCCGCGGTGAGCAATACCTCGCCCAGCACAAGGTGCCTCCCCTCGCGACCATCTCCTACAAGCTTGCACGAGCGGAATACCTCCTCGAAACTGGAGAAGTTGACAAGGCCGTGTCTATGCTGTCAACCGCCCGAGGACTGTATGAGAAAAGCCAGAACTCGCGGGCGGACTTGTCGGTTTTGACAAAGATCTCCTGGGAGAGGCTAGTGGCAGATGCTGTTTTCATTCAGTCGCGGCTATTTTCAGCGCAGGGGTCGATGACGCAGGCATTGTACTTTGCCAAGCTCTCTGTACGATTGAACTGTCGCATCTGGGCCAAGGTCGAGAAGCTGGCGCAGAGAAAACAAGACAAAGCCTTGCCCGCAGCAGCTAGCTCCGAGGTTGAAGCAATTGCTGATGGAGTTGCCAAGCTTGATTTATCCCAGAATGGATCTTCTACAGACTTGTCTTCTACCAGCTATATTCAAGGAGCACCTTTCTGGCCGCACCTCGGCTCACATCATACCTGCTTGTTGAACCTCGCGACCTTGTCTGCCCATCATGGTTTGTTCCAGGATGCCATCTACTATGGAGAGCAGGCATTGAAGATAGACAAGACTTTGGATGCCAATATTCGACTCATGGCAGCGCAGACTCAGCTTGGGAGCCACTGGATTCTTGGAGGCAATGCCACACAGGGCCAAGAGCTCCTTGCAGCCGCAGTGGAGTCGACCAAGCAAACCCAGACAAGTATTGAGTCCGTTTCTCTGCAGATGGCCCTCGCTTCGCTTTACAAGGAGCAAGGTCAACATGAGAAGGCACTCCGCGTGCTTCTGGAGGCCGATAAAATCATCACATCAGTCACGTCCTCTGATGTCCCCGGTGCATCAGACGATGTCGCAATCCTTGAGGAAAAGATGGACAACTTACGGGTACGTGGAAGCAGTCGCCGAGCTCAACCTGCTGCCACAGCCACATCTACCGCCCGACGCACACGTGCAACCACGGCGACTACCAAGCGGGCGGCACCCGCAAAGAAAGACCTTTCCGGAGCCCAGTCCAAGTCTCTACTTCGGCTCAAAGGTAGTGTCCTCCAACAGCAGGCCGACTGCTTGCGAGCACTTCGCGATTTTGAACGATCTGCGCGCACGCTCGATGAAGCACGACTGTTTGCCGTGGCACGAGAAAGCAGAGTGTCGCTAGAGATTGGCGAGAGTGAGCACCTGCTAGCAGACGCGATTCGACATTTTGCCAGCCATGCAGTCTACTGCGTTCTTCCCGAATCTACCATTTCACTACCCTCACTCAAATCGCCGTCCAAGGCTGCACCCGAGATCACCGTCAAAGCTTCAACTGCCAAAAGAACAAGGGCTCCTGCCAGAGGAACGCGCAGGGCCCAAAAGGCTACCGAGGATTTCTCGATAATGTTATCGAAAGCCGGAGATTGTCTCAGCAGTGTCTTTGCTGATGCAAGTATTCTTGGCTCAACACTTGATGGCCACGCTGCGTCTCGTCTGATGAGCCGGATATCAATGCTATCGCATGCTACTACTCCCGGAGGCCCAGCTACCTGGGCCCAGTCGCCTGCAAACATGAACGAGATTGGACGCGTTGGCGCCTTCGCCCGTGAACGCATAGCAATCGACATCGATCGACAACTAGCCGACTTTGCCGACCCTCTACTCTGGCCGACTTCGTCTGGTTCAACCGCTGAGCTAAACGATGAGATGTGCTCGAACTTCTCCAAAAACTACGTGGACATCCTGCCCGAGAGCTGGAATGTGCTTTCACTGTCATTGAGTGCAGACCAGACCGAATTTGTCATCTCGCGTCTGCAGAAGAACAGTGCCCCTTTTCTTCTGCGACTTCCTCTCCGACGCGGCAACTCAGACGAGGATGAAGAGCAGTTCACCTTTGAGGACGGCAAGGAAGAGATGCAGGAAATCATTAAGCTGGCGAACGAAAGCGCGCACGCTGCCAAGTCTCAGACTAACAGACAGTCCAAGAAAGAGTGGTGGAAGAATCGCGAATCGCTCGACCGTCGTCTGGAAAGCCTTCTTCAGAATATCGAGAGCCTCTGGTTTGGCGGCTTCCGGGGTGTATTCTCGCCGCTGTCCCGGGAGACGACTGCCCTGGCTCGCTTCTCGAGCTCTTTCCAGGACATCCTCGACAAGCATCTTCCTTCCCGGCAGAAAGGTGGCAAAAACTCTGGGCCTCAGCTGACGCTTCACCAGAACGTGGTAGAGTTGTTCATCGGTCTGCGAGATCTGGAAGCGCAGGAGGAGCCTGAGGATACGCTGATGGACCTACTCTACTTTGTGGTGGATATTCTCCAGTTCCAAGGAGAGCGCAACGCCTACGACGAGATCGACTTCGACATGATGGTCGTTGATACTCTGGACGCGCTGCGCGGCTACCACGAAGCCGCGCGAGATGAATTGGCCGCACGCTCTGCGAATCACACGGTCCTGGTGCTGGACAAGGCTCTGCATTTGTTTCCATGGGAATCTCTTCCCTGCCTGCAAGGCTTCCCCGTGTGCCGTGTACCATCCCTAGAGTGTCTACGAGAGCGCGTCCTCCAGTTCGGGAGCTCCCGATCTACCGCCGTGGCTGATCGCACCTCGGGCAGTTTCATCCTCAACCCAACCGGTGACCTGCGCACAACGCAGAATACCTTTGAGAAAGACCTCGTGCGCCTCGAATCCTGGACAGGGATCATCCACCGCGAGCCAACAGAAGACGAATTCCGCGCCTCGATCGAATCCAAGAGCCTGTTTCTGTATTTTGGGCACGGGAGCGGCGCGCAGTACATCCGCGGGCGCACCATCAAGCGGTTGAGCCAATGTGCCGTCGCTTTCCTCATGGGTTGCAGCAGCGGCACGTTGACTGAGGCCGGCGAGTATGAGCCCTACGGCACGCCGATGCATTATCTGCACGCGGGCAGTCCGGCGCTGGTGGCTACGCTGTGGGACGTCACGGATAAGGACATTGATCGGTTTGCAGCGTCGGCGTTTGAGCAATGGGGGTTAATGGGAGGAGTGAAGCGCTCGGGAGTCGCGCTGGACGAGGCGGTTGCGCGGTCTCGAGGGAAGTGTGTATTGAAGTACTTGAATGGGGCGGCACCGGTGGTGTATGGCGTGCCGGTGATGTTACAATAATTATCTCTCTTTTTTCTCTCTCCAGTGCGGGCAACCTAGGGACTCGTTTACTTGTTTGGATTATTCTTCTCCTCATGCGGGGCGCTTAGGAGAACCCCACGTCGGAAGACGTCAACCTTCAATTCTTACTATTTCTACCCGATCCATCCCTTTCTTCCCTTTCTACTCCCCCACCCCTAACTCACTCACTCCCGGGAACATCAATATGGCCGTCACCACCAAAGCAACCATCGCCTCCTTCGGCGGCAAGCTGCTCAAGCTCAGCCACGCCGCCTCCACTACCCGCTGCGAAATGAACTTCAACCTCTACCTGCCGCCGCAGGCCCAAACCCAGAAGGTGCCCGTGCTGATCTATCTCTCCGGTCTGACCTGCACCGCCGACAATTGCTCCGAGAAGGGCTTTTTCCAACATGCGGCGAGTAAGAAGGGCGTTGCGGTGTTGTATCCGGATACCAGTCCGCGTAAGTATCCCTCCCTACACCCGGATAATTCATAGTATTTAATTATGGATGGATTAATTGATTATGTATCTACAAGGCGGCCTCAAGATCGAAGGCGAAGACGACGCCTACGACTTCGGCTCCGGCGCAGGCTTCTACGTCGACGCTACGAAAGCTCCTTACGACGCCGGGTACAACATGTACAGCTACGTCACTGAGGAACTGCCCAAGACTGTCTTCGCGGCGTTCCCGCAACAGCTGGATGGTAGTCGTGTGAGTATTACGGGGCATAGTATGGGTGGACACGGCGCCCTGACTTTGGTGAGCGGTCCCTTACCCTTTTTTGGGGGTTCTTTCGAAGCAATGCTTGGAAGAAAAGGCTAATGGATTGGGATAGTACCTGCGCAACCCTGGCAAATACAAGTCCGTCTCTGCGTTTGCGCCCATCGCCAATCCCATCAACTGTCCCTGGGGCCAGAAGGCGTTCAAAGGCTACTTCGGGGATGAAGCCCAGGCGAAGTGGAAGGAGCACGATGCTACAGAGTTGATTAAGAAGTGGTCTGGTGGGCCATTGGATATTCTGATCGATGTTGTATGTTTTATGTCTTTCCCTCCATCTTGCCCTTCTTCCTTTTCTTTGTCTGAATACGGTTGATGTCTAATGGATATCGATATCAGGGAACCGGCGACAACTTCTACAAACAAGGCCAACTCCTCCCCGAAAACTTTGAAGCTGCTGCCCGCGATGCTGGTCTTTCCGGTGTGCATGTGCGCTACCAGCCGGACTATGATCATTCCTATTTCACGATGGCTACCTTTTCAGATGATCATGTCGAGCATGCGGCGAAGTACCTCTTTGCATAGTGTGTTCTCCCCTCTTATCTTTCAAACGAGTCTGCCTGTCCTTCCAAAACAAGTGTAGATGGATGCCTAGGGCTTTTTATTTTGAGGGTCTTTTCTGATAGATGATTTCTTGCTTGAAAGTGATCGCCACACCAAGTCTGTTATTTGAATTCAGATCAATCAATGAAAATTCATTATCATATCGACGCAAAATGGGGCTATTAGCGGGGCTGCAATAGAATGAGAAGGGCCAGGATGACTATCTGTGTTATAATTATGCTATAATTGAGGATAGGTACAGTCGGATCCAAATCCATAATGGTTCATTCATTTCATGATTACACTATAGGATTAATTAAGCCAAACTCCATTTATCATTCATTTCTCAGTATGGATGAACAAACAACTAGCTAAAAAGCTGACAATGCTGCACTAGGAGAAGGGATTGTACTCTTATTTCGATCATGGTTTGAGACAAACTTTTTGTTTTTCTTTTCCTCTAGTGCTAAACCTAACGGTTCATTTCATTTCATTCCGTCATCTTTTTGAAATGAGAGAAAATATGACAACATGGTATCTGTGCTTCGCAGATGGTGTGGATGGTGTGTGGGTAGATCGTTCGAGGACAGGGTTTCATCACCTCGTCTTGTCTCGTGAAGAACAAATAGAAGAAACAAAAGCTATGACATCAGGGGAATCTAGGTGAAAGAGGAGGGTAAAAGGAAGGAGGAGATGTCATGGAGATGGATAGGGGTGAGATGAAGGATAGGGTGTGTGTGGAAGGTGATTGTTGTTCATGCGCTTAGTCGTTGGATGAAGGACTGTGTGGCAATTAGTTAGAAGATTGGTGACTTAGCAAGCACTGGGCACACTTACTGGGAAGAACTGCCGGAATCCCCTGATGTCCATCTGGCTCAATGCATTCAAAAACTCCTCGATCAGATCCGCCCCCATGCCCATGCCTGGCAGCTCCTGGTTCCGTAGGTACTCTGCATACTCCATGCCGGTCTTGAGGTAGATGGTGCGCTGTAGGCCGCCCGCTTCCGCGAGGACCTGCTTAGCGTGTGCATCTTTGGAGTTGAATGACGGGTTAGCAGGCAGAGCCCAGCACAGAGGCGAGAAGCGCGAGATCATGAACCCGCCGAACCCGGGCAGAGCAGTCTGCGTCGCTGCAGCGCCGTTGGCTGCTGCCGGGGCGACATCTGGCCCGCCCCAGCAGAGACCCATGCGAGCCAGCACGGAGAACGCCATCTTGGCCGTTGTGAAGTCGTCGATGTCTTTAGCAAAGTGTTCGATGGTGGTGATGACAGTCTCGAACAGCGGCTGATTTTGCTCGCTGATGATCACGGCCCCGAGGTCGTTGTTGAACACTGCTAGCAAGAAATTCAAATACTCGCGCTTCAGCTCCGCAAGCTGGATCTCATCATCGGTGCCGGTCGTGGGGTCCGCAAGGCCCGAAAAGACCCGCTGTAGGAAGGGGGTCAAGAGGGTGTCGAGGATGCTGTAGATCTCACCCTTGAATCCAAAGATAACTTGGTCCAAAAGACGCAAAAACAGGGCCATTTCGTCGCGCGACGAGGTTTGAGTCAAAAGCCCATCGATCCAGCGGGGCAGTTGGGGGAGAATACGTGCTCCGAGGACGCCGATGAGCCGTGAGAAGGCAAAACGGGCTGCAGTCCGAATGTTAAAGGACGTCTTGAGAGATTCCAACGCAACCAGCGTCGCCTCTGCGACTTGGCAGAAAGCCTCCGAGACTTCCACTGCTGGCAGGGCCCCTTGGGTGGGCGTGCCAGGCGTCCAGTCCGAAAAGCCGCGGGCGAGAGTTCCCAAAGCCATTATATCGTGATGGATCTGTAGCAGTGCTCGCTCGTCGTTGGATTTGGCTGCTGCGAGGTTTCGTTCCATATCTCCGAAGATGGGGTTCAGCACCGACTGCGCGTAGAGAACCTGCTTATCGGCGGTGACTCCAGGAGTCGAGCAGATAATCCCAACTGCCTCAAACAGGTACAGCTGGCTCGTGAATACGGCATCAGCGGAGCCTTCATGGTCTTCTGATGACATCTCGTCGCCCTCATCGCCCTCCGAAGGCACCTCGGCCTGAATCACCAACAAATCGCCCAAGGCTTCCACCACCGTCTGGGCCACATTGCCAATATGGATACGCAGCTGCTTCACAAGTCGCTGGAAGAGGTACCAAGAACGCGTCTTGACTTTTCGGACAGGGTGATGCACAAGTTGAAGGAAACTTTCCAAAACGCCGGGAATGAGGTGGGTATGGTGCTGGAAGAACGAGCTGTAGCGAACGCAGATCTCCATGAACTGGAGTTGGGTGGCGGGGTGGGTGAAAGAACGGATATCTGCATCAGATTAGAAACAAGGCCCTGCTTTGAAACATCTGGTTGGACTTACCCGACTCCACCATGTGTAGCATCATCTCAATTAACCGACTCGAGGCCGGCCCATTGGGCGCGCCTTTCATGTAAAGACCACCACTCTTGACCGCCAAGTCTCCAAACAGATACATTTCATGCAACGCAAGATCCAGGTCGCGCCAGTCGAGCTGGCCCCCCGACGCCCGCAAGTTTTCAAAAGTTGTACCCACAACCTCCGAGATGGCATTGATGTAAAGTTCCTCGTCCGTAAAGGCAATGACTTGCTGCAGGACACCCAACCGTTTCCGCAATTCTTGAAACTCCGCCTCGTCTGTTTGCTCATCCTCATCTCCCCAGTTCGAGGTCTCGTCATAGCGCATCTTGGCCACGATTGCCTTGAGAACTGGAAGCAGAATCGACTTGTTCCGCTCTTGGAAGGACGGGTTGGCCTTGTTGAGTTTGCGGAGGTAGGTGACCATGTCGTTGACACAAGGGATGACGGTCGAGCAGACTTCATCATACTCGTCCGAGAAGTAGCGCAGGACGTGTGGGAGGAAGACCTGGAGCAGGTTATCGGCCTTCTCCTTCACCTCGCCCGAGTCTGTTTCCAGCACCCGAACAATATCCATGACCGTGCTATTGACCAGCTTGGCCACCGTCTCTGCTAGGTCCGTGTCGTACCTCGATGTGAATCGGTTCTCGTGCAATGGTGGGCTGTTGGACAGCTGCGTGACAATGGAGTCGAGGTTCAGGAAGACGATCATCTCAATCTTATCTGCCGGCTTCATCTTCTTGCCAATGATCTCTGTGAAGACGTCCACCGCAGCATCCCGGACCCGCTGCTCGCCCGCCCGCAGCTCCTGTTTCTCTGCCCGTCCCAGCTGCTGGAACAGCAGGTCCAGCATGGCCTGGTTCACCACCAGCCCAATATCAATCCAGCTGACCCAGCTGCCCACCGCCTTGAGGCACATCTCCACAATCACGTCGTCCCCATCCCGCCAGTCCGACAGAATCTCCTGCCAAGAGCTAGCAATCTTCTGCATGTCCCTTTGACGAATCAAATCTTTGAGAGTATTTGCTTTGTCCTGGTCCACCCGTGATCGTGACACTAGTACATCACCAATCTCTTCATGAATGGAATTCACTACCCGTAGGTAGAACACAATCCCTAGCGGGTTGTCCCGGGTGGAGCTCGAGGTTGACTTGTAGGTTAGGCCCAGCAGATCATCGATGCAGGACTCCCAGCCATTGGCATAGAGTGAGGAAAAAGGAAGGTGACGGTTTGTGCAAGTTTGTTTTGAATGTAGGGGGCATCCGGCGTGGCCGTCCCGTCAGGCCCGTAGAATTGCCGTAGGTACGCCAGCAGGCCATCTCGCACCACGGCAAGGGCAGCCAGATCGATCAGCCCTGCCTGAGCGGCACTGTTGACAATCTCCAGGCTGACATGTCGCACGACTTCGGGCTGTGGGGGGACTTGGTGAAGAGGGCGAGGCAGACCTGCCATCCGGAGGGGTCAGAGCGAAGCTGGTTGAGGTAGTCGAAGGCCTGGGCTTTGAGGGACTGGTCGGAGGATGAATTCCAGGCGATCTCAATGGCATTTGCTACCTGTGGGGAGAAACATGGTGAGCACCGGATTGCCCCTCGGAGGTGTGGTGGGGGGAGAGAGTGCGTGAGGATGTGATCATGAGCACAGTAGGCAGGAGCTACGCATTGTGCAGAGACGACGGAGGGACTTACCTGTTCTTCCATCTTCGACCAGCCGATCTGTGACGAGAGAGTGCAGAGGAGGTAGGTGGTGAATGAATCGTGTGGTCCAAAATGTTTTTTCGGTGGATCCTTGCCGTCCTGTCTATCGTAAGCGCCCGACCATCTTCATCTGTTATGACAAGGTATAGAGTGAACTAAACACTACAATAATAATGATAATAACTTTTCTCATAGTGATCAAAATTTATAGGATTTACAGTCCACGCGTATGCCCATTAGTGCGCTCTGCCTCCTGGCGCAAGATGTGCTGCTCCATCTTCTCAAAGCCCTCCACGGCCCGGCCGTACTGCTCAAACACGCCCTTCTGGTAGCCCTCGGCAATCTTCTCAATAAAATCTTCCTCATTCCACCGCTGGCCTACCAGTTGCTCAAAGGTCTGTCCAGGCTGGCGCTCAATGCCCCACACAGCTTTATAGGCAGCCCCGAGGGCACACGCATTGTCACCCACATCGAGCTTGTACACTCCCTCACTGCCGCCGAGGATCTGACCGGCAATCTCCGCAATGGCCTTGTTCTTGGACCCGCCCCCGACCAGGTAGACCCGGCGTGGCTGGGCAGGAATGCCCTCGCCGGGGCTCTGGGTCAGGCCGTGCGACCTAAGACGAAGCGAGAGCATCTGGCTCTCCACGATGGCGCGGGCTTCGTCGTGGGGCGTAGCCCAACCGTCCGTCGTCTCTTGCAGATTGCCGGTGGTCGGGTCATAGTTGAAGTGCCACTGTCCCGGGCGCAGATTTGGCACGATCTCATGTCGGGGGAAGAAGAGGCCCATCTTCATGGGATCGGATGAGCTCCGCTGGCCGAGTGCCGGTGTCTGTAGAGCGATCTGGTCGAAATTGGCCCAGGGCTGCGCGGGCGTGTCCTGAAGAACATCATTGATGGCATCCCGAACCTGTTCGCGCGCGAGTCCGCCATTCTTGTAGCAGAGCATAAACATGTACAAGCCGGGACTGGTCGGGTGGTTGAAGAAGTGGGTGGCGGGATGCGGCTTGTACGCCGGCGTGGACATGAGGAAGGTCGTCGACGTGCCGAGAGAAACCATTGCGTCCGAAGGCAGCAGGGGCAACGCCAGGATAGTGGCCGGGTTGTCGCCGGTCGCGGGGATGACCGTGCAGTCTGGGCTGAAGCCGAAGCGCTCCACAAAGTACGAATGGACTGGGCCCAGGTGTAGGCCGCCGTCCTCGGGCACCTCGCCGAGTTTCTGTCTGAGGTCCTCGACGCCAAATTTGCCGGAGCAGAGCTGAAGAAGGGTCTCGTCGTAGGCGCCTTGCTTGATGTTCCAGAGGTTCATACCGCAGACATCGGAGATATCAAAGGGAGCCACATGGCCCAGGAAGAGCGAGGCCAGGAATGAGGAGACGAGCGAAATTCGTGATGTCTTCTGGTATACTTCGGGGTGCTTTCGCGTGAAGCGAAGGATTTGAGGGCCGGTGAATCTCTAAGCGACGGAGTCAGGGGCAATCATGCAATTGCTTATTAGGGATCTTACATGGTGCGCTTTGCTGCCGGTGGCCATGGCCAGATGCTCCGGATCACCTAGCATGGCATCGAACTCGTCGCATTCGTGCTGGGTGCTTGCGTCCTGCCAATTCGGACTATACGGGTGCGAAAAAGCTCCCGGCAGCTGCTCCTCAAGTGTCTTGGCCGGATCCAGGGTCTTGAGGAGTCGCTCGGCATCCTGGCCCCAGTATACGCTGCCGTGCTGCTGTCCGGCGCCACTGATACCCTTGACTCGGCGAAAATCGAGGCCCTGCCGTTTCAAGCTGTCAAGGACACTGTCCAGGGCCTGGAGCCACAGTGCGACCGGAGCGTAGACCTCATGTTCGGCTTCGTTGGTGAGCACGCCCTTTTTGATGGGGAAGCCGGTGGAGTCGGCATCGAAGTCGAACTTGGCGATGTAGACGACCTTGAGCTCGGAGTTGACGACCAACCCCTTGAGTTGTTGGGTCGAGAGGTCGAATCCGATGTAGAGGGGGGAGGCCATGGCCAGAGTGTGCGATGGAGAATTGCAAACGCGACCGATGGGGGGTGATAGTGAAGAAGAAGTATTTATCCAGGTCGGTAAAAAGGACGAGACTCACCGCAATCAGTTCAGGAATGAGTCCTCGGCGCCGGATCGTGGGGTGGTCCCACAGTGATGTAATACTTTCTTCCACGGATTATTCGAATACTATAGGTATCCTCCTGTTTATTCTCTTCTCTGCGATACTTGTTATTCTCGACAATAACCAATTTGAACACACAGACTATGTGCATGGGATTATCGGTGCATTAGTGTCGGCTTAGGGTTAGGCGGATCACCCATTTAGCCGAACGCGGTAAATATGCTCGGGAGAATCGACTTCAGATCATAGTAATAATCCTGAAGTAAATAACTAAAAGGAGTATGTAAAAATCCAGTCGACAAATTACAACGCACTGTCCGTTGATCTACGTTCGTCCTACTTGTAGTTAGTCGGTCGAGCAAGGCCCCTGCCAGCTCTCGTCAGCCTCAGCCCAAAAATAGAACCACCGTGCAACAACCACCACCACCATGAAACTGGCCGACTCGCCCAGTAAGATCCTCCCTTGTATCGCACTCCGTGTTCTACTCCTGTGCGAAGTCAACGCGTTTGCGCATACCTGTAGGCATGCCTACTCGGCCCTAAAAATCCATCTCTATTCGCGATCTGGTGCTGGCGGCGGCACCTTGCGGAAATGAAGACGTCTTCCGCCGTAGCGTCGGGAGATGGCTGAGCTGCTGCGTGCAACTCCCGATATTAACTTCTAGAGTATTGGCAAAGATCTCTTTTGCGCAGATCCTAGCACCGCTCATGCGCCAAGAGGAACGGTTCAATCTCAATTTTCGAGATCGAGAGGGATACAGTGTTCCATCTCTTGACTCGGGAAAGGGACTTTCAATATAACTCGAAAACACAACTTCTCGCCCCGCAGGATGCGAGTTACTAGCGTCTGGAAAGCCATCACAAGGCGTTGCACAATAAACAATCCGGACAATTAAAAATCTTTTCATTTTCTATGGGAGTCTGCGAGGTTCAGTATACTTCTATATATCCACGCGGTCTATACACAGTATAATCCACAACCCTCTTCATCCCAAGGGGGTATCACATGCGGCTGTTCCCATCCAAACCCAAAAAGAAAACAAGCCCGAAAGTCAGCTGTCGTGCCGTTAGTTCCTCTTCCGAGTGCCATTCTCCTCGACGTGGTGGTGGAGATGGGACCCAGATGCCTCCGCCGACTCCTGTTCACTGGGTTCAGGGCTGCTTCGGGCGCTAGGGACAATGAACTCTTCAGAAAAGGTGAGGTTCTGCTCTTCCACAGGAATGAAACGTATCTTGACCCGCTTCACGCCGCGCACCTGGGCACCCACGACCTTCCGGACGGCTTCTTCCACCAACCGCGCGCGTATGATAGCCCAGTCTCCCGGCACAGCCAGCTCAATGTCCATCAAATAATTCTGCCCGGACTTCATGCCCTGAACGTCGTGGACCACCACCCCATTACCGTCTGCAATTTCTTGCAATGCCTTCGTAGCAGCCTTGTGTACGGAGGATTTGATGTCGTCGTCGACTGTCGTGTCGGCCAGCTCCAGGAGAGAGGTCTTTGTATTGCCCCAGCCGGCTCTGATGACCATCAGCGAGATCAACAGCCCGCCCACTGGATCCAGCCAGGTGGCGTCTTGGAAGACATAGCTTCCCCCGATGGTGAACAGAGCCACAATACTCGTCAGGGAGTCGATGCGGTGGTGGACGGCGTTGGATGCAAGGACCGAGGACTTGCGCTCAGTGGCGACCTTCATAGCTGCGCATGGGTTAGCGTAAAGTAGCACAGAGACAAACAAATACATACTCGCATGGTAGAGCCATTCCTTAACCACGATAGAACCTGCAGCCAACCACGCCGCGTGGATACTCGGCCCCAGGATATCCGCGCCGTGACTGTGTGAATGCGAATGGCCATGCCCCAGTAGTCCCCAGTGAGCCACTGCCTCCGCCACCTCGGGGTAGACCTGACCCAGCAGGATCTGCCCAGCATTGAGACCCATAAACACGCCACCGCAAAGCAGTAGCCCGCTCACACCCAGCGCCCCGATGCTCTCGACCTTTCCGTATCCGTTGGGGAAACGCTCGCTGGGCGGCTTGAGTGACAACGCGACAGTGCCCAGTGTCAGGAAGTCGGACACGAGATCGGTCAGGGCATGGTACGCGTCGGCTATTAGGGCCTGTGAATGGAAGACGTAACCGCCAATGAATTTCCCAATGGCCATGGTGAGGTTGGCGACTAGACCAATGCGTGTGATCCGCACGCCGGCGTCGTTTTTGTTCGTGGACGTGAGGTAAACATTGTCGTGGTGGTGGTGATGGTGGCCGTGGCCGTGGCTGTGGCCGCCGTGGGCCCGTGATTGTGTAGCCATGAGAGGGAGAGAGGAGACTGCAGGTCGAAGGGATCGAAGGTGAGCATGCGAAAGGGAGAGGAGGGAAGGGTGATGAGGTTTGGTCGAAGATGTGAGGACACGAGCGCCAAAGCCACGTAGGATCCCGGGCGGACTGGAGAGCCTAGGACGCAGCCTGCGCAGGGGCTGCATCTTCCGTTGGTTTGTGTTCCTGAAATCAATAATCAAGGATAGCGGGTGGTCAAGATTATTCTTCTTCTGTTGTCCCCTCGATCATGTAATCCGGCAAGTATTCCTGCTTCAACAATCCCGTCGACACACTCTGGCGTCATCTTCCGCACCATGACTCTACACCTCCTCTCCGACTGTGGATTTTCTCGATAGATGCCAAGAGCAACGAGTACGCAGACGATGCGTCTTCAATGACGACGCCCGCCATCCGCATCCCCTTCACAGGCCCGCTGCCGCCCGCCATCATCGTCCCTCCGTCCGCGAGCACCCTTGCCGGAGCCATCGATGCCATTTCTGCCTTCCTGACGGCCTCGCCCTCCCCCCATCTCCGGGGTGTCGATGTTGGCCGGTATTCACAGACCGTCCTGCTGACTGGCGCCGGCATCTCCGTTGCATCCGGCCTATCAGACTATCGAGGCGAGAATGGCACCTACCGCAGAAACCAGTCCTACCGACCGATCTATTATCATGAATTTATCTCCCGCCATGAGTCGCGCAAACGCTACTGGGCGCGCAGCTTCGTCGGCTGGCCGGGGCTCGTAAAGGCGCGCCCAAACTCGACGCACTGGGCCATCCGCGACCTCGGGGCCAAGGGATATCTCAGCTCGGTAGTGACGCAGAACGTCGACTCGTTCCACTCTCTTGCGCACCCGGAACTGTCGACTATTGAGCTACATGGGTACCTCCGGTCGGTCGTTTGTACGAGCTGCCGCAATCAATTCCCGCGTGCTGACTTCCAGGCTTCTCTGGAGAAGCTGAACCCGGCATGGGCGGAATTTCTCGCGCGCGTGGTGGCATCGGGTGCACTTGACACAGAAAACCCGGAGGAGCAGAGGCAGAAGGGCCTGAAGCTCAATCCCGATGGCGATGTCGATCTCGCCGAGGCACCGTATTCGACCTTCCGCTATCCCTCCTGCCCGACCTGTCTGACAGACCCTCCTAGACTGAAGGATGGGACCCGAGCTCACGTCGAGGTGGAAAGCGATGGGGCCTGGATGCCGACGTCCAACGCCGGGATCCTGAAACCCGCGGTGATCATGTTTGGCGAGAACATCGATCCGGCGGTTAAAACCGCGGCCGAGGAGGCGATTGACGATGCCGGACGCCTACTGGTGGTCGGGAGCAGTCTGGCCACCTACTCGGCGTGGCGCTTGGTGGAGCGAGCTCGATCTCAGGGCATGCCCATTTCCATCATCAATGTCGGCGGCGTCCGGAATGAAGCAGTGCTGTTTGCGCAAGAGGGCCATGCCAATGTGCGGTGCAGCCATCCATCGCAGAGCATCTTGCCGCATGTAGTCGATCGACTTGTGAATATCACATAGAATAGATAAACATGACAATCACATAATTCGTTCGTGCCATCATACGTATATTGTATGGGCAAATAAATCTAGTCGAGTCCGAGTCTATTAATACTTGGTGGGGCACTTCTTCCCTCCCTCTCCTTCACTCTTCCTCCCAACCATCATCCATTCCTTATTCACCATGGACAATAAGTCGCAGCAACCCAGCTCGTTCCAGCAGCTGGAGAAGGTATTATCTCTTTTCCTCTCCCGTCATACTCATCACTGACTCTCTGTCCGACAGCTCGGTGAAGGCACCTATGCCACGGTATGTCCCGGATCTCACGCCTCTCCCTCTCCTCTCCACCACCCGGACTGACCGGACCCTCTAGGTCTTCAAAGGGCGCAATCGCCAGACGGGTGAAATGGTCGCCCTGAAGGAAATTCATCTCGACTCCGAAGAAGGCACCCCGTCGACCGCCATCCGCGAGATCTCCCTAATGAAGGAACTGAAGCATGAGAGTATTGTGTCGCTCTACGATGTCATCCATACAGAGAACAAGCTCATGCTGGTCTTTGAGTTTATGGACAAGGATCTGAAGCGATACATGGATACCCGGGGCGACCGCGGCCAGTTGGACCCAGCCACCATCAAGTCCTTCATGCACCAGCTGCTCAAGGGCATTGCTTTCTGTCATGAGAACCGAGTGCTGCACCGCGACCTCAAGCCCCAGAACCTGCTGATCAACAAGAAGGGCCAGTTGAAGCTGGGTGACTTTGGTCTAGCACGCGCCTTCGGTATCCCCGTCAACACTTTCTCCAACGAAGTGGTCACCCTCTGGTATCGGGCCCCGGATGTCCTGCTAGGCAGCCGCACCTATAACACCAGTATCGACATCTGGTCCGCTGGGTGCATCATGGCGGAAATGTATACGGGCCGGCCGCTCTTCCCCGGCACGACCAACGAGGATCAGCTGTTAAAGATCTTCCGGCTGATGGGCACGCCGTCGGAGCGCTCGTGGCCCGGCATTTCCCAGCTGCCGGAATACAAGCCCACATTTCACGTCTACGCAACGCACGACCTTGGCCTGATCCTGCCGCAGATTGACCCCTTGGGTCTGGATCTCTTGAATCGCATGCTGCAGTTGCGCCCGGAGATGCGCATCAGCGCCAACGATGCCCTGCAGCACCCGTGGTTCCATGATCTGCCCCAGGTCCATGCTCAGTTGCAGCAACAGCAGCAGCAGCAGCAGATGGCCGGCCAGTATGGGGGCATGGTCCCGCCGCAACCGGCCTATTAATCACGGTGTCTGTGCATGATGAGATGACGAGTTTGAGATTAGACGATTGGAAATGGGTGGACAAGGCGTTATACCCGATTGTTCTGACTTTTTGTTTTCTTCTTTGATATTCGCATGTTAGGTGTGGGAAAGACAAGGAGTGTTTATGTTTCCTTCATTTCGAATTGATCGTGCTCTGTATTCAATTTATCGATCTACTTCGTCCCATCTTCCATAAAAACACACCCCCTGCGCCTAGGTTTCTATGCCTATTTGAAAATCCTCCTTTTCGTCAGTTTCTGTTTGCATCTGGACTCCGGCCCTTTTGGCAATGTTTCGATTGAGCTGCCTCCCGCATGGACCATTGACGGCTGCCATGTCCGACTCGTTCCGGCTGTTGTCACGCGATTTATCTGTTTCCTCCCGGGCAGGAACGGTCATTCGCCTGGGTTTGTCTGGGCATCGCCGAGCTGCTTTTCTCCGGGTTATTCCACGTCCTTAGGGTGAGAACAGACAAGAGCAAGGTCCTACAGAAACCATATACCCGAGGTGTACCCTTAATTCTGATGAGAGTCACATACTGAGACCTGATCTCCGGTACTCTAAGGTGGCAGATATCATCACGGTAAGATCTGTGAAGTTGACTAAATATATATTTTTCGTCGGTAGGAGAGAGAGGGAGGAACTATTGGCAATTTGTGTTTCTCTTCTTTTGCAAGTCCTTCTGCCCCAGGATGCCCCATCCCGGCTGGTGAACTACGAGCAGTACGACAAGATCAGACCCGGGCCGGGCTTCCCTCTCACCTGTGTCTTACGTCCGCTGCAGATCGTACAGGGAGTAAGCAGGCTGAGACCAGATGATCGCCCTCCGCGCTGTCGGGTCCTAAAGCCCGCATCCTGGTTTACCTGGACACCTCGTCGGGGGGTGAAATCAGGCATTAAATGCTTCGTCTGCTTAATTTCGCTGGTTTGAGCAAGGTCGATATAGTGATAATAGAACACAAAACCATGTCGTCGGCCACGCAAAGGCAGTTAGACGCCATCTCGGCCACAGAGCGCGTCTGCTCGACCATCTCGCTGATCGGGACTTTTGTCATTTTGACCACATTCATCGGTTCCAGAGGCTTTCGGAAACCTATTAATCGTCTGGTCTTTTACGCTTGCTGGGGTAATATCATGACCAATATCGCGACTCTCATTTCGCAGGATGGCATTCATGCTGGGGTTGGGAGTCCGCTGTGCCAGTTGCAGGCATTTCTCATCCAATGGTACATACTCATCATTCTTGTTGGATCTTTCATGGTTTATCTCTGACTGTGCTCAGGTTCATGCCGGCAGACGCCCTCTGGACCTTTGCCATGGCGTGCAATGTCTACCTGACCTTCTTCCACAAATACAACTCGGAGCAATTGCGTCGATTAGAGTGGAAATACGCTATATGCTGCTATGGCCTGCCGTTTATTCCCGCCTTTGTCTACTTTTTTCGTAAAATCCCATGCTCGGGGGCGAGTCTACGGCTCCGCTATTGTGAGTCTGACTCGAGCATAAGATCTTCCGAGATATTAACATCTGCAGCTATGGTGCTGGATCTCTATAAAATGGGATTTCCTCCGTATAGCCGTCTTCTACGGTCCGGTTTGGTTTGTCATCTCCTTGACATTTGCCATCTACCTGCGTGCAGGGACAGTCATCTTCCAGAAGCGAAGCCAGCTGCGAAACATCGGGGCTATGGATTCCCTCGACACAGATGTCCAACCTGAAGCCCCCTTCAAAAAATTGGCAGGCATCCACGTCATCAGCGAGATCGCCTGTTCATCCCCTGAGCGCCGCTCTATGACTGCCAGCAGAGCTGTGCCTTGCCGCAGCTTTACCTCGTCGGACTTCAGCCCATACTCTGTTACCATCGAGGGAGGTAGTAGTAGCAACGTCAGTGGTGCCTATATTGTACCGTATAGTCACGGAATAAGTCCAATTCCAGATTCACTATCTACATCAAAACTACCTCCGAGTCCTCTCCGTACCAATAGTTCCACTCCCAAACCTGTGCGCTCCGAAACAACAGACTCGCACTCGCAGCGCCGTGCAGTGGCAATGGCGGCGGCCGACACGGCGACCTGTGCGTATTTCAAGTGCGCAATCCTGTTTTTCATCGCATTACTCGTGACGTGGGTACGTTCCCCCCCCCTTCGTTCAAAAAATCACAAGCCCTAATAATCGACTGCTCAGGTCCCCTCAACCATCAATCGAGTATACGCCCTCGCTTACCCGGAGGCCTTTGTGTTTGGGCTCAATTACGCCTCCAGCTTCGTACTTCCACTCCAGGGATTCTGGAATTGTCTTATCTATGTCTCTATCTCATGGCCGGCCTGCAAATCCCTCTGGGCTGATATGCGTGGTCGTGTGCCGTTGTTGTCGAAGATTGCACCCATCAGTATATGTAGACCGGTGCAGTTCTCGCAGAGAGAGGTGCGGGATTTCCGAGTTCCGCATACTATGGATGGGCATCATTCGGATGATAGTATGCAGGAATTGGCAAGAGTTAGGTAAAGGGATGTGGGCTTCGGCCGATGTACAAGTATATAATGGGCTGAGACATCTATAATCTTTAATACTAATTTGAATGAAAAGCAAATGCTAAAAGATAGTAATTACAGTATCACAGCAGGAAATATATCAAACCATGATCAGTTGGTCAACGACACGCACTTGTTCAAGTACCGCGGACCCTCGCATAAGATGATGTTGTCCGCGATCCATTTCCCCGTATCCTCTTTGGAAATCGTATACCCAATGGCCGCAGACTCCCTTCCGGTCTTAATATCCTCCACACCTACGAGGATCTTCTTCGTCGTCTCCCCTTCCCGCAAAATGGACGGACGAATCAGGGTGTAATTCTCGCCACTTCCCATGAAGATATCTTCCATGGCCTTTTTATCAACATGCGGCACCTTGAGAAAGAAATGGTAAACGGGATCCAGGATCATCGGGCTGTCGCGACCAAATTTTGATATGCCCTTGGAGCTGCAGGAAATAATCTGCGGGCGACCCGTGGCGCCGTCGCGGCGCACCTGGGCGAGTGCTTCGAGAAGAGCCGTCGCACCCTTTTGGCAGACTTCTGGGTCGTCGATGGTCATTTTGGAGATGATGGGTTTGCCTCCAATGGTGCTCACGATCAGGTCGACCAGCTTGCCGTCTTCCGTGAGCAGACACTTGGACACGGCGGTGACATCATGGGCATTGCCCTCAACAACTTTGAGATTGGGTGTTGTCTCTGGTGTGAAGATGGCTGTGAGCTTGGAGGGATAGCGGCATAGCGCGATGCACTGGTGGCCTGCCGCGAGAGTGTGCTTTAGGGCTGCCAGGCCCACGCCGCCACTGGCGCCGAGGAAAGCAACAGATTTGATGGGAGAGGTCATCGTGATTGCTTATTAAAATGTGGATGGATGAAAGTGTGAGTTCTTTGCGTTGTTGGTTGATTTAATTTCTTGACAGCGCGCTCGACGCTGCTTTTATCTACATTGTAGGCTCCGAAAGCTGCGCGAGGCTGACAACAGTGATTCGGCGTTTCTTCGCGCTGACGGCATTGATTACATACCCACCATCAGCCCAACTCATCAATAAACCTGAGAGCGAGATTAACGCGACAGTCAGCCGAAACGAATTTAGGCGTTAATAATGTTATGCTAGCATGGCACAAGCACCGCCCACAGCTTCAGCGCCACTGACAATGAGCGCGGTCGCCTCGGTCTCGGATGCCGAGAAACGCGCGAGGTCCCCGCCCAAGGCGACCCCCAAGCTACGCAGCTGTGTCATATGTCGCAGTCGCAAGGTCCGCTGCGACAAAAAATCTCCGTGCTCGAATTGCCGTCGCGCAAACATCGCCTGTGTCTTTCCATCCGCTGACCGTCCGCCGAGATGGGCCCGACGTCTGATATCTAATCAGCAGGCAGCACAGGATGCCCCCGTGGCAGACCATATCATGGAGAGAATTCACAGTCTCGAGACCCTCGTCAAAGAGCTGCGCGGGCAGCTCGAACAGGCTAACTTGTCCGGGGGTCCTTCGGGGGTCAACTCGCCCGGCAGCTCCTCGCAGGATCCAGATCCTGGCCATCAGGAGAATGCTTCGTCGACGCCTGAAGGCAATGTTCAGAGGCAGTTCGGGAGATTAGTTCTCCAGGATGCCAGCCAAAGCCGATATTTCAGTAGTGGTTTCTGGTCCCGAGTCACCGATGAGGTATGTCAATCTGCTCTGCCGTGCTACCTGGATTGACGTTATGATTCAGCTCGATGGGCTGAAGATGGACACTCACGGTCTTCTACTAGAGGATTCTGACAGCTCGGAAGATGAGTCTTCCACGAGAAAGACCCAGTCTACTCAGGAACTCGGCCGCACGCCTTCCGAGCGCCATGCATTCTTATTTCGACATAACTTTAGCCCTTTTGTCCCCGATTTACGCGAGTTCCATCCATTGCCATCTCAGATACCTTTTCTCTTGGATGTCTTCTGTGAGAATGTCAATGTGTTCGCACAAATCGTCCATCGCCCTTCCATTGTGAAAATGGTCCGGGAGCTTCGCGGTAGTGACTTGACGAGTCTCAATCCAGGCAATGAGGCCTTGATCTTCTCGATTTACTACGCGGCCATCACTTCTATGGAGGACGATGATGTATGTTGATATTATGGATGGACAAGAATTATGACTGACCATTGTTCAGGTCATCATCAATTTTGGATCTACCAAAGCCGAGCTCAATCTCAAATTCCGTCTTGGCCTGGAACATGCGCTTGCAAGGGCTGATTTCCTCAATGTGCCTGATTTAGTTCTGGTGCAGGCATTTGCTATCTTTCTGGCTCTGGTTCGCCGGCATGACAGCCCACGGTTTGTGTGGATGATGACCGGTTTGGCCATCAGAATGGGCCAGGCTCTGGGGTTACATCGCGATGGCACCAATTTCAAGCACCTCACTCCATTTGAGATTGAGATGCGACGAAGAGTCTGGTGGGTCTTGTGCTTCCTGGATGTGCGAGCATCGGAAGACCAAGGCATGGAATTGACCATTGCGGCCGGCACCTACGACACCAAGCGGCCTCTGAATATCAACGAGGGAGATCTCCATCCCGATCTGGAAAAAATGCCTCAAGAGCATGAGGGTTTGACCGACGCGTCCATTATGCGTGTTTCGATTAGCATGTGCGAGATCACCAGACAGATTATGTCGCCCAGTTTCAAGAATCAGGCCCCGAGCATGGAAGAACAGAACCGTCTGCTGAACGGATATTACCAGATTCTCGAACGGGAATTTCTTCAATATTCGACCAAATCCGGGAACATTTCGTACTGGGTTCAAGTTACAGTCGCACAAATTTGGATGGCCAAGATGACACTTTTGACCTATCTGCCTGTGCTCTTCTCTTCGCCCAGTGAGCACTTCTCCGACGAACTTCGAAGCAAGCTATTGGTGGCCGCCATCGAGGTCGCCGAGTATAATCATGCCCTGAACGCCGAGCAAGCCTGCCGCCACTGGCGCTGGCTTTTCCAAACCTACACCCATTGGCACGCGGTGGTGTACCTTTTGATTGAAATTACGCGGCGTCCGTGGTCACCCCTTATCGAGAGAGCCTGGGTGGCCCTCCACAGTGTATGGCTCATTCCAACCCAATCGCACATGGACAAAAACCTACGAATCTGGTTCCCCTTGCGTAAGCTAATGGGTCAGGCCCGTCAGCACCGCGAGAGGGAGCTGGAGAGATTGCGGGGGGATGCCCTGGCTGCCGAACACTTGGAGAGGGGGGACCGGAAGATGCCGGTGCCTTCTTCGATTCCGGGGCCTTCTTCAGCCGAGAACACCAATGCCGCAGAGTTCTTTATTAAGCGGTGGCACCAATTACTAGCCCCAGTGCCGACTGGAGCCGGATCTACAATCAGTGCCACCACCCGTGCGCCTGGCGACAACGCCACGAGGGCTGCCAGTCTCTTGGATCCCTTTTTTGCAGCTAATATCGATCCTCCGAGCAACATGGAAAGCCACTCCCAATCGCTAGTTGAACCGACATATCGTGGTGGATCACACTCGGACCAGAACCTGTCAAGTGCTACTTCCAAAGTCTTCGGACCGGATCTGTCGACCACTGCTCCCGTGTCTCCATTCAATATGAATGACCCAACCTCGGCCCATCAGGCCGGCGTGGTCCCCTGGCTGTGGGCGGATAATAGCACATCCGCAGAATCTCCCAGTCTAGATATCCCAATGGATGTGGACGGCGAGGTTGACTGGTACAATTGGGTTGAGTCAGCTAAAGAAGTGGAATGGGATACAGGGCGTTCATAGGATCGTATGTATAGAATACCTACTACAGTGGCGGCCTATGGAGGGTGCTGTCTGAGACGGGCAGGTATCAAGCGATTTCAGATTCGTCCAGCCATCCACCGACTAGGCCTGGTGGCTTTCAGGTCCCCGTGTGATATATCTATGGATCTGACGTAGAATAAGGCGGACAGAGGTCTCTCTAAGTATAAGAAGTTTCTCAATGCGGAATAACGGTTCTCAATTCGAATCTAAGATCATATAAACATCTAGCTTGATAGTCACCTGAGTAATGACGTTTGGCATTGCCAGCAAATTTACTATTTCTTTCTTTCCTATTTCCTTCCCAGTCAACCTATCTACGTCTCATCCCTCCAAAAATCACATACGCAGGGCGGAACATCCATACAATCTGGCTGCCTGGCAGTATCTCGCAGTATTAGTGATTAGTTGGCCCCCACTTGAATTCGGGACATCTTTCACTAAAATGTCACCTTCCCAACCTCGGCGGATGACTCTCAATGACTCACGAACAAATTCGCCCTTTTCTTTGCATCTAAATTGCATCTTTAATACCCGCTCAACCACAGATCTCGTCTCCATCTTATATCTGCTATTTTTCGGCAGTAACTGTGTAACAACTATCATTCTTTCACACCGACACGACCAGATGGCAACCTGCACAAGCGTCCCCGTGGCTATTCCAAAAGATGGCTCACTGACAAAGACTATGATCAAAGATATTGTCGGCACGTTTCTCACCAAAGATTGGCCAAATGTGGATCCAAAAACGCTCGTAATAACAAAAAATACCGGTTACGCAAACACAAACTGTATAGTGGAAAGACCGAAGGGTGACACACACACAGAACCTCTCAAGGTGTTCCTCAAAATCCACGGCGAACTTGATGGAGAAATTGAAGTGTTCAAGCACTTGGTTCCCGATAAGTATGAAGAGGCACAACTATGCTATGATTACGGTCAATCAGGTCTTGGTGCCAAGGTCTATGGTTTCTTTCAGACAAAGAATGGTTATTTCGGAAGGGTCGACGAGTTCTTGGATGCACGCAATTTGGAGCCAGAAGATGTGGAAGACGCAAATATCCGAGCCGATGTTGCAAGAGGACATGCTGTTTTTCACACTATGGAAACACAACTGAAAAAGAACCCAACTCAGTCATATTACGGAACACTCACCAGAGAGCTTGCAAAGTATCATAAGATGGACAAGCTAAAGAGACTAGCCAACGAAGGAGGCGTCAGTATAGACTATCTTGTCGACTATGACTTTGGGTCTAAAATTAGACGAGTCACAGACAGGCTAGAATCTATTGGAGGAAAAAAAGGATGGTGCATCCACGATGTTCAATTCATGAACGTGATGGTGAAAAACAGTCCCAAGCAAGGAGAAAGCAAAATTGTCCTTGTAGATTTCGAATTCGTCTTTCGAAATTACCGAGCGTTCGACATTGGTGGGCACTTTTTGCAGAAGATGTTCAAGTGGTTTGACGAGGAGAGCAGAATTGCCAACTGCCGACCTTACACAGAAGAGGAGAAGAGACATTTTTGCGAGGAATATGCAAAGCAGTGGAACGAGACGACTGGCGAATCGGATACAGGGGAACAGGTTTTTATGGAATCTGAGCTGGGGTTCATGCTGGCTATCACATTCGAAATCCATAATATGCTCTGTTTTATGGATCAGGACGATGATAAGAACCCGTTGGACCTCTTTGGTCTTAAGAAGCTGTTTGAAGAGTTTGTCAGTCGGTATAAAAAGCTTGGACTAGGGAGCTAAGAGCACTCTAGCTATGCAGTATTCTTAATGACCGACCCATTTCGAGGGTTCGCTTTAGCTGTACATCCAATGCACTGCTACACACAGCTACACACAGTGCAGACTTAAGACGTGGATTTATTGGACACTGCCGCTAAAAATAAGCCTAGGTTGACAGCGCCCATAATACTGCTCGGTGAAATTCTTCGATCGTTTTAAAAACGGCTCTTGCGTAAACGTCTTGAGTTGTTATAGCTCGCCTTTGCCCAGCAATATGCCCCCTCGTATGCGAATTACCTCGAGGGCGAATCTCTTATTCCACCTCCCCATTGTGCGCTCTTCTGCCCCCCTTGTCATGCACAATGCAGATTAGGCAAGCCGGCGCGAAGATACTACGCTAGTCCAACCAGAATTCCCGCGGGGCTATGGGGCCGGACATCAAATCAACTGCTGAAGGTTTGTAGTTATTACTATTAGGTGGGTTGTAGTTCTAAAATCTGGTTCCATACTTTCACAACTGACAGTGTGGGTGAGTGGTTATACCGCAGCACTGCTAATGCTGTCCCTTCGGGGGCCAGAGTTCGAATCTCTGCGCTGTCGCATCTTTTTTTTTTTTTTTTTCACTTTTTAAGTGCGTGACGAGCTCGGCATAACTATATCCTTATCCTTAATGATTATGTGAGGTCTCATGTACTTATTCCGGCCCTACAATTACTTGGCCTACTATATCCTCGTCTGTAAGGCGCTGCCTTGCTGTTCAACAGCGAACGTTAACGTAATCAGTAAGCGACCGCAGCGTACAAGCGAGTGCCGCAGCCCAAGGCACATTGATAATGTGATTTAATATATAAACAACCATGTGCTGATTTTACTTTATTATCAGTATGTAATTGTACCATGCCATGCAATATATCATATATCGACATTAAGCCAAATCACTCATTATTTTAGTGCGTTAAAAAAATTACGCACTGATATTATCCAAATATATATTCTTGAGTCAATCAATAGTACAATCATTTCAGACCTCATCAATCAAATATCTCTGGTTGCTGCTCTATATGATACACGTATTAATAGAAAGTCTTTAAACATTGAAATATAAGGTTGTAAGTTATCGCTTCTACTAGTTACATATTTGGAGTGCGACGCTCGCTCGCTTACTGATTACGTTACCTCGAAGGGACACGTGCGATTAATATTCATTTCTCACTTTTACATTTTATTATTAGTGATTGAGTTTTAAGAAGCCGTTGAAAGGGGCAAAAAAAAAAAAAAGAATGCGACAGCGCAGAGATTCGAACTCTGGCCCCCGAAGGGACAGCATTAGCAGTGCTGCGGTATAACCACTCACCCACACTGTCCTTGCTTAGTGATTGTATTCAAAATAAAAGTATCTTGAATGTCTGGGCTAATTTTATAAAATGTGGTTAAATATACGCTGCCAGTACTTTTACAGTTCATGACCCTCGCTTCACTCGGTTACTTGAAGCTCCCACCCCTCGGAATCTCTGCTTGAAGCATATGGAGTTCATACATTCATCCATACTATAGTAATTGCAAAATCATTCAAGATAGGAAAAAAAGTTGTGGCGCAGCGCTAGTGTAAATAAACTGTAACCAGATAACAATTTCATGCCAATACTTATACTTTGTGTACCAATTGCCTGTTAATGCTGGTATAATAAATACAATACTGGTTGAGGCTTATCCTGGAAAAGTTAGCCGAACAGCCACATATTCTTTCATGCGCAACATTGGAATACCCGCGGGCCTCCGGAGGTTTATCTGAGACAGGCAGATTGACATTCGTCGGCTTGGCCAGGTGGCTTGCAGGTCCGCGTGGCATATATCCATGGATCCGATCGGGCTAGAACTAAAGTCGAGATGGCCTACTACCCCTGCCTCCATGTGGCCGCCACTGGCACACAGAGCTAGTATGCTCGCCGCCGAAACGGCCGGATTGCACTGACTTCGCTATTACCTGATGGTTTGGCCTCGAAGGGGCCTAAGCAGGGTTGGGATGGCTCGTTCATGCCGAGCTAGCCGACTTGATGCGGTGCTGTACAACACTCTGTCCGCTCATTTAACTATTATTAAATTATTCTTCCCCCCGTGAGAACACTAAAGCGCCTCCGAGTGGCGTCTTGCTGGCGTTTTTCGTCGCCACCCACTAAGATCCCGGAAACCTACGTTGCAACGTCTCGCGTGATGGATTCTTCTCCACGGCGACACCGAAACCATCCTGTGCGGGGAATAGAGGGCTGACAGGACAATCTGTGCTCCCTATCCTTTTTTTTTTTTTGCACTCGTAACTACCCTATTTTTTGAAAGAAAAAGAGAAAGAAAAACAAGTATGAATGGCCACTGAAATAACGTTCGGGGAGGGCAGAATTGACTTTTTTCCTTCCATCCCGGGCTCTGCAAGACAGGGGGTTCGGGGACCTGGCCGGAAACGGGTTAGGACACCACCGCTAACCAAGCATTGTGGAGAAGCTTGATCAGGCGATTGACTTCCTTTACAGTGGTTTGACAGTCGCCAAACTTTGGTAACAACTGAGTGTAATAGTCTCTTGATTGGCTCACTCCTTATCTCGGGGTACAGCCGTGACCGTGGTTGGCGTGCGCCTGGTGTTGGGGAAGGGAAAATGGCCCGAGCATATCAGCAGCATATCGTAGTAATACTATGTAGTAGTTATATTATTTAGTACTAGTCCTCGTCTCTCCGTCTTCTTCTTCTTCTCCTTCCTCTCTGCCCTCCCTCCATCCTCTCTGTTTCCTTACATCCATCCTCCCTCTGGGATAGTAACAGACATGTCTGCTCCATTCCCCATTGAGCCAATTGCGCCGCCGCCGCATCAGGTCCCTGACTATGAGGCGGAGGAGAAGCCCCAGATCCACCAGCGGGTCTGGGGTCTCGCGGCTCGGACAGACCCAACGGTCTCCTTCGAGGAGTTCCGCTACTGGGCCAAGATCGAGCGCGCCGAGGAGATCGAGGAAGAGCGCAAGTATCGCCAGATGCAGGGTCCCTGGTCCTTCAAGCAAATGATCAAAAACCGCTTCTCCAAGGGTGTCCACCACGAGAAGAAGAAGATGGAGGAGCAGCAGCGCCAGCAGGAGCAGGTCGAGGTATCAGAGAAAGGCCCAACTGGCGTGATCCAAGCCACCAGTGATTCCAGCTCGATGAGCTCGAACGAGGAGGAGTGGAGGACGGCGTCGCGTGCGTTGCGGACCGCCAGCTGGGGCTCGATCTTCTTCCTGATCACCACCGACATCCTCGGCTGGTCCAGCTGCCCTTTCGTCTTCTCCAGTGTCGGCTATGGTCCCGGTGTCGCTCTGTACATCATCTTCGGTCTGGCCGCTGCTCTCAGTGGTTTCTTCCTGTGGAAGGTGTACATGACCCTCGATTCGTCCCGCTATCCCATGTGCAGTTACGGTGATCTCTTCTTGCGAGTGTTTGGTCCCAAGACACGGCATGCCATCAACATCACCCAGTCCTTCCAGCAGTTCTGTTCCGTCATGGTGTTGATCTTGGGTAACGGCCAGATCATTTCCCAGCTGGCGGGACCCAAGCTGTGCTTCATTGTCGCCATGATTATCGCCATGGTTGTGGGTGTTCTCTGCGGTAGTATTCGATCTCTCCAGCGTCTGGGTTGGCTGTGCAACCTGTCCGTGTGGTTGAACATTATCAGCTTCATCATCATGTAAGTTATAATGCACAGAGCCCCCTTCCCCCAAACATTGGTACTAATGAACGGAAAAAGCATGGTCGCCTCTTCCAAATTCGGCGTTGACTACACCTACATCTTCAATTCGACCCTGATCAAGCAGAAGCTGCCCGTGAAGACTTTTGCCGGTCCACCTCCGGACATGTACCAGCAGCAGGCTACTGGCTTCTCGGCACAATTCAATGCCGTGGATTCCATGGTTTATGCCTACAGTGGTGCGATTCTCTTCGTCGCTTTCATGGCCGAGATGCGCCACCCCATGGACTTCTGGAAGGGCATGATCTGCGCCCAGGCCTTCATCTGCGGTGTCTACATCTTGTTCGGTGCTTATGTGAGTCCCAATTCACTTCGCGGATCGAGGCGAAGACTAATGCCATACAGGTCTACAGCAACTACGGCCAGTACTCCGGATCGAACATTTCGCAGGTCATTGAGCCCTTGCATTTGCAGGTGGTAGCCAATGTGTTCAGTCTATTAACCGGGTTTATTGCTTGCAGTAAGTACAATCCAGGATTCTTCGTCTTTGGATTTTGACACTAATCGCCTCCCGCACAGTTCTGTACTTCAATGTTGGCATGAAGACCGTCTACATCGAGGTGTTCCAGGAGGTGCTGAACTTCCCTCCCATTGCCTCGAGCAAGGGCCGCTGGATGTGGTATGCCCTTGGTCCTTGCTACTGGGTCATTGCCTTCTGCGTCGCCGCGGCCGTGCCGAACTTGAACGGTATCGTCAACTTCGTCGGTGGTCTGCTCAGCGTGAACTTCACCTACTCCCTCCCCGCTATCGTCTTCCTCGGCTGGATGATCAATGAAGGCGCCTCTCTGCCAGGCGAGGGCTTCGACCCCGCCACTGGTGTTACCACCCAGCACGACAAGGGTCCCAAGCGCTGGATGCGTGGATACATGGCTAAGTGGCACGTCAACACTCTCATTCTGCTCTACGCCCTCGCTTCCCTCGCCACCTCGGGCATGGGTACTTGGGCTGCGGTTGAGGGTCTCATCGCCATCTTCGGGCCTGGTGGAACTGTTGCTACTTCCTTCGGCTGTGCTTCGCCGGCTGCTTAGATAGGGTTTTTATTTTTTCGTGTATCTCCTTCTCGCCAAAGGAGATGCGTTGTAACTGTACACTTGGCTTGCACAAGCGGTGTTGATAAATAGGAGGCCTTTTCTACTCAATGATACAAAATGTATTTTACACTTCAGTGTTTCTCTCCATCAGCTCCGTGTACATATATATATAAGGCCAGACCAACACCCTGGAGATCATTATTAGCACGAATCATGGAGCTCTTCAACGAACAACCTCCTTCCCTCGAATCAAATCATAAGTAGGAATAACCCTCATATCAAAGCCTCCTTTTCCATCAAACCGATGTCCCTCCTTCTTCATTTGGCAATACCTCATCGCCTCCCCTCTCACCGTCGCCCATTCAACAATACTACTCCTTCCCAGTGCCGTCCCATCAGCTCTAAGTCTCTGTAACGCCTCCTGAACCCAACCCACACAATCCCACCCGGGCTTCCCCTGCCTGATAGGCGTACTGCGCAAAATCTCAACAACCCGATGCCCATCCACCACCTTGCCCACCAAGATTCGAACGAGCATCATGTTGGATGGGTCGAGTGCGTTTTCGCTCTCTTCGAAAATCCACTCAGACCTTTTTCTATATGGGTTGATTCGTTCTTTAGCGTGGTAACATATGCTTCTTTTACCAGCGCCGGAGCGTTTGGGTCCTACCATTAAGGCCCAGTGATATCTAAATGATAGGGAGGTCGCGGGTTAGACTTGGGAGATATATATAACCAGTAAGCATGGGGTGGACTAGACTTACGTATCTTCCTTGCCGGACGTGGCTGAGGCCCCGCTTCGGACATGGAGAGTGACATATAGACGATCTTTGTTAAATAGCATTTCCTGAATAGGTTGATCTTGAGGTTCTGAATGGCCAGGAGGCTTGGTCCGTAGGGTTGAGATGGTGAGTAAGAGCTAGCTCCTCGAAGAAGATTTGTTTATTTTTGACCGTAAGCGCTGTCATGTGGTGTGCCAAATTTGTAATTGCATGCATATTTCGCGGCTATCTGCGCATGTGGCCAAAGCGATACATGTATGCAACACCCAGATTGACTCCATCGACACTGGAGCCAAAATTGGACCATTGTAGTAGAAGGTAATCTCCCCAGGGAAAACAGCTTCAGGTACAACACTCGGAACTCATCTCGCAGTTGGAAGGATAGTCCATGGGCAACTGTCTCAAACCCTGGAGTCTAAAAAGTAAAGTCTCACCATGGCCAGCTACAGACGGGTTTGAAATCGAGGGTGCTAAAGGATGAAAATGCTTATCATTGTAATTGATTACTACAGAAGAACAGGAACGACGATTTATACCGGTAACATCTCCACTAGAAATGCCGTAGCTACAATTCTAGACACTAACTCCCCAAGGTCTCCACAAGACCGAGATACGGGGAAAAGCTTGGATATGCAGGCTAGAATTGTACATTTCATGATTCTGTTTCGTCCAGGAATCAAGGCGGCGGTCACCATTAGGAGAATATTGCTCATAGGCATATGCCATGGCAAATCATGCAAGAGGAAGAAAAAGTGGTACAAGAGAAGAAGTGGAAAGAAAAGAAAAAGAGAAAGGAAAATAAAAAGCAAAACGAAACACCTTCCCCGCCGACGTAAAGCCAGCGAGCCGGCCAAGAAAACCCAAGGCCGGCTTATACAAGATTCCTCCCTTCCATTCTCAATCATTAAACGCCTGGCTTACCCATGCGGGCAAGTCGTAGATAAAGACAACGATGCATGTCATGCAGAGTGATAGTAGAACCTGATTAGAAGATCGTATGTGTGTATGCGTTGGAAAAAGACTTTTTTCTCTCGTTTACTGGCTTTGGCCAGGGGGCGGAGGCTGCGAGGTCGGCATCGAACCGGCCTGGGCACCGCCCATCATAAAGCCAGGCGGAAGCATGGGCATGTTGGCGAAGTTAAAGCCGTAAGCCGGCACTGCGGGGGCGACGGCCGGGTTGTTCATGTTCGGTGCGTCACGATCACCGGGTCCGCCAGGGTAGCCATCACGATCAGCGCGGCGGCCAGGAGGCCCACCGGCCGGGGGGCCACCGCCGAAGCGGTCAGGCTGCGTGCGCGTAGAGATCGGGCCGCGTTTGCCGCCAGTGTCCGTTGCAATGCGGCGGCTGATAGCCTTGGAAGACACGCCGGCGCCGATTTCAATGTCCGGCTCCTCGACAACCATCCCGGACTCGATTTGCCGTCCGCCCGTGCCACCGTACTCGGCAGTCAGCATCCACTTGCGGTCTGCTTCGGTCAGGCGCTCGATCGGAATGATGCTGACGCCGGTCTGGTAGTCGCTGCAGTCGCGGGGACCGAATCCAACACCCCATCGAGTCTGTGTATTTACAAGTTAGAACTGAAAAAAAAAATCGAAGACTGTAAAAGACCAAACTTACCCTCAATTGCATATCACCAGATCGGTACGACTCCATTCCGTCGCGGGCACTAATTGCGTCATTGCGGCTGATCATCTTGATGAAAGCGTGGCGCTTGTCGATGTTCACGATGCAGGTCTGGACAAGTCCGAATTTGCCAAACAGCGAGCGCAAGTGGGCCTCCGGCGCAGTAACACCTCCCACGAACAAAGTCCGACTCAGGACCTTGATATTGCCCTGGCCAATCGAGTAGTCCCATTCGAGGAACTTGGGTCCTGGAGGCGGCAGGTTAGGGTCTCGGCGGTTGGGAGAGGGTGAGCGGCGCCTGCGGCCAGGTGGGCTGCGCTGTCGATAGTCATTGCCACCACGGCGGCCACCACGGGCGTCTCCTCCGCGGCGTCCGGGTGAATCGTCATGGTAATCTCCATAGACAGGGCTGTCGCGGCGGCGAGGAGGGGACACAGTGCGGCGTCTGTCCCAGCCGGGAGAACGGGAACGACGGCGGTACCCACCAGGAGGCGAGCGAGGATAGTCACGATCTCTCTCACGATCGCGGTTCTGGGAGTCTGGACGTCCCCAGCCGCCGACACCTTGTCCGGCCATCGCATTGAATGCCGGCGGCATTTGACCAGCATTCATGCCACCCATGGCGGCGGGGTTGGAAAAGCTGAGAAGCTGCAACGCGGTACCCCATTGGTCTTGTGGGATACCTTGCGCGGCAAGCATCTGAATGAGCTGAAGCTGTTGGCCCAGCGCATTAGGGTCTGTCGCACCAGGCGCAGGCTGCGCAGGCTGCGCGGGAGCAGCAGCGGCCTGCGGGAGCAACCCCGCCAGAGGGTTCGGAGTCTGGCTTTGGCTCTGCGGTTGGGCCATGGCAGGATTCTGCGCCAGGCCACTCAGAGCAGCAAGTGGATTCGCCATCGCACCACCGGCATAGGGATTGGCCCCGGCAGCAGAATCGGCAGAGGACACAGGTTGAGGAGCAGCTCCGGTCAAGGCGGCCAGAGGGTTAGTGGGCAGTGGCGCAGCAGGGGCTGCCGGGGCGGCGGTGTTCTGCTTCGCCATGTCAGCCAAGGCTTTGAGGATGCTTGACGTATTGGTCGCGCCATTGGCTGACTGCTGTGCCGGCTGCTGAAGACCAGCCAGGGGGTTGAAACCCGGAGCCGGGGATCCATCGGGAGTGGTGGATTGAATGTCTGGGGGTATATAATTAGATGGAATAGTTCTCGCGGTGGATCGAGTTAGCTTACTGGGCCGAGGGGCGTTCAGTTTCTCCTTGAACGAGGCCAGCTGGGGGCGGGAAACGTCTGCCCGCGCTCCCAGATGTCCACCAACTTCTTGATTTTCTCCTAAAGATAGAACATAATACGTGAGTTATACGGTTCCCAGTAATAATAAATGGACTAGGCGGCCAGTTCAAAAACCCGCAGAGAACAAGTTGACCGGATGCAGATACATCGCATCGGACCAGCTTGTCTGCAGCCAAGAAAACAAACATCTTCTTTTTATGGTGTGATTTGATATCTTGTGTGTTCTAATGCGTACCTTTTGATCTTCGGGGGCGTTATTAATGATATCGGTCATCAAGACGGGCAGTAGCTCCGTCACTCGGTTGACGCCCGCGGCAAATGTCCCATCGGGCGCGGCACTTCCAGCAGGCTGGCCGGCCTTGCGCGCAGCATCTACCCATTGTCGCGTTACAGAGTCTACGACATAGAGTACGCCCAACTTGTGGGTGCCGGGGGCCTTCTTGAAGTGTGTGTAGATCTTTTGGATGAGGACGGATTCGTTCTAAGAAGGAAGAGAAGATTGTCAGCGAGTTCTTGAACAGCGATGAGAAAGATAGCCATACCTGGACGTTTGCAGTGCATAGCGAGGTGATGCTGTTGATCTTGGAGCCGGACACCCCAGGCGGTTTGAGCGCTAGCATGGACTGGAGATAGTTCTCCAGCTCTGCAGAGGCGGACGACATGGCGATCACGGGCTGTTGCCGCCGAATGTGAGATTGTGTAGAATGAACGACTCTATCAGTCTGATGGTTGCTTGTCGCCGAGAGAGATATCTCAGCAAGGTTGCGGTTACTTCGAATGCAGCGGAGACGCTCAACCAGAAACGAACTCCTAAAGAGGTCTTAAAGAAAACCGTGGCTCTTCACTACTGAATCCACGGGCGCATTCACTGCTGACCAGAGAATCGCCGCCTACAGCTGGGATACAGCCTAGCGAGGATGTGTGTGGATGAGGTGGGCTGAGTACGAGTACAGGAGGTACAACCTAAAGCGCACTGCAAGTGAGATCCCAAGGGGGCAGCAGCGTAACGCAGTTACAGTGTACGAGTAATCCGCAGGTCCCAGGCGATGAAAAAAACGATGGAAAGAGATGAGGAAGAAGGGGGGGATGGGTGGTAGGTGATGAAACAATGAAAGAAGGGAGAAAGTTGAAAGGGAAGGAATGTGATGGGTGGATGGGCCGGTCAGGTGACCGCAGAATCTGCCGCGGCGCTAGTCCGAACCGGGACGATCATGTGATGATATCACATGACAGCTGTGCATCCCTCTCGCACCAGGGGGCATCAGGGAGAGCCCGAGATAAGCCCGAGATTAGCCGGTAGATACGTACGGACACAAAATAATAATGTACACAATGACACCATCGTCTCGGTGAACCATTTGAGAAGAGCGGGTGCCACTGCTCCCAAGATGCCTCCCTGGTCGAGTATGGAGTCGTAGATGCCCTCGCAGTACCCCCCGAGGACGACCCCTGATTAATACCGAGGATATGACCTGATTCAGGGCTCGGGCGCATCTCGCTCGGAAGCGGCACGGTTGATCGAGGGCGAGTTGCCGACGTCACTGCCAGCATCTCCATCGGGCCTAGCGTGGTCGCGGTACCGTACGGCCCCCTGCCTCCTACCATCGGAGCTGGCATCATCGTTCGTCATGAGGTATACACCGTTGGACTAGGAGGATAGATAGTTCGATGTAGTCCGATGTTCTGACGCGATCATCACGCTCTGCCCCAATATGCGTCTAATCAACCCGGATCTCACAGAAGGATTCGACCTAAGTGGACCTAAAAGCTCCAGTGGAAATGCCAGCCAGGACCTCCCGGCAGGCCGAGAAAAAGTACCGTTGGGGCAGCCATTACCGCCCGTGACGATCCGTTACTGCGGACACGGGCTCCCGATTTTGTGACCGTGACGCGCGCGGTACCGGCTGTATTACGGGTAGAAGGGGAAAAAAAGAGAGCTTCTCCCCGAAAATTTTGTGGTCTCTTTCCCTCCTTCATTCTTCTTCTTGTGTCCACTCGATCCTCCCCCATCCTCCCACCTTCTCATCGCCCCCCCTCCCTCCTTTCTCATCTGTGGAATCGTCTATCACAACTCGATATGGCTACCTCTCTTCGAATCGGTACCACCGCCCTGCGGTCTTCGGTCGCGAAGCCCGTGCAGACCGCCGCCTTCAACGGCCTGCGCTGCTACTCCTCTGCAAAGGCCAAGGTCCGTACAGCTTGTCCGAGCTCAATGGGGGATGCTAACATGCCTGGTCTAGTCCCTCAAGGACACCTTCGCCGATAACCTGCCGGCCGAGATTGAGAAGGTCAAGAAGCTCCGCAAGTATGTTTTCTCTGGCTGTCCATCATGACAATCCCGGCTAATCGCAAGGACAGAGACTACGGTAACAAGGTCATTGGCGAGGTCACCCTGGACCAGGCCTATGGCGGTGCCCGTGGCATCAAGTCCCTCGTCTGGGAGGGCTCCGTCCTCGACTCTGAGGAGGGTATCCGTTTCCGTGGCCGCACCATTCCCGAGATCCAGAAGCTCCTGCCCAAGGCCCCCGGTGGCGAGGAGCCCCTGCCCGAGGGTCTCTTCTGGCTGCTGCTGACCGGCGAGATCCCCTCCGAGCAGCAGGTCCGCGACCTTTCTGCCGAGTGGGCTGCGCGCGCCGACATCCCCAAGTTCCTGGAGGAGCTCATCGACCGCTGCCCCAGCGACCTACACCCCATGGCCCAGTTTTCGCTGGCCGTGACCGCCCTGGAGCACGAGTCGGCCTTTGCCAAAGCCTACGCCAAGGGCATCAACAAGAAGGACTACTGGAGCTACACCTTTGAGGACTCGATGGACCTGATCGCCAAGCTGCCCACCATTGCCGCCAAGATCTACCGTAACGTCTTCAAGGACGGCAAGGTCGCCGCCGTCCAGAAGGACAAGGACTACTCGTTCAACCTGGCCAACCAGCTGGGCTTCGGCGGCAACAGCGACTTCGTGGAGCTGATGCGCCTGTACCTGACCATCCACTCCGACCACGAGGGTGGCAACGTCAGCGCCCACACCACCCACCTGGTCGGTAGCGCCCTGAGCTCGCCCATGCTCTCGCTGTCCGCCGGTCTCCAGGGTCTGGCCGGTCCCCTGCACGGCCTGGCCAACCAGGAGGTGCTGAACTGGCTCACTAAGATGAAGTCCGCCATCGGCAACGATCTGAGCGACCAGTCGATCAAGGACTACCTGTGGTCCACCCTGAACGCCGGCCAGGTCGTGCCCGGCTACGGCCACGCTGTGCTGCGTAAGACTGACCCGCGCTACGTCTCGCAGCGCGAGTTTGCCCTGCGCAAGCTGCCCGATGACCCCATGTTCAAGCTGGTCAGCCAGGTCTACAAGATCGCCCCCGGCGTTCTGACCGAGCACGGCAAGACCAAGAACCCCTTCCCCAACGTTGACGCGCACTCCGGTGTCCTCCTGCAGTACTACGGTCTGACCGAGGCCAACTACTACACCGTCCTGTTCGGTGTCTCGCGTGCTCTGGGTGTCCTGCCCCAACTGATCATCGACCGTGCCCTGGGCATGCCCATTGAGCGCCCCAAGTCGTTCAGCACCGAGGCCTATGCCAAGCTGGTTGGTGCCAAGCTCTGAGCGCATCCTGTCATTTGTATAATTTCCATTTTCTACGGGGTTCTTTGTTTTACTTTATTTTTTCTTTTGGAAGAGTTTTATTTGTTTTGTATGATAAACTAGGACTTGATCGGTTCGAGCGGGCCTTGTAACAGCACTTCCTCAAACATCATTTCTGTGCGACAGAGTCTGGAACATACGGCGTAGATTGTGTTTTAGGTCTGATAACTGCCATGTAGAATCGAGACTGCAAAATGTTGGGACGCTTTGGCCCGCTCAACTTTTTCACCGCCGGCCCACTCGAGATGGGATGTACACGGTCTTTTTGATCATAATAATCGTTAACCTGTAGGAAGAGTAGAAAAATCAAACGTACGAAGGACACTAATATTCTGTAAATTGATGATCGACAATCACAGGCCAGTCACGTTGCCTAGGCACTTGCAGTATGGGAGGTACTGAGTACCTGCTGGCCTGAGTGGATTCCCTGCAAGGCGGAGGTACCAGGTACTGCTGGGAGGATCCAGCCCAGCTGACTTTCCCCAAGCTTTCGCTGATTCCCCTATATGTAACTCTTCCTCTCGAACTCTTGCTCTTCTCCTCTTCCACACCCACTTCTCTCACCACGACGTTGCGACTCACTCCCCTCCTCCTCCCTTCCCACTTTTTGTGATCCCTTCGGCGCCGCAGCCCCCTACATCCCTTGGTCAGGGCCCCTTTCAGCGCATCCCCAAGTGCCCCAGATGTCTACCACCACCCCGGAGAAGGCTTCGGCCCCCGTGCTGGAGAGAAAGCCCGTCAAGTTCAGCAACCTGTTGCGTAAGGATCCTTTCTTTGTCTTGGCAGGGCCCAGTGGTCTAACTTTCTGTCTTTTGCAGTGGGCGCTGGATTGAATATGTTCGAGTATGTCACCCCTTACAAGAACATGTCCCATACGATAATTGATGCTAATTGATCTCTAGGGTCACAACGCTTGGACAGGTACGGCCGCCAAAATCGCCCCCGAATATCGACACAATTGATTCCCCGCCAGAACCAGGCATACTGACTGATGGACCATTATAGCCGCTGGAAGTGACCAAGACAACCATGGCCGCAAATCGGGGCGACAGCTTCGCCGGTGCTATGGGTCGGATTTGGGGTCGTGGCGGGATCCTCGGTTGTAAGTGACACTGATCCTGATTCCTCCGATGAGCGCAAGTTGCGTGTGGTGTGGGGATGTGCTCCGACCCCGGACAAGTCTCCGACCAAAAGAAAATAATAATAATAATCAGAGGCTAATACCGACGGAAATTAAAACAGACTATCAAGGACTCATTCCATGGGCCTGGATTGAGGCTTCTACTAAGGGTGCCGTGCTGCTGTTCGTCGCCTCCGAGGCCGAGTACGGCGCCAAGGTGCTCGGTGCGCCCGACTTTCTGGCTGGTATCGGTGCTGGTATGGCCGGTGGTGTTGCTCAGGCCTATGCGACCATGGGCTTCTGTACCTGTATGAAGACGGTCGAGATCACCAAGCACAAGATAGCTGCGTCGGGTGTCAAGCCTCCCGGCACCTTTGCGACCTTCATGGATATTTACCGCAAGGAGGGCATCCGCGGTATCAACCGTGGTGTCAATGCCGTGGCTATCCGTCAGACGACCAACTGGGGCTCACGCTTTGGTCTGTCGCGTCTGGCTGAGACCGCCATCCGCAAGGTGACCAACAAGGAAGATAGCCAGAAGCTGTCCGCCTTCGAGAAGATCCTGGCTTCTGGCCTTGGTGGTGGTCTGTCCGCTTGGAACCAACCTATCGAGGTTATCCGCGTTGAGATGCAGAGCAAGACCGAGGACCCCAACCGGCCGAAGAACTTGACTGTCGGCAAGACCTTCAAGTACATCTACGACTCCAACGGCCTCAAGGGTCTCTACCGGGGTGTGACGCCCCGTATCGGTCTGGGCATCTGGCAGACCGTCTGCATGGTTGCTCTGGGTGACATGTACGTATCCATCTTTCCCTTTCCTTCCCGTCCTCATTGATCCATCCTTCGCTTTCATGTGACACCTCGGACTAACCACCGATACACCGAAATAGGGCCAAAGAGGCAGTTGAAAAACTGACTGGCGAGGCTGTCACTGCGAAGCACTAAAGAGAAGGTTTGAGATACCCTTCTGCTGTGCAGGGGTTTTCTGGTCATTGTAAGCACCGGGATATGATCGTTTTGACGTGTCGAGGTCGGTCATAAACAAACTCCATGCTTCGTTTGGCTCCGTGTACGAGAGGGCCGACTCGATACCAAGTACCCATTGATTACTGCTGCGGTGATTATTGTGATATCATCGTGCTTTTTTTCCTTTTTTGTCCGCGCTTTCGATGACTCCGGAGCAGCATTATTTATTTCCTACTGTACCCATTTAGATAGATGCCCATAGAATCGTGACCTAAAGCCTTTCATCGAAAACGCTTTATTCTCCACACAGCTGCACAGAGTGTAGTTCAGCCATCATTATTATGGAATTGGATTTCTAGGTCAGGAACAATGATCAACACTTGAACCCTTGAAGAACCCAGCGAACCGGAATAGAGAAAATACAGAAGTTTCTTCGCTCCTGTACCTGCATAGCCGATTCCTGCATAGGGAATAGCCGATTATCCCTAAGTTCTCCGCTGCCTGTCTCTGTTGTCATAGCTTTCTGATCAAAAATCCGATTTCGGGGGCGCAGATCGGCCTTTTAGTTTGCGCTGCCTTCGGCGATGGTTGTCGATACGACTTAGTTATGTGGGTATACTTATTCTCACTCGATACTCTTCCATACCTGAATGAGTTTAGGCGGGTTATTTACTTCTGGTTTATCATTCGGCTCTGGATGTTTGACCTCGGTTGAACTTCGGCTTGGGATACTGAACTCGGCTTTATTAAAAGGGGCGTCTCTCGGTATATAAGAGAGACAAGCCGTGCAATTGCTCTCACGTATCTGTTAGAAATTCATTCAATCTAGTAAATAATCAGCCCATTACGTGCAATTGTATTCGTGGATCACTGATACCTAGCGGAATTGATGTCATCGTTGATCGAGACTACTGGCTGTTTGCAGCTTAAGCATTTCAACTTTTTATAGACCTTTTGAATCAGTATACACATGTATTATGGAATGATGTTGGGGGTAGGTATATCATGCTTGAGGGCAATGAACGCATAATGAAGATCTCAAAGTTCAACGGTCATTGCACATGGCCGGCTGAGTTCGAAGTCTGGCCCAGGCTAGCATCTTAATGAGTTCTCAAATGTACATCTACGTCGTCTAGGTAGGCCAAGCTAACCGTAAGGCGTTCAATTCCTCAGATTGGGTAGTGCTGCATCGAATAAGGTACAATTGTATTACAGTCAACTACACCTTCGGACAAAGGAGATATTGGCAAATGAATCTAGACACAGGAGTTCACATCGGATCCAAGCAACGGGGGACACTGGCTTTCCCCCTTAAATCTAGGGGTTGTGTATTGTATACAGGGTTTAGACGGTCAGACCCAAGTCCTCGGCGTAGGGGAGCTGGAAGACATCGCCGACGCTGACGACGGTGGCCTTGCCGGAGAGGAAGGACTTGGCGGCCTGCGGATAAACAATTAATATGATAATATAAGAAACAAAATTGTGGGTTCAAACATACCTCCTTAACTTGCTGCTCTGTGACATTCTCAAGAGCCTTGGCAACCTCATCGATCTGGTAGGGCTTGCTGCCGTGTACCAGGCCGGATCCAGTGGCCTCGAGGCCGGTCTCGAGAGTCTGGACGGACTCCAGAGCACGGAACTTGGCCAGAGCAGCGGCCTTCTTGATCTCCTCGCTAGCGATCTGGCCGGCGGCGGCCTTCTTAAGGACGTCGACGACGTTCTTGCTGGCGGCACCAACCTGGTCGGCCTTGCCGGAGAGCATGACGGTGAAGAGACCGGCATCGGAGTACGCGTGGTTCTTGGTGGAAACACGGAGCGAGGAGAAGCCCTGGGTGGCCTGCGACAGGAGCGAGAAGCCGGGAGACCACTTGATGGTGGACTCGCCGCCCAGGAGCGCGGCCAGGACGGAGGCCTCGGGCTTGTAGCCGGTGGTACCGAAGGCGCTGGATCCGGGGAAGGCAATCACGACGGCATTACCGGCCTTGGAAGGCAGACGCTGCTGGCCACCATAATACTTGGTTGCCGCACTTGGCTGGACCTTGTACTGACTGGAGGCGCCGCCGGTAGGCAGGTCCTTGAAGAACTGGCCGACCCACTTGTTTACTTCGGCGGCGTTGGGGCCGCTGGCGACCAGAGCGACGTTGGACTTAGCGTAGGCGCTCTGGGCGTACTCAGCCACGGCATCGGCCGACAGGTACTTCTCGAAGGGCGCGGTCTCGGTCGGGGTGATCTGCGAGCCGAGGCCGCGATGGAAGGCGACACCGTGGGCAGCATCGATGGCGATGTTCTCGGGGTTGGAGAAGACGGCCTGCTGCTTGTACTTGAGGAGCTTACTGACGAGCTCGTTCAATTCGTAATCTGATAAAAGTGAGCACATTTTCCTCCCTTACCAACAAAAGTCCAACTCACCAGGGAACTTGGTCTGGCTTGCAACCTCCGCGAGCAGCTCTGTGAAGTATGGGAGGTCGTTCGAGAGGAATTTGGCCCGCAGGACGATGTTTTCGCGGGAGTGGCTCGACGAGATCTCACCACCCAACAGCTCGACCTCCCGGGTGATCCGAAGTGCCGATCGCTTGAGTGTGGACTAACCAATGGCAGCCAAATTAGCATTGTCGGTTTTTCATCAATGAATTGGTTCAATTGACGGCCAGGGGACTAACCTTGAAGGCGAATTGCTCAAGAGCATCGGAGAAACCAGGGAAGGGCTGGTAGCGGGAACCGGCCTTTGCAACTAGAGCGATAGTGCCAGTCGGGCCAGCCACCTCACGGTTGGCGACCTTCACACCAGCGGCCTCGGAGACATCGTACTGGAAGGCCGGATTGGCGGCGGAGGCCATGGCCCGACGGCCAACGTTGAGCGCTCGCGGCGCATTGCGGCTGAGGGAAGACCGCGACAGCATGGTCGCCTGGGTGAATGGAGGAAAGAGGAAAGAGTAGACACCCAGACAGAGCCAGGGAACAGGGCAATTGGCAGGGAGGGAGGGGAGGGGGAAATGCGGGAAAACAGGAGATGAACGAGACGAGAGTAGTGTCGAAGTGCTGAAAAGCTGCGTGGGCGCACCGGCCAATCAGGGGCCACCGGCCGGACGAAATCGGAATTCACGTGATCATGATCTTTGGGATCAGGTGACTTGGCGATAGCCAGAAAAAGATGCAGAAAGTCACAGTCGCCCGTTACACCCAATGCTCCTGCTGCGGTGACCTCGATCGTCGCTCATCTGCTGCACTGCAGGCTGGCGACTTCCTGCTACATCAACTATGACGTCCAAGGTAAAAATGCCCGTGACGACTCACGAGTCTCAAAAAAAAGTGCTTGCTCGAGGTGCTGACAACCAGCTCAGTTCGCCGCGGAGCTCTGTACGCTCCTGATCGAGGACCATTTCGGGGAGTTGTTTGCAGTATGTCTCTCCAGTATCACGGGGTATCGTGGTCGTGAAGCTTGAAGCTAACGGTTTTCGCGCGTTGAAGCGCATCTTTTCCACTCTACAAAGATACGAACGATTGACTCTCCCGCGGTTGAAATTCTATTCCCGCCTGACCGAGCGTCAGGTGCATCACGGCCTCGCGGCTATGATCCAGCACCACCTTGTCTACCACTACACCTCCCTCGATGACGGCATTACCTACTACGAAGCGAACCCACAGTCCGCATACTATCTCGTACGATCGGGCAAAATCATCCACCTAGTTCAAGACCGACTGGGGAAGTATGCGGCCAAAGTTATGGCCACCATTTTGTTCCTTGGGCATGCCCCGATCAGCTATTTGGAGACACTGCCGGAACTTCGATCTTCCAAGCCCGTGACAAACGGGGTAAACCATGAGGAGGAGGCAGCCGACGAACGGAACGGTGATCACCATGAAAGGCCATCACTCCTACACCCTACTCTTACAGCTCTTGCATCCCACGGCTACATCATGCGGGTTCGGGATGCACATCTCCAGAGCCCTGCGGATAACTGGCTCGACGCTGAGCGAACCGTCTCCTCTAGACCGGATATCAAATCATTGAAAGGCAAGAAACAGCAGGAGGCGATAGCTCACGAGACCGCGGAGTTGGTCGCGGAACGAACAGATGGAGACCTCACTCGCGGATTGATATTCAATGGGCTCCCTCGAGGCATCAAGCGCAAGTCAGGCCACGGTTCTGGCATACCAAACAAGCACTCTCGGATGGACCATGGGATGGTTAATGGCGATGGCTCTGGAGAAGAAGGGAACGAGAAAGAAGACGACGAAGAAGAAGAGAACGACTGGTCAGAGGATGAAGATGGATATGATACTGCTCCCATGGATGTAAGTTTTCTTTCATGCTTTACAATCCATCGGGTACTAACACCTTCCTTAGCCTGGAATAGTTGTCCGGGTCAACTACCCCAAATTAGATGTGGCACTTCGCAATGCTCGGTTTATCGAGCTCGCCGCGAACGATGCGTCTGCCATGACGGCCGAGGTATATGGTTGTCTTCTCCGCCGTATCGAATATCAGACATCCCGCTGCCGGGACTCGGCTGAGATTCCGCGTGAGGGAGAAGAAGGAGAGCAATACTCGGCTCCGATCAAGCTGAGTGCAATAGTGGAAGATGTTGATCCACAACTGGACCTAGCAGGATCTATCGGACCAATGAATCCCTCACAAACAACGAACCGACTCGGGAAACGGCCATTGACAAATGGCGTCAACGGTGACGATCATGACAATGATGATCAGGATCCTATTGACCGCACCGACGAGATTGACCAACACCTTCGTCTCCTGGCCCAACCACCGTACAACCTGACTTCACTGGCCCAAATTGGCGGTCTATCTACCTGGAGGATTGAGTTCCGGCATCTTGCACGCAAACTGCGGCATCGAGAACTGGAAACTCTCACCGAGTCGCGCTTCGGTGATGTCGCGTTGCGGGTGGTGCGCGTGCTGCATGCTAAGGGGAAGCTGGACGAGAAACGGCTACAGGAGATTACTATGCTCCCGTTCAAGGATCTGCGACAGACCCTCGCCAGCATGCAGTCAGGTGGGTTCGTTGATCTCCAGGAAGTGCCGCGCGATGCACAGCGGCAGCCTTCCAAGACCATCTACCTCTGGTATTACGACCCGGATCGGATCTGCGGCAGCATCTTGGAGGATACGTACAAGGCCATGTCTCGTACTCTGCAGCGGCTGAATTTCGAACGTGAGCGCGAGAAGGATTTTTTGGAGAAGACGGAACGTTCTGATGTCAAGGGGAATGAGGAGCGGTATCTGTCAGATGCTGAGTTGGAGTACCTGCAGCGCTGGCGGGCTCGTGAAGCCAAATACCTGGGGGCGTTGGCCCGGTTGGACGATATGGTCGCCGTGTTCCGCGATTACTGATCAGCCTGTCTCTATTCTGTCTGTTCATGAGCGACGAATCTCATAGCAAGAGTTGCATTTACAAGCGGCGCATCCATTGCTGGCGCTGCTTCGAGGATATCCAAAAAATTAACCGAATTTCATCCTTTGGGGGTGAGAGCCAATGGTCAATCTTGCGTGTTGCAGGGCACAAACACTCGTAGATATAACGATGGACTACTTAATTTCGGCCTGCAAGTCCTACTCAGCTGTTTCAAATATGGTTGACATGAGACTCGTCCAATCTATATCTATCGTTATGCCACCGTAAGCCCTAGACCTCGCTACAGGCTATTAGGTACGGAGATAGGCACTGGAATACCAAGGGAAGCTCGAGAGCGCGGGTGAAACCCCGGTTAAAGTATGTAGCTAAGTCAAGTCAAGTCTATTTGGATACACGAAGAAGGATAATAGCACAAACAAGAAAAAGCTGCCCCTCCCCCATTTGAAGTAAAACACCATCGCCGCCCGATACCTGGAGAGGGAATAAAACAGAAGAGCTAAGAAAATAGATCATAACACATAGTCGAACAACTCTGGTTTTACTCCAAATCAATCTTGTTATACCTTCTCGAAAGTAAAGCTGAAGATCATCAGCGCGCCTTCCACCGCAGATTACTTCAAATCCGGCGACATGGAGTCCGCTGTAGCTCCTTTGACTGAAGTCTTGTCTGTCGCGGATAAGGATGTGTCCCTAGTCGAGCCGTCCTGAGGCAGATCGCCGGCAGCAAGCTTCGCTTCAGCCAGCGCTAGTTTGGTGGAAGCATCATCCAGAGACGTCTTCAGCAGCTTGATGTAGTCGATAGCCATCTCAACCGCGGTGGCCTTGCTGATAGGCTGATTGCTCGATTTGTCCTTCTCCTTCTCGCCAGCCTTTGAGATATTGTTTGCAGCCGCTTCGCTGGCTTGTCGGGCCTGAATGAATTGCGGTGGGATGAGCGCTTCAATCTCCTTGAGAGCGTTGTTGATCCGATTCCGACGGCCCTGTTCAGCCAGCTTGTGGTTCGTGCGTTTGGAGCTCAGATTTTCTGCGAGACTTTCGGGGTACGAAACGCCAGACGGCAAGGTGCCATCGAGGATGTGTTGGTAATTGGACTTAGATGCCAGATAGATAGATGACGTGTCATGGCTCATGCCTGGGAAAGGGTTAGGACCAATAGAAAGAACCAGTCTAGGTCTTTTGACTTACCATCACCTCGCATGAGTGGTTGGATATTGGGGCTAATCTTCGGCCGCAATTGTGGGCTGGCATGTGTGGCACTTAAGCTCTGCCGTTTGCGACTGGAAACAGGAGTTGTTGAAGAGTCTGACTTCTTGGGAACTGGTCCGCTCGGGGAAGGCATGACTGTACGGGGGCTAGGAGCAATAGACCAACTTGGAGGTTGATCAGTCGCAGCCGAACGCAGCTCCAGCGACGGTGTAGTATTTGCAGAGTTCGTAGGACTGATAGTGCTGGTGCGTATGGCTGTATCGATGCGAGATACCTTGGGGCGAAGCTGCTGCGATGAAGTAGCCGCCTCCGGGAGGGAGATATCCTCCATTGGCTCGTCTTGGTATTCGGGTGGCGCAAGCTGAGCTTGGCCGGTGAACTGGTCCGAGGGGTCCGGCGAGTGCTGCGATCGGAGGCGCATCAATGTTGCAGGGGTGGCCGCCCCAGCCGGCAGCGACCGAGAGTGCTGGGGAGCGATCGCGGGGGATCTGCGAGGCGGAGGAAGAGCCGGGGGTGGCATCAGAGGTTCTGATAATGGTTCAGGGGAGACCGAGTCTTGGCCAGAGCCCTCGTTGCTGCTGGCCTGGAGAGAGCACACATCATGGTTGAGCGGCTTTCGGATGTTCAGCTCCTCATTGAGGTTATTGAACAGCTCTTCCGAATTAATGCTAAGGGTCGACTTCTTGCGCTGCTGCTGCGCCCGGATGGAAGGCGACTGCTTGACCTTACTCCGCCCAGTGACACGAGAAGTGGACGGTCGTCGACGACCGGACTTCCTTATAATGTGAGGGGATGACGGAGACGAGGTCCCTGGGAGCGGGTTGATCTCTGCGCTTGTCGGGACAAACCCCACATCAGACACCTGCCTGTGGTGGAATGGGTAGCCGCTGTTGTTGGACTGATTCGCATTCTGTGCTTCCAAAGCAGGAGAAGTGAGGGGAGTGAAGTACTCTCCGGGGATGGTGTATTCGGGAAGCCGGAACTGATTCTCCAACGGAGTCATGGCAGGAGAAACCAGGGGAGTGTACAGCGCCTGCTCCTCGTTGATGCGCGCATAGCGATCGTACATCTCTTGGCTCTCATCCACGCGCTGGGGATATCGGGCGGCATTACCATGCAACTCCATACTGTTCGGCGTCGGCGGGATCATCGGCTGGCCCTGCATATAGTGCGAGGCCTGCGATGGCTGCAGGGAGCGCTGTTGCGAGGGATCTGGCGCGCAAAAGCCTGGGCTCATGCTGGGCGCCGAATAGGCCAATTGATGGGACTGCGACTGGCTGTTGAAGTCAGACATATCCAGCTGGCCATACTGCATGGGGTGCGAGGTCGGCTCGGTATCCATGTGCACCATCTCGGAGTCGGGACCCGTGGTGGTGGATGGATTGGCGAGCGAGTGTTGCTGGGAATGTTGCGAAGCGCCGGGTCCGTGCCCATCGAGATCGGAAAACTGCATGCCGAACTCGAGGAAGTTGGAGAACTCATCGTCAGCCGGCGCAGTGGTGAGCGAGCCATCATCGAGCTGCTCGGGCCATGACATGGGTTGTTGCTCCATTTTCAAAGCCGGGAGGAGGGGTTTCTATCCGTTTCTTTTTTCTTGTCTTTCTTTCTTCAGGTGTCAGACCAATTAGGCTGGGGGGAGCGGGGAAGAATCCGCCGCGAGAAAAGAGAGAGAGCGACAGATATCCAGGCAGGTTGGCCGAGAGCAGGGCTCGAATCAGCGAAGATGATGAGACATGGTGCGAAAAGAGAGACCAAGTAATAGTGGGGGAAAGAGGGAGAAAGTGGGAGGGACAAGAACAAGACAAGACCAGGGGAGATGGAGAGGCTTCGGGCGGAGACGGAAAATATCCACGTTCGGCTCGTCTGTGGTTCGCTTTTTACCGCTCCAGGCGCTACAGTATTCTATTCTGCCTTTGCACTACACACATAGTACGCTGGATAAATAGAGTAATTAACCCTTCAGCCGGAGACATCAAGACATATGTACATATGTACTTATGTGACCTATAGGATGTACTGCGATGCACTAATTCAATCAAGGCCAGTGGGTCTCGCTTGGTCGTCTTCTCGGCCCGATTGTACATCGAGGTACCGTGACCCTTGCTTACGTACGCCTCTCTACATGACATGATCATACATCACCCATCATCCTCAATCTCATCCTCGCCATCACTAATGTCCCTCTTGTCCGCTTAAATGCTGCGCTTCCACCATGCGCCCGCCTGTCTCTGACCTGCCGGCCTTTGACCGCAAGCCATCCTTCGATCGCGCTCTATCGCCATCCCCAGATCCCCGCACTGCCGTCCCCGCGACCTTCTTCTTGTCCCGCAGTCCACATGCCTCAGATCCCGGATCCCCTCCGTTTCCCCCTGACGATACCGAGTCTTTCAGGGAGAGTATGTATGGCGTTCATAGCCTAGATGAGACCCTGTCGCACGCCGGGCTGGTCGGATCTCCACATTTATCACCCCGCGACCCACCTGCGGAGTTCAAGGGCGACCACCAACAACAGGAGGCGGATGAAGATGACATGGACGAATGTCTAATGTCGCGGCGACGGTCAACGATCAAGCCGGTTGACTCTGGTCTTCAAAAATCACCTCCCCGGCCACGGGGCTCCGACACGGCCTCCCGCCCTCTGACCCCGCTCAACTTAAGCAACCCCGATGAGCCCTCGTCGCTACCCAGCAGCCCCAAATCGATTTCCAACCAGTCGCTGCGACCACTCGATGACATGTCTATCACCGATGAAACAACCAGCCAGGTCATCATGTCGGGGGATGAGGACGAGGGACCCCGGCTCGGCGTATCCCCGCGCCCCACTCCTGGTGTTTCCCAGTTGATTATGCCGAGTATCAGAATGCCCAGCCGACGACCCTTCACAGAACGAGGGAAAGACATGGGCCGATTTAAGATGCTGTTGGCTGGCGCTCCTGGTATGCTTTCCACGGCCCCGTTACTTTTGGTTCAGCTGTTCTAATATCCTTCTAAGGCTCGGGGAAAACTTCTTTGATCAAATCGATTGTTCAAGCCTGCGAGGACATTGTACATGTCGATTCGCTTCCCGTGAGTACTTCATCGCAGCATCGCCGATCGTCGCGAGTTCATTCCGGAGGCATACCCGGTCAGGGAATGCCAACCACCACCACTGAAATCTATGCAAGCACTAAACCGTATCCCTGCTGGTGGTCTGATCTGGAGGACTCGCGGGTCCTGCGACGACGGAAAAGCATTGACGAAATTGTGCTTGAGCGGAATCTCTGCTTCATCGACACACCTACAACCTCGCTGAGCCGTGCTGGACAGACCGATGCCATTGTGCAATATATGCGTCAACAGTTGCTTCGTGCGACTACCGCCCTAGAAGGTGCAGGCATCGATTTCCAAAACCTACTTGCTGGTAACGGTGGGTCCCAGGTGGATGCCGTCGTATATTTGATTTCAAACGGTAAATTTAGTCGCTATACCGGGTTGAGCTGTAGTCTCATAACTGATCTTGTGCAGACACTCTACCGACAGACTTGCAGTGCATTCGAAAGCTCACCGAGTTGAGCAATGTCATCCCAGTGATATCGAAAGCGGACACCATGTCTCCCGAGCAAATTGCCTCGCTCAAGGAACGGTTCCATGAGCATGCACGAGAGGCTGGAATCAAACTCTTCCTATTTGGTAGTGCGGATGGTCTAGAAGCACAGCCACCCTTTGCAGTTTCCTCTGAAAAGACAGCCGATATGGAAGTCATGGATGCCAGCACCCTGATGAGCCCGGATTACGTGCAGCCTCTAGTTTGCTCTGAGCTGGAATTTTTGGTGCAGAAGATATTTGACCGAGATAACCTAGCCTGGATGCGCCACTCAGCTGCCAAGAAGCTTGCACAGCGACGCGCTAACTTCCCATCTGTGCCACCATCGACGGCTCCGCTTCCCAATGCTCTATCTGGGCCTATAAGCGGCGCATCCCCGTGGCGAGCTACCTCACAAACGTCACTGAACTCACCCCTCTCGGGTGCTGGCGGGTCGCCGCCCAGCTACGCTATGGCGCGTCTGGCAGACTACACCCGGAACGAAGAGCAACTAGCCCAAGTGCGACTGGCGCAGTGGGCAACTGATCTTCAGCGCAGCCTCCAAAACGAGCGTGATCGCTACACAGCGCTAGCCCGCGGCGAGCGTGCGGTCTGGCTAACCGAACGACTAAGCGAGTGCGTCGTCGACGGTTCGCTAGTCCCTCTCACCCAGACCCCAGGCTTCCGCAGCCTGCATATAGCGGGCAGTGAGAAAGCTGGTGCGGCGGGCTTGCATGTCGGACGATCCCGCTCTCCGGCAGAGTACCGCGTTGCGAAAATGAGTCCGCATGACCCACTGGGCATTGTCGGCTGGATCGATGATATCGGCCACCGGGGTTGGGTGCTGGTCCAGATCGTCGGCAGCGTCGGCGTTGTCGGTGGCCTGGCGCTCTGGCTCGCTCGCACTTGGGGCGTTCCGGCCCGCACCCTGGCCGAGTTGAACTTGGACTATTTTTCCGGCAGTATGGAACGGTAATAGCTTTTCACGTTGCCTTGCTTGAGGGAATTGCGTATGACCTTGATGAGGTATGACTGAATATGTTGGACGGTTTTTTTTTTCTTTCTTTCATTCTTCTTTCTTTCTTTCATTCTTCTTTCTTTCTTTCATTCTTCTTTCTTTCACTGGCTGGCGGATGGGCGTTGATATCTCGCTCTCTTCCCCATGGGGTATCTCGGGGTATCTCATTTCCCTTATTTTATCCTATCATCGGCGTTTCTTCGGACAGGGTGTTGTCTTTTACTCTTTCATTTTAACGGTGGCCACGTATCATACTCGGGCAAACTTCATTTACTCAAAGGGTTAGTAGGTATCTAGTCTTCAAAATGGATCATGCATGCACCGAGAGATAAGTCTTCAAGCAATTTCATGGCCTTAAAACGCCGCCGTCTACGCACGCTCTTTCGATACCATGCAGCCTCCACCATGAGGCCATCCGTTGTACAGCATTTCTTCGGGGACTTCAAGGCCGAGGAGTTGCCTATAGAGAAATGTCACTGAGCTCGTTGCTGTAGTTGCTTTTGAAAATTTTATTCACAGTACATAGTTTCCCCATCATTGTGAACGAGATCAACTCCAAGGTGTTTCCCATTCTGGATGAGATCGAAGGAATTGATACTACGAGTACACCAGCTACGATGGGACCAAGAGCTAGTTGGCCTAAATGGATGCAGCAGAATAGACAAGATCAATAGAATCAAGATTTGCAAGCAAAGTCCAGTTCTAAACGCACAGGGCTTTTCCATTCGCGATAACCTCCAATCAAGCAACCGTTTCAGCAAAGAAACAGAAAGAGAAAGAGACTACACAGTAGAAAAAAGGGGAAAAAAAGTGAAGTAAAACCCAAAAGCTCTGATTGTTGGACACATTTAAGAAAAAAGTAGAAGAAAAAACATCAAAGAAGGAGGAAGTCGTATCCCGTTTCCCATTTCCCGTTAGAAAGAAGAGAGGTAAACCATCTAGTCAACCTCCTCCATGGCGCTCTCGCCGGTGGCCTCAGCAGCGGGGGCATCCTCAGTGGCCTTCTCCTCGGCCGTCTCGGTGTCCTCGTCGATGTTCAGACCCAGAGACACGAGCTTGTGGATGCGCTCGGAGAAGCTGGCGGGCTCCTCAATGGTGAAGCCAGAGACCAGCAGGGAGGTCTCGAAGAGAAGCTGGGTGATGGACTTGACCGTGCGGTCGTTCTCACCGTCAGACTCGACCTTCTTCTTCAGCTCCTTGATGATGGAGGACTTGGGGGAGATCTCGAAGGTCTTCTTGGAGGACATGTACGAGCTCATCGAGGTGTCACGGAGGGCCTGGGCCTTCATGATACGCTCCATGTTGGCGGACCAGCCGAACTGGCCGGTACGGATGGCGCAGGGGGCACCCATGAGCTTGTGCGACACGACGACCTTCTCAACCTTGTCGCCGAGGATGTTCTTCAGAGCCTTGGCCAGGTCCTCGAACTCCTTCTCCTCCTGCTCGCGCTCCTTCTTCTCCTCCTCGGTCTCCTCGAGCTCGAAGTCCTTGGTGATGTCGACCAGCTTCTTGCCGTCGAACTCCTTCAGCTGGGTGAAGGCGTACTCATCAATGGGGTCCACCAGGAACAGAACCTCAAAGTTCTTCTGCTTGAGGGTGTCCAGGAAGGGCGACTTGGCAACAGCCTTGATCGACTCGCCGGTGATGTAGTAGATGTTCTTCTGGTGCTCCGGCATGCGGGTGATGTAGTCAGTGAGAGAGGTGTTCTCATCACCAGACTTGGTAGACTGGTAGCGCAGCAGCTTGGCCAGGGTCTGGCGGTTCTGGGCATCCTCGTGGATACCAAGCTTGATGTTCTTGCTGAAGGCAGAGTAGAACTTGTCGAACTGCTCACGGTCCTCGGCGATCTCGTTGAAGAGCTCAAGGGTCTTCTTAACAATGTTCTTCTTGATGACCTTCATGATCTTGTTCTGCTGGAGAGTCTCACGCGACAGGTTGAGGGGCAGGTCCTCGGAGTCGACAACACCCTTGATGAAGCTCAGCCACTCGGGGATGAGGTCGGTGGCATCATCGGTGATGAAGACGCGGCGCACGTACAGCTTGATGTTGTTCTTGGTCTTCTTGGTCTCGAACAGGTCGAAGGGAGCGCGCTTGGGAACGAAGAGGATGGCGCGGAACTCGAGCTGACCCTCAACCGAGAAGTGCTTGACGCCCAGGTGGTCCTCCCAGTCGTTGGACAGCGACTTGTAGAAGGAGGCGTACTCCTCCTGGGTGATATCGGCCGGGTTGCGGGTCCAGATAGGCTTGGTCTTGTTCAGCTCCTCCTCCTCGATCTTGGACTCCTTAATGGTCTTGGTCTTCTTCTCCTTCTTCTCCTCGTCCTCGTCGACCTCCTCGACCTTGGGCTTCTTCTCCTCGTCCTCCTCCTTAGTCTCCTCCTCGGCCTCCTCGTCGGGGACCTCCTTCTCGGTCTCCTTCAGGACGTGCAGGTAGATAGGGTAGGAGATGAACTCGGAGTGCTTGCGGACAACCTCCTTGATGCGGCTCTCGTTGAGGTAGTCCATCTGCTCATCCTTGAGGTGCAGGATGATCTTGGAACCACGGCCGAGCTGCTCGCCCTCGGTGTCCTGGGTCAGGGTGAAGGTGCCACCAGCAGCCGACTCCCAGACGTACTGCTCATCATCGTTGTGCTTGGACACAAAAGTGACCTTGTCGGCAACCAGGTAGGCCGAGTAGAAACCGACACCGAACTGGCCGATCATGGAGATGTCAGCACCAGCGGACAGGGCCTCCATGAACTGCTTAGTGCCGGAGCGGGCAATGGTACCCAGGTTGTTGATCAGGTCCTGGACGAAAGGGTTAGTCACTCATACAGCAAATCAATCCAAGACTGATCTAGTACTTACAGCCTTGGTCATACCAATACCGGTGTCCCGGATGGTCAGGGTCTTGTTCTCCTTGTCCGGGATGATATCGATCCGCAGATCCTTGTTGGAGTCGAGCTTGGAGGGGTCGGAGAGAGCCTCATAGCGAATCTTATCAAGGGCATCCGAGGCGTTGGAGATCAGCTCACGCAGGAAGATCTCCTTGTTGGAGTAGACGGTGTTAATGATGAGGGAGAGCAGCTGAGAGATCTCAGCCTGGAACTCGAAGGTCTCCGGCATGATGGCGGTGTTGAGGGGAATTGGATTCTGGGAGAGATGTTAGAAGGGATGTTTTGACAATTGTGGTGGCGAGGCTGAGTTTTCTTCAGTCTGAATGGTGGATTGATGGGTTGGTTGGGAGGTCGGTGTGGAGAATGGCTGGAGCTGAGAAAGAGGGAGGGGGGAAGGATCTTACAAGAAAAGTTGAGTTGAGGCTGGAGAGGGATTAGGGGAGGGATTAAAACAGAGAGGTTCAGTTCGTGATAATTGGGGGAGAGAGTAGCTGCAGGGAGCAACACGGCGTGAAGAGGAGGAAGAGGGAGGATGGAGAGAAGAGAAGAAGAAGAGAGAGAGAGGGCGGGCCACCTTTTTCTTGTGTTTCCAAAAAAATTCGGGTGGGTTTCTACGGCAATCCAGCAACTTCCACGGTCGGTCAGGCAACTCATCCCTCTAGTTTATTCTTCGGATCCCCATCATTCACTCCTCTTCTAGAGTCTTCCCTGCACTCATCCGCAGAGAACTAGGATGTCGGTCGGGCCCCTGGCTGTACTACAAACGCCCTGGTGAGATGGAGAGCTCGGTTGCTGCCTTAGGCATCCACAGAAGCTTCTACATCTAGAACCTTCCCCGCCGGACGACTACCGATGAACAAGATGCACCAAAACAGGGAACCCCGGAGCTTGCTATGCTAGTTCAAAATATGCGGTATAGAAAGATCTTGGGGGGTGACTCGGATCATGGCACAAAAAGTAAAAAAAAAAAAAAAAAGACACAAAAAGAAGGGAAATAAAAGTATAGGGCAGAGAATGAGGGCATGGGAATTAATCAAATGTGAAAAGAAAAAAGATAAAACACACGAGCCCCATTGACGGGATGGAAAGGAACGTAACTTTTCCAGCCAGACCGGGACCAACCGCTAATATGCACTGTGACAAGAGAAAGGGGAGTGGGAGTCACATAACACATGTCATTAGGGACACAAAAAGAGGGGATGGGAGAACAAATGAAACCAGAAATAAAAAGCAACAAGTAATACAGACCCTGGGGGGTTCATCCATAGACGGCCACAGCAGGCGAAACGGCCCAGCCGGCCCGACCCCAGGTGAAAAGATCATCGAAGGCGGGACGTGCCGAGGGTTTAGGCGGCCTGGGCCTGGCTACGGCCCTTGGAGGCCACATTGCCGCCACGGCCACGGGGAGCAAACCCTCCACGGCCATCGCGCTGGAAACCACCACGACCCTGGCTACCCGCACGATCACCACGGCCGCGGCCAGCACCACCGCGACCAGCACTGTAGCCGTTGCTACCGTAGGCATTGCCACGAGGGCGGCGCTCCTCAACGAGAACCTGCTCGCTGCCGATCTGGTGCGGGTTGTTCGCGACGGCGGCAGTGTAGGCCGAGGGGTCGGCGAACTCAACAAAGGCGCAGTTCTAGAAGGACATGAGTACTATTGCCAAGGGGGGGGGGGGAGGGAGGGAATGAGAGAAACGGACCTTAGGACGGCTGACGTCGAAATATCTCAGCTTGCCGAAACGGGACAGGGTCTGCTTGAGCAGACTGGCATCCACCTTATCGGTGACGTTCTTAACGTAGGCTAGGACCGTCTGCTCGTCACCCGCACGAGACTGGGTCTTCTTGTGGTCAGAACCGGCAGTCTGCCAGCCCGCACCGTCGTTCGAGGCAGTGTCCTGGGACGCAGCAGGCTCGGCGGCCGGGGCAGCAGCAGAGGCAGCGGGCTGGGAAGCCGCCGCCGCTGGAGCCGCAGCTGGCGCAGCCTTGGGCGCAGCGACGGGGATGGCAGGGACCACCGGAGGCTTCGCACCCGGCTTGGAGGCAATGGTGGCCCAGGTCTTGGGGGCAAAGCTGGAGGGAGCCTCGGGCTCCTTCTCAGCCTCCTCCTGCTGCTCCGGGGCAGGCGATGGCTCGGGGGTCGGAGGCTTCTCGCTCTTGGCGAGTTCGGCTTCCACAGCGGGGAGGGGAGCCGGGGTCTCCTCCTCGGCGGGAGTGCCGTTGGTCTGCGGAGGCACTTCCTTGGGCTGCTCGACCTCGCCGTTGGTCTTGACCTCCTCCAGCTTTTCATCGACCTTGTTGATAGCCGCCGGTTCAGTCACCTGAGTGTCCACAGCGGGAGCAGCGGGAGCCGCGGGAGCGGCCGCGGGCGCTTCCACGACAGGCTGGGGAGTAGCCTCCTCCTGCGTAAGCTCCTCATCCTCAACGAGGTATCGGAAGATATCGTTCAGCACGTAGTAGCCATTGGGCTGCTCGGCCAGAACAAAGGTCTGGGCGAACTTGCGCGAGGGCTCAGACTTGTTGGAGATCTCGCCGATGACGGAGACCAGGATGTTGTCGAAGGAGGCTTGGGAGTCGACATTAAGGACACGCACCTTGCAGTCCTGGAACTCCAGCTGCTTGATCTTCTCATTGATTTCCTGCCGGATAAAAGTGGTTAGAAGATGCATGCAATGCCATGTGCATGAGAAACTCACCTTGGTGCCGATAGCGACGGGCACCGACTCCGCCTCAGTACCAAAGACCAGCTGGGAGCGCCGGGAGTAGAACAGGTGCAGCTTATCCGGGTTGCGGCTCATGGTGGTATAGAACTGCTCCACAAAGAACCAGCCAACCTCATCCTTGGAAATCTCGCTCTTCTGCTGCTCGGTGGTGGGCGTGACAGTCGTCGGGGTAGAGGACTGGGCCGGCTGGAAGCTGGCCGCAGTGTTCATGGCCACATGAGCATGGTTGAACGAGTCCGGGTAGCCATGCTGACCAGGGAAGTTGCCATTCATCGGAGGCTGGGTCATGTCGGCCATCATGAGGAACTGAGGGGTCTGATGTATGTGTTTTGTGGTTCGAGGCGGGTGAAAGACGGAATCCCAAGAAAAATATAACCGAGGGCTAGGCAGATAATCGATGGCACACGAGCAGAGCTGGATGGATCTCTACCGAGTGCAGAGAGATGGATGATCTAAAAGAAGTAGTTTTCCTCGCTTCACTAAGTCCAGGTCAGTTTGATCTCCATACTATTACCAATATGCACTCACAATGCCAAATGGACCAAACACCAATGCAAGGGATTGAATGTGACAGAATGAGAGGAAGAAAAGAAAAAAAGATGCAAGAGGATCTAAAGACTCTTCTGCAGCTGGTGACGAGTATGAGAGAAGTAGCGGAGGTGAGAGGTGACGGGGACAGGTCCTCTGTGCGGTTTCGGATCACAGCGGCGTGGAATGGACGAGGTGAGGAGACGAGATGAGACGAGATAGGGTGAATTGAGAACAGAGAAGAGATGTGCCTAAACCAAGACAAGGAGAGAAGATGAGGTGTAGGTAGGTAGGTCGGTCGAATAGTGGTGGTGAGCTGGGAGCAAGATGGGCTGGAGGCGCAAATTGAAAAAGCGACGCTTGCTTCCTCCGTGCGGGTGGGTGACTCACCGCCCGGCAGAACTCGGACCGAGTATCGACAGACCGTTAGGAGGGGATTCTTACGAAGGGGGAAGCCGGAGAGAGTGATGATTCAGAGATATGTATTGAGCGAGGGACATACAGGAGCGGGCGAAAGACGATATAGGGCCCGCCAGAATCCAGACACAGTCAGGAAAGAGACATAAAGAACAAAATCTCATTCGAGTCAAAACAACAACGCCGCTGATCCGACAGAAAGAAAGTAAATGGGGTATGGAAAAGAATAGGACGTGCAGTGGGAGTAGATCCGGTCATGATGATGGACAGAGAGATTACGACGCCGTAGCGGTCTTCTCGCTCAGGACCGTCTTGGGCTGGCGCATGACGGCATCCTGGCTCGACATCCTCCGCCCGAGCGCGCGCTCGACCTTGGCTCCCAGCGCCAGCTTATTCAGGTTGTCCGACTTCTCATCTGTGGGCACAAAGCGCTGCTTCGACAGGGGCTTGTTCTCCAGGCGATTCAGGCCATCCGAGAAGGAGCGAATGTCGGCCAGGCGGGGGTCGCCGCTGGGCAGGCTCGCGTTGGTGCGCTCGGAGGCCGCGAGCGAGGGGCTACCGCTGATGGTGGAAAAGCGCTTGGAGTTGCGGTTCTGGGGGAGGCCAACGAGGTCAGTGATTTGTGGGTTGAAAAAGGGGGACCAGGTTACACAGGAACCCTTACCGAGTGGGCCATGATCGGTCGCTCAGAGTCCAGAGAGGGCTGACGAGTCATCGCTTTTTTGGGAGGTGGGGGGTGGATAGGATCGAGAGGTAGAAAGAGATGGGCAGGGAGAGAGCAGTAGGAGGAAGACGAAGAGGTTGATGGACCGCTTGCTGGTTTCGGGCAGGGGAGCAGGCGGGAGGCAAGCTAGGAAAGAATGGATCAGCGGGTTGAGCCGGACGGAAGGAAAAGAAAGAGATGGGCCGCCTCGGCAGGTTGGAGCAAACCTACATCAAACTTAAGAAGAATCGGGTGATGGATCGTTACGCAGGGAATGATGAAGCGCAGCAGAGGAGTTCGGTGCAGGATGGGATGGTTCAACATTAAGCCGCGAAGGCGGTGTTCCGCCGCCACCACGACCACCAGGCACTGGGTTTCAGGAGCAACGGGGGATGGGGATGAAAGAGAAGATGATCATTCAATATTATTATGATGTACTATCTACGTGCCTGCAATGAAGTTCCATACTGCCTGTTCTCAACCAAGAGGGGTTCCTTTGCCATCCACGTCGAATTTGGAGCAGACTCAATTGCCATGTGCTGGGCCCCGCGGACGATGTACTACATACACCCTTCCTCTGCCCGGTTCGAACGAGGTACGATCAGGGTGATGGGGTCATCCGGACTGTTGTTGCTTGTTTTGTCTCTCTTCGGACCGACCGACCACACGAAACCGGCTGACTCACCGCCATCTGGGCATTTCCATGATTAATCACATCACCGCGGATCCCTGGCGATCGACGGCGATCGGGAAGGATCGATCCCAACACTCATCATGCCGAAACCCAAGTCCTTTTTGAAGGAAGCCAAGGGCAAGAAGAAGGCGGCCAAGCAGGTATGGAACGAGCAACACACTCGGAGATCCAGTGGCTGATCGTGGGATCATAGACACCCGTCACGGCAGATGAATTTTTAGCAGGTACCGTCCCAATTGGACCATCCAGCGGATTCATGAACCCACTACTAACCAATGCCACAGCCGGCGTCGAGCTAGAAGAGGCCGGCGAGAAATGGCGGGCGGGCGACGCCGCCAAGTCGATGCGCTTCTTCATGCGGGCCATCGCCAACTACGACGACGGCCTCCAGCGACACCCGGGAGCCTTTGATCTAGCCTACAACAAGTATGTCGGAGAAGGATTCACATTTTTAAGACCCGGCTAACCCGATGGGTCCAGGGCACGAGTTCAGTATGAAATTACCCAGCACCCCAAGCTGGCCGCTCAGCTACCCGCGCCACAGGGTGAGCTCTTGCAGATCGCCCTGGAGTCGCATCGCGGAGCCCTGAAACTGGATCAGGACAACGCCGATGTCCTGTTCAACACGGCGCAGGTACTCACCAGTCTAGCCGAGTCCATGTCCGACTCCAAGCACCCGGGCGACGAGGCACTTGCGCAGGCGGGGACCTTACTGCAAGAGGCCATCGAGCTCTTCCAGCGGTGCTTGATGCTGCAGGAGATGAAGTACTCGGAGATGGAGGAGCAGGTTCAAGCCATGGAATCCATGGGGAACCAGCCGGAGGAGCCAACGCCATCGGCGGAGCCGGCCGACGCAGCTGAAGCAGAGCCAACCGATGAGCCGCAAGAGCAATGGGCCGCAATCGTCGAACCCGTCACGAAAAACACGCTTGTGGACACGGCTGTGGCACAGCTCGACACATTGACCGCCCTGTGCAACCTGCTGACGTTTAATCCGGGGGAGGGAGGCATTGGCTGGGTGGAGGAGTATTCGTCGGGGCTCGTGCAGTCCCGACTCCCCCTGTATGTTGATGGATCGGACCGCCAGTATGAGGCTGCCTTGGCTCGGAGCAAACTCATATGCGCCATGAACGAGGTGCTGTACCGGGGCGGACACAGCGATGTCGACACTTATCAGCAAGAGGTCGGGAAGGCCTTTGGGCCAGATCTCGATCTATCGGCCGATCCAGAAGGATTGTGCGCCAAGGCAGACGCGCTTATATCTTTCAATAGCGCACTAAACGATGTCCCTCCATCGGACCCCGAGTCGTTCAACATGGCTCTATCGGCCCGCTGGCAATCACTGTCCGTCGCGCTGGACGCGTTGACGGCCGCTTCCAAGATTCCAGACGCAGACAATCTGCCCAAGATCCATCTCGCGCGGGGAGACGTCGAGATGCACCGCTGGCAATTGGGGATGTCGCCCTGGAAATATGAAATGGCACAGCAGAATGGCGCCACCCTCTTGCGCAACGCTCAAACATACTACCGAGGAGCGGCAGCTCTGGCTCGACGAGACGGGGCCAGCGAAGAGGAGCGTGATGGGTCATGCAAGGAGGCAATTGCGGCAGCAGTGGAGGGACAAACGGCCAAGCTGGACCAGCTCAAGACAACCAGACTCAACGAGGTGGTGGCGGTAGCCCAGGACATGGTGGAGGACGGAATGGTAAACGGCACAGACATGGCATCCTTGGTCTCGTGATTGATCGGACTGCCTTCAAAGGTCTGGCCGAGCGTTGACCTCTTCATCCATCTGGACGGCGTCCTGCCGAAGGTGATGCTCCTTGCTGAACTGCGTGGCTGCAGTAGCTGCGCCCTCCAGGTCGCCGATCACTGATTCAAGCTGGGACAACAGCTGCTCGATTTCTACACGCTGTGTCTGCACCGTTTGCGCCAACTCTGCGTTCTGCGTGTGGGTCGCCTCGAGCTTGTCGTTGAGCGTAGCTTGCGCTTCCTGTAGATAGGGCTTCAGGTGAGCCTTGTATAGATCTTCTGCACCGAGAGTGTGCGGGCTATAGTCGGCAGAGATGTCAGATATGATACCAAAAAGAGATAGGCACAGAAAATTACGTACGCAACTCGGGTCGCTTCTCCCTCTCCATTCCCTTCCTCGCTCTCCTTTCGCGCCCTGGCCTCCCCGACCAACCGATCCAGCTCATTCAGATGTTGAACCGCCTCTCGTTCCGTCAGGATCTCGGTAAATTCTGCCTTGGCGCTCTCCTCTAGCTTCGCGTTCAGTTGGCGCCATACACTCTCCAGGCTGGCAGGGACATGTCGTGCCGGCGTGGGGAAACAGCTGGCAAAGTTTTGGTACGAGTTTGCTCGCAGTGTGCGCGCCAACGCTTGGTCGAAGACCTGGTGGAGGCGTGATGCGCGTGGGCCGGGCGTCTGGGAGATGGGCGCAGGCGGGGAGGGGAAGGGGATGGTTGGCGTGTGTTGGATGATTCTGCCATAGCGGATGGATGGCTGGGTGTTGGCGTGGTTGACTGACTGTGTTGGGGGAGGGAGTGCGTGTTGTCAGTTCCTTCTCATCGTCCATTCCTATCTTTCGCCCACACTCGCGACGCGCCAGGACACGTGACTGGATCTATATCGGGGACGTGCAATTTTGCAATCACTAAAATGGCATTATTATCTGCTGCGAACTACATTTTCATTCCTTGGTGCTAAAATAATCAACCAATATCTACATCCCATTCATTCACCCTTTATTTAGTGCGGTCCGGGACCGTCGCCTGCGACGCCTTGAACGACTGCTCGAAATCGGCAATGATGTCGTCGATGTGCTCCGTGCCTACCGAAATGCGGATCGCATCTTCCGTCACGCCCGAGTCGGCACGCTCCTGCTCACTGAGCTGCTCGTGGGTGGTGGACCACGGGTGGATGGCGAGGGTCTTGGAGTCGCCGACACTAGAAGGGGAGGAATCAGTACATGGAATCAATCGAGCCACACCCACGGATACATACTTGGCAAGGTTGGAGATCAGCTTGAAGCCATCAACCACCTGGCTGCCGGCCGCAGCACCGCCCTTGATACCCACGGACAACACGCCACCGAAGCCACGCTTCAGGTACTGCTTCGCGGTCTTGTGCGACGGGTGGTCCTCCAGGCCGGGGTACGAGACCCAGCTCACATACTCGCTCTTCTGCAGCCACTTCGCCAAGGTGATGGCGTTGCTCGCGTGGCGCTCGGCACGTAGACTCAGCGTCTCCATGCCCAGAATCAGCTGCTGGGCCGCGAACGGGTTCAGAGCCGAGCCCAGATCACGCAGGATCTCCACGCGCACGCGGATGGCGAACGCAATTGCACCAAAGGTCTCCCAGAATTTCAGGCCGTGATAGCCCTCGGACGGCTCCACGAACTGCGGGAAGCGAGCAGCATTCTTGCCCCAGTCGAACTTGCCACTATCGATCACCACGCCACCGATTGTGGTGCCGTGGCCGCCAATCCACTTGGTTGCACTGTGGACCACAATGTCGGCGCCGTGCTCGATGGGGCGGCAGAAGTAGCCACCAGCGCCAAAGGTGTTGTCCACCACCAGGGGGACCCCCTTCTCGTGGGCCACCTTGGCAATGGCCTCGAAATCCGGCACGTTGTATCGGGGGTTGCCAATGGTCTCGACGTAGACGGCCTTCGTGCGGTCGTCAATGGCCGCGGCGATGTCGGCGGGATTTTCCCCGTTGATGAACTTGGTCTTGATGCCCAGTCGTGGGAGCATGACCTTGAACTGGTTATAGGTGCCACCGTACAGGTTGGTGGTGGACACAATGTTGTCCCCGGCGTGAGCCAGAGCCGCGATGGCCATGAACTGGGCTGCCTGGCCGGACGACGCGGCGACAGCGGCGACACCCCCCTCGAGAGCGGCAATGCGCTTCTCGAAGACGTCGACGGTGGGGTTCATGATTCGGCTGTAGATGTTGCCGAACTCCTTGAGGCCAAAGAGCCTCGCACCGTGGGCGGAGTCATTGAAAGTGTAGGACTAGATAGACCACCACCGTCAGCACGTTTCTCTAACCAGGCGCGGGGAGGGACGAACGGTGGTGGCGTAGATGGGCACCGCGCGGGAGTTGGTGGCCGGGTCCGGCTCCTGGCTGGAGAATTGTTCAACACGCTTTCCAAAAAGAAACACAGAGCCGACGACTTACCCGGCGTGCAGCTGGAGAGTCTCGAAGTGGGTGTGGTCAGCCATGACGTTTGCCGAATCCAGAAAATGCGGGGAGCCGATGTCGGGGGTCTGTCGGACGAGCCTGGGGGAACACGAGTAGAGTGAAGAATCAAGGGCAGAGGAAACTACCGGTAAAGTATTGGGAGTGATGGTATTCCGGATGAGGATGATTCTACTATTCTACAAATAACCAGAAAAAGGAGGGGCACGACCAGAACGGCGGGGAACAGCACGATGGCGTGATCGAAGGCTAAGGGACGATGGACTATTATTGATGCTCGTATCGGCCGACTCTACAAACTCATCATGTTGAGTGAGGAACACACTGTGGCAGACATCATCCTCTTCTGGAGGATGGTAGGAGTCCTGTGGGGGATGGTAATATATTATTCCTGCCTCGCTTAAAAAAATCCTCATGTTAGTAGTCACTGGGTGGTCGTCTTGGCTTGGGAGCATTCGCTCCACCCATATACATCTAGCCGTCTCCCTATTGATTCAGATTTCCCTGGGGGTACCTCGTATCCGGTACTAGCATCCTGCCAATTTACCATCGATGTCATCGCAATAAAGAATAATAGATTGCCGGGGCTCCGTCGTAATAGTGCAGCGGCAATCAGGGTTTAGCGGGCAGTCAAAGCTCAGCCACCTGCATCGCTCACTCGCCAAGGTGACTCGAATGACGCCGTTGCGACAAAAGTGGCTGTTGCCTGTTTTTTTCTTTATTGCTTGAGTATTTGATGGCCCATACACCCTCAACTCCCCAGCGATAATCAACACCGACTCTCACCACCCTCAGCATGGCATACTCCAATATCCACTGGGTCTACCCAGTGCGCCTCGTACAGGCCCTGTTCGCTCTCATCGTGATCGGCTTGACTGGATATGGTCTGTACTACCATCCCAGATCTCGATGGCCATACTAACACGCCCCAGTGGTCGGCTCGTGGTATAACTGGTGGACCTACTCCAGTGCCGTGGATTTCATGCTCTTCCTCGGCTGTTGGACGGCGTTTCTGGCCGTACCCTACCTTGCCTGCGCGCCGCTGTGGTTCCCGCGCCTCGCACACCGGTTCGTCATCCCCGCGGTCGAGGTGATCACGATGATCTTCTGGTTCGCGGGCTTCATTGCCATCGCTGCGCTGCTCCCACCGGCGCCAGCGTGCCACGGGAGTATCTGCAGCGCTCTTCAAGCGGCTACTGTGTTTGGGGCGTTGGAATGGTAAGCACCTAATTTTTTTGTGGAGTGGGCCTTGTAGCTGACAGTCATGAACTCAGGGCACTGTTTGTCGCGACCACCGTATTCGCGATCCTGGAGCTCATGCATTCCCGGAGTGGGACCAGTGTGAAGCCGGCCAACGCCCACGTCGGGGTTTAAAGCGTGGTGGCTGTTGAGGGCTGAGGCAGGACAGAGGAATCATCCATAATAATGTTTAGTCCAGATTGGTTTAGCCAGATCCATACCCCTTGGTTACCTAAGTTAATATCTATGTATTATTGTTATCACCGATCTCTTATCGATCATCCCATGAAACGGTGTGCCGCATTCGGTCACTCCTGACTATTCCGGCTGCAACGGCCCAGTGGCGGTGATTGACTCGCACAGGCCGATCGATCACGCCGCATCGGATGCAACCGACGGCAGGATCGAGCTAAGATTATGCAGGGAGTAGAGCACGATGCACAGGAGGATCGAGTCACATCGTTCAAGGAAGGCTTATGAGTAGTTATCTAATATTATTATATTACATTATTATCAGTATCTCGTCGGAACCAGACCCAAATTATCGGTCGCCACCGACGAGAGAAAAAGTTTTCGTCTTGTCGGCCCACACACTCCCGGGCCGGGCGAGAGTAACGAAGTAGACGAGCGTAGCTACATACCCCGGAGCAGGAATTGGATTTTCAAACTATTCTCCTCAATTGCACTCCTTCCCCTCATCCTCAGGGATTTCTTTTACCTAAGACTTTCGCTCCACCGGGCCGGGGCAGTCGGGCAAGTAGGGCTTGACGGTCTTGTTCGCGTCTCCACAATCAACGACGAAGCCTTCGGAGCCTGGCGAAAAGGTGGAGAAGGCCAGCCGTGACCTTTCGCTCCTTTTTTAACTCAGTTTCTCCTTCATCTCCCTCGGAAGGCATGGACGACGTGAGCAGCGCGCCCAAGGTCGAGAAGGCCAAGATGGACGAGCCCGTCACGCCCATGCAGGTGCACACTCCCGTCAATGACTATGAGGTCGACTACGAGAAGCATGGCGCGGATCGCGACTCGAATCCCTACCCGGATCTGAAGAGGAAGTTGAAGAGCAGGCATCTGCAGATGATTGCTATTGGTGAGTGGTGTCTTTCTCGGGCTGGAAAGGATTTTTTCCATACTGATAGAATTTTTGCGCAGGTGGCACAATCGGAACAGGCCTGTTCATCGGGAGCGGCACGGCCGTGGCCTACGGAGGGCCTATTGGAGCCCTCATCGCCTATATCTTTGTCGGAACCATCGTGTTTTCGGTCATGACGGCGCTGGGTGAGATCGCGACTTACATCCCGATCCCCGGCGGGTTCACCGCATACGCCACCCGTTTGGTCGATCCTAGCCTGGGTTTCTCCATGGGTTGGATCTATTGGTTTTCATGGGCATCGACATTTGCGTTGGAGTTGACGGCCACCGGTCTGATCATTCAGTACTGGGACGAGACGATCAATATTGCCATCTTCATCGCCGTCTTCTGGGTCGTCATAATCATCTTCAACCTGATGCCTGTCGGCTTCTATGGTGAAATGGAGTTTTGGTTTTCGAGCGTCAAGGTCTTGACGGTGATCGGCTTCATGATCTTTGCCATTTGTATGAATGCCGGTGTTGGTCAGGAGGGTTATCTCGGCTTCCGATACTGGGTGCATCCAGGCCCATTCGCGGCCCCAAGAAACTATTTGATCTCTGGCGATGTCCCACTGGCCAAGTTTGTTGGATTTTGGAATGTTCTGATTCAAGCCGGCTTCTCCTACCAGGGTACTGAGTTGGTCGGTATCGCCGCCGGAGAGACGGAGAACCCTCGGAAGACGGTGCCGTCGGCCATCCGCAAGACCTTCTTCCGGATCGTGTTCTTCTTCATCCTGACCATTTTCTTCATTGGCATCTTGGTGCCCTCTACAGACAAGGGCCTCGTGGCTAGTGAAGGCAGTGGTGCCAGCGCCAGCAACGCCAAGGCCTCGCCCTTTGTCATTGCGGTGGAGCGGGCCGGCGTCCACGCGCTCCCGAGTATCATCAACGCGGTCCTGTTGACGGTGGTGCTCTCGGCAGCCAACTCGAATGTCTACAGCGGCAGCCGTATCCTGGTCGGCTTGGCCCAAGAGGGATTCGCCCCCCGCTGGTTCAAGAAGACGACCAAGGGTGGTGTGCCTTACTTCAGTGTGCTCTTCACGGCGCTCTTCGGCTTGCTCGGGTTCCTGAATGTGTCGAGCGAGGGTAGCACCGTGTTCACCTGGCTGATGCAGATTTCGGGCGTGGCCGGCTTCATCACCTGGTCTTCGCTGAATGTCTGCCACCTCGCCTTCCAGCGAGCCCTGAAGGCGCGCGACATCTCCCGCGATCTGTTGCCATACAAGGCCGTCGGTCAGCCGTACCTGTCATGGTATGGGCTATTTTTCAATGTCTTGATCATCATCACTCAAGGATTTACTGCGTTTCTCGGACACTTCCAGGTGAAGGAGTTCTTCATCAACTACCTGAGCCTGATCCTGTGGGTGGTGCTGTACGTGGGCCACAAGGTGATTGCCCGGCCGGCGTTTGTCAAGCCCATTGAGGCTGACCTGGACACGGGCCGTACGGCATTTGAGAACGAGACGTGGGAGACGGCGGAGGCGACGACGTGGAAGGGGAAGGTGTTGGAGTGGCTGAACTAGGTTGACGTTGGTTGTTTTCTCTGCATGGCGTTTTGAAGGCGTGTATACATACAGACCCATCTCTTTGCATCTCTATACATACCTATGAAGTCTATTGATTGTGATCATCCTGTACACCCCAACGTAACTATTGAAAAGGGTAATCATCCCTACGCCCATACATACATACCCACACACGTGCTGCGGAGCATGTGAATCAGCCTATGACAGCATGTGGCGCCGAGCCTGAGTATGTCATGTACCGGTACCTGCCCCATTATGGGCCACACTATGGTTGGCCAGGTACTTCCGGTACCTGTCCCCGGGGCCGAGGTTCTTTTTTTCTGCAATGGCGCATTAACCCAACTCGTCCTGCTCTCCGGCGCTCCCTCGCTCGTCCGAACCATTCTTCTTACTCTCCTTCCCCCCATCACTCCCTTTCAGTCCTCGATCTGCCTGTTCAGTTCGGCCTTAATTTCGCTGGGAGGTCGTGCTCGACTTTTTTTTCTCTTATTATTTTTTGGCTTGTACTGAGTAAGTGTGAATCGTTCGCGACACTGCTGCCCCGTCTCTAACATCTTTCCTCTCCAGATAGACCATGTTCTTCTCGCAACCCCCTCACCTCGCCAAGGCGGAGGAGCTCAAGCAGGAGCCTCCCAAAGGCACTCCCTACTCTGTCGCCCTCCCCGGCTCCGAGAAGCCCGGCCGCAGCCGGGTGTACCGGGCATGGAACTCGCAGAAGGAGCTGCTGCAGACCTTGGATCCCCAGGTATGCCACCTACGACAAGCGGCGCATGGATATTTCTGACAATGGCAGGTCTTGACGGCGCATGACATGTTCGAGTCAACTGCCAATCGCCAACCCAAGAACCACTGCCTGGGATGGCGCCCATTCAACCCCACCACCAAGACTTTCGACCAGTACCAGTGGATCAACTACGAGACTGTGCAGAAGCGCCGTGCCGCCTTTGGCGCAGGTCTGGTTGAGCTGCACCACAAGCACAACTGCCATCGCTCGGGCCAGTATGGCATTGGTCTCTGGTGCCAGAACCGCCCAGAGTGGCAGATTACCGGTGAGTTTTAGAAGAACCATCAAGACCGATCGGAGGAGACTGACTGGATCTAGATCTGGCCTGTATGTCCCAGGGTCTCTATTCCGTCTCCATCTACGATGTCCTGGCCGCGGATGCCACCGAATACATTATCAACCATGCGGAGCTGAACTGTGTGGTCACTTCTTTGCCGCATATCCCGACGCTGCTCAAGCTCAAGTCTTCTCTGCCGAACCTTAAGATGATTGTCAGTCTGGACCCGCTGGATGCCGGCGAGCAAGATGGCCACTCGAAGCGGGCGCTGCTAGAGTCGATGGCGGCCGGTCAAGATCTGGTCATCTACACCATGGACCAGGTGGAGGAGCTAGGCCTCGCATCCAAGCGCGGGTACAGCCCTCCGTCGCCGTCGGACGTTGTCACCATCAACTATACTTCGGGCACAACAGGCCCCCCTAAGGGTGTAGTCTTGACACACGGAAGTGCCGTGGCTGCCACATCTGCTGGTCTGATGACTGTTGGCCAGGCCCGCGGTGACACCATGTGCTCGTACCTTCCGCTGGCCCACATCTACGCTCGTCTTGCTGAGCACACAGCTTTGTGGGGCGGCGCGCGCATCGGCTACTTTCACGGCAACATTGTGGAGCTGGTCGATGACCTGAAGCTCTTGAAGCCCACAGGGTTTATGTCCGTCCCACGCCTCTATAGTCGTTTTGGCACTGCTGTGCGTGCTGCAACAGTCGAGGCTCCAGGCTTCAAGGGTGCCATGTCTCGGCATATCGTCGCAGCCAAGACTGCCAACCTGAAGAACTCTGATCCCTCCAAGGCCACCGTGCATCACGCTCTTTACGATCGTATCTGGGCCAAGAAGGTGGCCGCTGCTCTGGGACTGGAACGCGCGAAATACATGGTGTCGGGCTCAGCGCCCCTGGACCCGACTCTGCACAACTTCCTGCGTGTGGCTACCGGTACCGATGTCCTCCAGGGCTACGGCCTGACCGAGACCTATGCCTGCGCCACGGCCCAGTCGGACCGGGACCTGACGGCTGGCAACTGCGGTCGCCTCGCTCCTTGCGTGGAGGCCTGTCTAGTGTCTCTGCCAGACATGGAGTACTATGTGGAAGACAAGCCGTACCCGCGCGGAGAGTTACTTCTGCGCGGCAACAATTTGTTCCGGGAATACTTCAAGAATCCGGAGGAGACATCCAAAGCGGTGACCGAGGACGGCTGGTTCCGCACTGGCGATGTTTGCACCATTGACGAGATGGGCCGCTTCACCATCATTGACCGCCGCAAGAACGTGCTCAAGCTTGCTCAAGGCGAGTACATTTCCCCCGAGCGGCTGGAGGGTGTCATCCTCTCGGAGCTGGGTTATATCGCCCAGGCCTATGTGCATGGTGACAGTGTGCAGAACTTCCTGGTCGGTATTTTCGGTGTTCAGCCGGACATGTTTGCCCCGTTCGCCAGCAAGGTCCTGGGCCGCTCCATCGCTGCCACCGACCTGGATGCCATCAAGACGGCTCTGGATGACGATAAGATCCGGCGGGCTGTGCTACGTGATCTTGAGAAGGTTGCCAAGAAGCACAAGCTGGCTGGCTACGAGCGTGTCCGGAACTGTGCGATCAAGGTTGAACCGTTTTCGGTTGAGAACAACCTGCTCACCCCGACGTAAGTCTTGAATACTGCCCCTTCATTCAATCTCATACTGACCAGTGCTTTTAGTCTCAAGCTCAAGCGTCCTCCCACGGCCAAGGCATTCCGTCCGCTCCTGGACCAGCTCTATGCCCAGGCTTTGGAGGAGGAGTCAGCACCCAAGGCCAAGCTGTAGAGGCATTTTCTTTTTGTTTCTCAATTACACACCATGTCTTGTACTTTCGGTCACCTTGTCGCTTGACTTGCTCCAAGCACTGTACATAAGAATACCTGGATTGGACCGTAAGTCCATCCATTCACGCACTGTAGTATATTCGGAGTCCGATATTATGTTTATCTCAGCCTCTTTCCGGTAATATATCATGAACGCTGCCATAGGAAGTCGGGCAAGAGCAAAGGCCAGTGTAGATTGTACGCACTGCGATCGATGGGGTTGGAGTCACTGAAGTAAAAGTGATGAGGATGCTCCCAAGGCCATTGAGAGAGAACGGTATTATGATAATATAGTAATAATATATAGTTATATACTGCCAGTCCTTATATACTGGATATCCCCCCCACTGACCGCTCTAATTGACAGGAGGAAAAAAAGAAAGTAACAATTCACAAGGGCAATCCTGACCTTCTAAATAAAGAGATAAAATGATCTTCTTACATAACCTGCAGGCATTTCACTCAGATTTGTCTCGACAATTCCCCATGGAGACTCGGCAGATACGCAGGTGTTGGCTTTAGTTGCGAATGCTGCGAGCCTTGCGGGCCTTGACCATCATATCGTACAGTACATCCTTAAAAGCAAAGAGGAACGCAGCAGTGATGGCACTCTGAGTGACCTTGGGGCCAATGCCTGCAAAACAACCGTTAGTAAAAAGAGCACTACCAATTAACTAGCAATCAACTTACCCTTGTAGAGGCCAGTATATCCCTCCTCCCGAATAATCCGCTTCAGGCTTCCATTCAAGCTCTCCTTGGGGCCATCCTTGCTGGCCACATGCATGCGGCTCTTGACAGTAATGTAGGGGTAGGTAATGCTGGTAGCCAAGATCTTACCCAGAGCACCCAGGTAGAACGCATCCTTGGGTGTCATCCGGCGCCGGCGCTCTACAATATTCTTCAATTGTTCGAAGATGGTGTATTGCAAAATTGGGTTGATCACCAGGATCAGTGCCGGGAGAACACCGGCGAAGAGCGACTTGGGGCCCTCTTTCTGCAGCAGATCCATGAGGGTGCTGAAGGTGGAGGGGCTTTGCTTCTTGGGAGCCCCAGGGAGACCTTGCTCGTCCTCGGACTTGTTGCGGGCTGTCATGCGAGTGTTGATGACCCAGATCGGGTTGGTGATCAGCACTGTGGCACTGCCGGCGATTGCACCTGCAATCATGGACTCGGAAGTTGACAGCTTCTTGGAAGCGCGCCCGGCCTTGATAGCAGCCTTCTCGAAGGTGGACCGAGTCCACTCATACCAGTAATAGTACACAAAGTTGGTGACACTGATTCCGAACAGCGCTGACTCCAGGCCGGCATAGAGGCCCGAGATTCCCTCCCGCTGAACGATGCGCCGCACGGCATCGAGGGTGGTCGAGTGCGCACGCTTGGACTCGACTTGGGCTCGGGTCGACAGGGTGATCAAGGGATATCTACAGGAAGACTTTCAGTTAGCATTATGAGCAGGCGAGGAAAGACTCCGGATGTGCACACGTCATGACCATGGACAAAATGCCACCTCCCGCGCCGGCCAGCGCGTGGGCGATGTTGTCGCTCTGCTGGACGGCGGTGGAAACCGCCGCCTTCTTTTGCTGCTCGGTGGATTGGGACATTGTGAGACCGTGGTTGAGAAAGAGTGGCGAGTCAAGAGACACGAAAGACGGGGGAGAAAGAAAAAAGAAAGAACCCCGGGGGAAAAGCGCGATGAATAAGAGGGCGATAATGATTCGGCTTGGGGGGATTTACATGACGTTTTGCCGAACGCTGGGCCTCGGCAGAAGGAGGTAGAGGGAGGTATTGGTATTACCGCGCCGTCATTTTGACAGTGGAGTATACCAGGTACACATGCCGATTATTCTGTGTCAACGCGAGAGAGGGAGGAAGAGAGCGAGATATAACTAGTTATATTTCTGGTTATCCTGATCGTGGATAATCTCTACTAGTCGTCTAGCTCCAAACTGGGCATATCCATCCTCGACTCCAGCATGGCATGTGACGATCTACTACAACATACCTAATGTCACTACCGTATCGGTATTGCCTACACATGCTGGCAATCTTTATTAAACCTCATCCATTCCGAGGAATCTCAAAACCTACAAACAGAGGGAATGCGGCCAAGGACAAATAAGAAGAAGGAAAAAAAATAGGCAGTAATCACATAGGAAGACAAAACGCAGAACGAAGTCAGAAAACGCAGGCCGTCTAAGGAAGAAAGAAAGGGACCCCAACGGGCGCTCTCACGGCGGGCTATCATCCTCTTCTCCTCCTCGGCTGAATCGAAGCCAACCGACGAGATCCTACGCCGCTTTCGAAACCCTCCATCAAGTGCGCCAAAATGAAAGCTCAGCTCCCAGCGTCTCAATCAGCAGCAACCGCCGGCCGAGCCGGACTGGACGCCCTGACCCTGACCAACCTGCACAGTCGGCTTGTTGTTCGCCGTGGCCGTGCCCATGCGCTCCTTGATCTGCCGTGCCATTGTCAAGAACGCCTGTTCCACGTTCGATGCGTTCTTGGCGGATGTCTCCAGGAAGGGAATTCCAAGGCTGTCGGCGAATTCCTAGAAACCAATGAGCGACCACTTCCTGCGACGAGGCGGATGGGGAGAAATACCTTGGCCACTGTGTATTCCACGACCTTCTTGTCCTCCATATCGCTCTTGTTGCCAACGAGGAGCTTGTTGACACCCTCCGTAGCGTAGCGGTCAATCTCCTGAAGCCACTGCTTGACATTGTTGAAAGAGTCCATGTCGGTCACGTCGTACACCACGCAGATGCCGTGGGCGCCCCGGTAGTACGAGGATGTGATGGTCCGGAACCGTTCCTGACCAGCAGTGTCCCACTATATGTGTTGTTAGCCTTGCTGGTCCCCATCCGGCCGAATACGAAGGGCCAAATCATACAATCTGAAGCTTCACCGTCTTGCCGTCAAGTTCGATGGTCCGGATTTTCTGCGTTGCCGAGCACTGTCAGCCAAGCGATTCCGCAAAAAGAGCATGGAAGGCGGGGTTCCAAAACACATACGAAGTCCACACCGATCGTGGAAATATAACTTTCGGTGTAGGTGTCATCAGCAAAACGCAGCAACAGGCAAGACTTTCCGACACCGGAGTCACCGATGAGGAGAAGCTTGAACAGGTAGTCGTATCTATCGCGATGGTTAGAAAGTGCAGACGGGCGGAGTGGCACGGTGCGAATTCGAGGGGGCCGTTGAGGAAACTAGGCAGCGACACGGGAGTACTCTGGACATTCGGATATTGTCAGTCAAATAGACCACTGGCAAGAGGAGGTCATATTGGGGGAGGCGGGGCTCTTGAAGGAGAGCATGTCGTCGGGGGGAGGTCGTAGTGCTCAGGTGTGGGTGGAAGGCTTACCACTCGGGGTTCATGATGAAGCGAGGAAGAGTGCGACCAGTGGGAAAAGGAATACCGAGGGACAGGAAGAACAAACTGGCCCGGACGAAGGAGATCAAACAGGTGTAGTAGTGGTCTTGGGGCCAAGTCGATGATGATGAGGATGATGATGGAATGAATGAAGAGGGCCTGAAATGATATGATAGGAGGTCGAGGAAGCCATAGGCACCTGATGCGCAACTCCACCTGATCTTCATCGTCTGATCTAATTATACTGCGAGGATTTGGATTATCGCACACCTCCGTAGATACACGTAGTATGGTCGCAAATTGGTAGAGACACTATAATTATTAAAATATATTCTACACTATTTTCACGTGTGTTGGTAGAGATAAGAAAATGGACGTTAGTTTTGTAGGACTAAAGAAAATAATCTTAGGCTCGGAAGCTACATCATGTAGGGTATATATAGTGAAATGAGAACTTAATACGATCGGAGGTATGTCAGCAGGTAGAACCGCTACGAAGACAGAGACTATACTACATGTATTTAGGTGTGCGATTATCCAAACCCGACATCTACTTTCAAGACTACTACCGTAGGAGGTAGCGGCAACCCCAGAGTAACCACAAGGTCCCCGACCAACATGGAAGAAAGAAATAGATCCATTATTCATAAACGAATCCCTTACGCATAACGATGCGCCTGCAGCCACTCCACCACCTTCGCCGCATCCCGCTCCTGGTAGCACGCGTTGGTCCGGATGCTATCCGAAACAATCACCAGCGCCCGCTGATATGCGCTCGTGTCCTTGTTCTGGAAGAACGACGCAATGTCCTCGCCGGTCGCGTGATCGGCGAACTTGGTGAGCCCCATTCGCACAAAGCGCTCAATCACCACGTTGCTGGCCGACAGTCGCGTCGACACGGCATCCCAATGTTCCTTCATATACTTCCACAACAGGTGGCGCATCTTGGAGTTCGCCGCCAGAGACACGGCACCGCTGTGGATGTCCTGGATAGCCACCTTGTCAGAAAAGACAAAGTCCAGGTAGTCCTGTACCAGGGCCGGCTCCTTCGTGCGGCCGAGCGCGCTCAGGCAAATCTCCTTGCCATCCACCGAATCCGTCCGGAGGTATTCTTCCTTGACGGCCTCGTATTCCTTCCGACCGCCTTCTGATACATTGAGGCTGAAGATGACCGACCGCAAGTTGGTGTGCACCGCATTTTGGTCTTTGCCCGTGGCCCACAGGTCGAAGCGTCGCTTGGCTTCCGCAATGATCCTATAGATAATCGTCAGAAATGCGGTGGTTGCCATCTTTTACACCAACATGGACTCACCCTTCATGACCAGCATTACCAGCCATCCCAATCAGAAGCTTCCGCAGTTGCACAGTGAGGTAGTCTTCGTTGGGTGCAAATTCCCAGCCAATCTTCTCCGCCGCCGGGGAGACCAGATTCAACGTAAATTTTTTCAGGCCCTCGGCGGCCTGTTCGTTCTGTGAGAAGACAGAGCGGAGGTTGGCCAGCGATGATGAGACCTGAGACCAAACACTGCAGATCAAAGATTTAGAGACTATGGAAATGGCCACGGAGCGCAGGAACATCTTACAGGTAATCTGTCTCTCCCTTGAAACCCTCCAGAAGAGCCAGCAAGGCCGGCGTAGTACCTTCTCCAGAAACCGCAAGAGCGGCAGCATCGCCCAGCAAGCCAATCTTGTCTTCGGTGCTCAGAAGATCAAGAGACTGGCCGAGCTTCGCCAGACGTGCCGGGGGGTAGTTGGTCCGGTAGAACCCAGCCAGGTCCTTGTTGACCTTGTAGAACGCATCCTCGCCAACGCCTCCAATGGTACCAGACTTGTCTGTGAGAGCGCGTGTGTCAATACTGGCCAGCTGGGGACCAGACTTGAGGCCGAGAGGGATCCACCAAGTAGTCTGATCCTCCTCAGCTTTCGCGTCCCCGGTGGACAAGAATCGATTCTGGCGAACGCTGATTTGACCAGGCTCCTCGGCTATCGTGACAACAGGGAATCCGATTTTCCGAATCCAGGGATCCTGGAGAAGAGGTCAGAGAGACTGGTAGTCGAATCAAATTTGCGCTTAGCTCACCATGAAGGTAGGCACATCCTGGCCAGAAGCTTCGCTCAAAGCGGACCACAGATCTTTTGTAGTCGCATTTCCTAACAGACAATCAGCAAGCTTGGATTTCCGATACACAGATGAATAATCCCACCATAGGCGTGGGCCTTGAGATAGTTTGCCACGCCGCGGAGGAAAGTCTCGCGGCCGAGATGAACACTCAACATGCGGATCACAGAGCTTCCCTTGAGGTAGCTGATGTGGTCGAAGATTTGATCCACTTCAAGAGCATTTCGGACCGGGACCTCAATAGGGTGCGAAGCGCGCAGTGAGTCGAGATGGAATGCTTGTTGAACACCTTCAGCCTGGAACAATGTCAATCGCGGATTCATTAAAATCTTGGATACCTCGGGAATTGCGTACAACAAATTGAGACCAAACGTTCCATTCTGCGCATGTATGTCAGGATTTGCCACAACTACTATTCTCGACACCGGAGAGGTCGACTCACCAGGATAGAAATGATCGACCGCCAGCCAGCCGACCCAGGTTGCGAAACCCTCGTTGAGCCAGAGCTCATTCCACCAATCCATCGTCACAAGGTTGCCAAACCACTGGTGGGCCAGTTCTACAATGCGATATGTCAGATCCAATCCGGTCATCGTGGCGGGAAGAGGGCTCACCGTGTGCAACAACATAAGCAATGCGGTTCTTATATCGGTTATCCGACTTTCCTTCGTCGAAGAGGACGGCAGTGGTCCGATAGGTCACAAGCCCCCAGTTCTCCATGGCACCCATTGCAAATTCGTGGACCGCCAGGAGATCCGCCTTGGGTAGTGGGTACTCGATCTCGAAGACCTCCGAAAAGTAGTCGACCGTCCGATGAGCACACTCCAGCGCAAACCGAGCCTGCTCCTTGAGACCCCGCGTGGTGTAGACGCGAACCGGGATGCTCTTGCCCTGATACTTGCGCTCGGTCATCGCCTCAACATATTCAAAATCGCCAACTGCCCATGCCAGGAGCTGCAAGAGCGAACAACGGGTTAGTCAAGCGCACGTCCATCTACGGATATGTTTGGGATACTGACGTAAGTGCTCATCACGGGCGTCTTCTCAAAAGTGACGACTTTAAGCCCCGAGTGGCTGCCGTCTCTTTCCGATTTGATCGGCATGTTGCTGAGCGCAGTCTGCTGCTTGGGCACCTCGATCTCGAAATCGAATGCTGCTTTCAAGTTCGGCTCATCGAAGCAGGGGAAAGCCCTCCGCGCATCGCAGGACTCGAATTGGGTGCTCAACATGTAGAAAAACTCACCCTCCTTGGGAGTGTCGGCGGCCGGCTCTCCTACGGGCTTATACTTGGAGCGGTAGAAACCAGCCATGGCATCGTTCATGACTCCGGTGAAATTGATAGACAGTACGACATCCTGGGGAGCGATTTCCTGCGGGAACTTGAACGTGACCCGTTCCGATTTCTTGTCGTAGGAGATATCGGATGCCTTGGCCAGCTGGGCACCTGTGGAGATACAGAGCCGCACCGTCAGCTTGTCTGATCACATTCACGGTGCAATGGACACCCACCATCCTTGCCCAGAACTTCCGCATGCTGTACCTCCAATTCTTTCGCGTTCAGGACAATCTCGTTTGTGGGGCGGGCAACCTTTGCATCGACCTTGACCAGGCCCTTGTATCCCCACGAACCACCGAGCTGCAGGTCGAAGAGCGAGACATGGTAATTGACGGGTTTGGCCCTGATCGTTGCAGTCAGCTCCGGATACACACGTAGACACACATGGATGGCGGGTACATCACTCACACGTCAGGCAGAGTCTCTCTGTCAGAGGTCATGATGCGAGCTTCAGCGGAGCAATATCTGATGGGGGGTCTGAACTGAACTTGGGAAGCGACCGAGATGGGACGGGGGAGAAGTCGACGGGAGTGGCTGGAAGAGAAGGAGGAGGGAAGAAGATGAAGCGCGCGAGAAGAACAGAAGGAGGAGGGGGGAGGGGCCAGGGCGGCCTGGACGGGCAACCGTTGCAATGCGGCGGACACTACTGGTCCCCCACATCGGCTATCGTCGGTGGAGTGGTAGCTGTAGTACGTCGTGTGGGTGAGAGTGTGAAACAATTTAGGGGGAGTTACCTATTAATTAGTTCGGTAGGTGTCGTGAGTTCTGCGTGGGAGCTTGGGCCAGGTACATACAGCGCAAACCGAGCCTGATTAACGGAGTGCGGCTGCCGATCCTAGGACCGACCGTTGGACACACTCACTCCCACCACACCATGGCTGACTCCGACGAGGAATACGTGGGCGAGGTCACAGACGACGAGGACGACTTCCAGGTCTCGCAGACTGGCCCCGAGCGCCGCTCCAAGAGGCGCAAGCAGCGAGGCGGCGCCGAGTGGGAGCTGTCCCGGACCTGGGAGACTCTGGTCGAGGGCGCCGATGGCACTATCAGCTCCACGGTCGAGGGCCTGCTCGAGGCCGGAAAGCGCAAACGGTGTGTCTCTCTTTCTCTACCTATCAATCCAACCAACCCTAATTGCGCAGATTGCTGAAAGACACAACACCGCTGCAACGCGGCATCATTCGACACCTGATCCTGACCCTGGATCTCTCGCAGTCCATGTCCGAAAAGGATCTCCGGCCGACCCGATACCTGTTGACCCTGCGATATGCCCAGGAGTTCGTGCGCGAGTTCTTCGAGCAAAATCCCATCTCTCAACTCGGCGTGCTGGGCCTGCGAGACGGTCTCGCCATTCGAATCAGCGACATGAGTGGCAATCCCACGGAGCACCTGACGGCAATCCAGGCGCTGAAGCCCCAGGACCCAAAAGGCCTCCCGAGTCTACAGAATGGCCTCGAGATGGCCCGAGGTGCCCTTTTGTCCGTTGCCCTTTGCCCGCTCCTGCTCCCCATCCATGCTGACCGGTTGTCCATAGTCATACCCCAAGCCACGGAACCCGAGAAGTGCTGATCCTATTCGGGTCTCTCCTGTCCTCTGATCCGGGCGATATTCACCAAACCATCAATACCCTGATCAGCGACCAGATCCGGGTCCGGATCGTCGGTCTGGCCGCGCAGGTGGCCATCTGCCGTGAACTGTGCACGAGAACCAATGGGGGGGACGAAACAGCATACGGGGTGGCACTCAATGAGCAGCATTTCCGAGAGTTGATGATGGACGTTACAACCCCTCCAGCAACAGATTCCCAGAAACAGTCGGCAAGCTCACTCCTCATGATGGGGTTTCCATCTCGGACCATGGATTCTGCCCCTTCGCTCTGCGCGTGCCATTCGAACCCATCCCGCGGGGGATATAAATGCTCCCGTTGCCACAGCAAAGTGTGCAGTTTGCCTGCCGAGTGTCCGGCCTGTGGCCTGACCCTGATTCTGTCGACTCACCTTGCGCGATCCTATCATCATCTCTTCCCTCTGATCAACTGGGTGGAGGTACCATGGCGCAGGGCTTCAAAAAGTGCCGCATGCTTTGCCTGTGGTATCCCCTTTCCCCCGTACCCCCAGAGAACCAGTGGTCGGTGGCAGAGGGGCATACAAAAGGGATGAGCGTGAGTAGCCGCTATGAATGTACCGCATGCAAGAATCATTTCTGCATTGACTGCGATCTCTTTGCTCACGAGGTTGTACATAATTGCCCCGGTTGCCAGAGCAAGAGTACGCGGCCAACGGAGGCCTCGTCCGACATGGCGCCAGTGGTTGATGGTATGGACACTACGGTGTAGAGCAGCCGACTGGTAGTGCCACTCGATCATCAATGTGATCAACGAACCCCCTCGAATGCCGACGAGACTTTTCATCGGAGAACTACATTTCGGTCCGGCGAGCAAGAAGAACGCCCACAGATCTCAGAGGCACGAATCCCTCGAGATGCCAGGGATTGCTCGGACATCTACAACGAACCTGGTTGCCACGACGTGTGCCAGCATGCCCGCATTCGATATTACTGGCCGCCGGTCAGCATTTAGCTGCTGGGCTTAGTTCAGTGGGCAAGTTTAAGGACCGATCTCCGGGCAAAGCTGTCGGTCTTACTCTAGATGCTCGTCAATTAGTATGTCAATCCGATATACACTAGGTGCAGAATAGAATGGAAATCGAGAATCAAGCCCGCTGTGCAGTAAGCGCGATCTATAACTACTTCCTTCGCAACCTCGGCTCCCGCGACTGCCCCACACCCTCCGCATCATTCCTTCTTTCCCCCCGACACAATCATTAATCCCACACCATGGCACAGCCTGTAGAAGCCCAGGAGAGCCCGCTGGACCGACTACGGTCGTATCCCTTCCACACCGATCCCGAGTTCGCCAATGGCCTCTCCACCATCCTCGGTCACCCCGACACACCCGCCACCGAAGCCGAGATCAACCGCGACGACGACCTCGTCTTGCAAGCTAAATGCTTCTTCTTCTCGCGGTATGCCTGCCAGCCAGAGCTGCTCTATATTTCGAAGCCCCGTACTGATGCCCGCCGGATCGCAGAAAAGAGAGTCTCAATCCACCCATTGACTTCGCCGCGTATAAGTCCTGGCTGGCCTCACAGTCGACAGAAGCACCCCGGGATTCCGAAATGGTTTCGGAATCATCACAAACACCGACGACATCCTCCTCATCAGGGCCTGTTCAATCTGACCCGCAGGCCCCTACAAACCCAGAACCCGCCTATCCATCTTCGTTCGCTCATATCGTGGACCTGATCACGACCGGGCAACCGATTCCCGGGATCCAAGAGATCCCGGACACAGTTTTGGAAGGGCATGATTTATCGAGTGCAAAGCCTCGCAGACGAAAACCGTGGGAAAGGGAGGAAACGGTCGACACCGCGGAAGACCCTACAAATGCCGCCTCCTAAGCGTCGATAGTTCAAGGGAAAAGAACACTGCGGTCATATCAACAGCGCGTAGAGGGGTTTAAATAATAAAAATGCCATTGCACGTTTGTAATTGACATAAAAATTCGGCAGTGAAGCTGCATGGTTGGGTAATAGAATAGAGCGCCGCCGTACAACGCCAGAACAGGTATAAAGAGACGCGAATAACGAATGCTCGTAGCCCACGGAACACGAACAAATGAGCTGGGAATAGCCAACTGTGGGAGAGCAGCCCGAAATGGAATCAACTGGCGAGCGGCACTAGCCGTCAAAGTTGTATAGCAGAGATAACCGTAAGACTGATCGAGAACTGAGACACCATATTTCGATTGTCACACACTCGGCTTCACTCGCCGCCTGCATTTGGAGAGAAAGATGACTGACAACATCTATAATCCATAGCAAAAAAGCTTCTTTTTGGGGGTTTTTTTTGGTTTGGCAGATCCAAAGGAACTGCGTCAGCGAACAAGTCAACGAAAAGGCGTATAAGTGGGGCCCCATGGTCCTCCACGACCAAAGCGCCCGCTTGGTTGGCTTGTGTTGGAAAGCCTGTCCTCGGTAAACTGGTTGAAACGGCCGATTTGCATGCCAGCACCAGGGCCGGGGCGGGTGGCATGAGATGGATTGCAACAGAGCATCGCGACACGAGAGCCGAATTTGGAGCCACGGAGCGAGACCATGTGTTTCCTATAGATGCCGGTATTTAGCCACGAAAATTCGGGGTTGAAAGCGGATTGAAGAGATTACGTACCGAATATGGCTGGCGACAAGCTCCCGCTGGTGAGCCGCGGCATTCATCAAGATCCATTGGATCAGATAGTTGCCATACTGGTCACCCGCAACTGAAAGCCAAGCGGAATCAGTAGGGATGCAGTACCAAGCAATGGTGAGGCTACTCACTATCAGTCAACGGCATCCGGGGTCGGTCAGCGCGGCCAGTGCAGACTCGAGAAAGATAGAGCTCCAGGAACTCAGATCCTCCGATCTTCAGACATTTCTCTACTATCTTGGAGGCGAACTGATCCATACTGTAGTCCACGGCCCAATGGAGAACATGTTCGATGGCACGGCTCTTGTCATGAGGAGCCCCATGTTCGCAGATGTGTTGGATACACCAGTTACCAAACTGGCCCCGTGCGAGCACATCGATCTTGCCCAGCACTTCTTCAATCGCCGGTCGCTATCAATTTATTAGCATACCACTTGATCCAAGCGAGTATAAGCAGAGCCCCAAAAAATGGGGTTGTAATACAGAGGGAAGCACCAACCTTCTCATCCTCTACACAATTCTCGAAGATGTTCTGAACAACCAAGCTTCCCGTCTCCCCCAAAGCCACCTCATGCCACATTCCACGCAGAGCTTCGTTGACTTTGGCCATGACATGAGGGGGGCTCGCCGCTCCAGCGGAGTTCGAAGAGTTTCTGCCAAACATGACAAGCGTATCGATGAATAACCGTCTCTGGGATGCGGCGCAAGAGCTCATGGACCATAACTGCCTTGTGTTCCTCGGAGACGCAGTCGAAGGCCTTTTGGATCACATGACAGCCGAAAGGATCCATGCTCAGGTTGAGCGTGTTTCCTCGAATTGCGTTCGCAATGGCAACGACTTGTTCCGGGGTCCCATGCTCAAAGCAGCGCTGGATCAGAAAGTTGCCAAATCGATTCACCATGAGTGGATACGCCTGGTTCACGATGGCCTCGATGATGTCGTACTTCAGCTCCGTGGTGCCGACCTTGAGCTTTTGCTGCAAAAAGATAGAAGCTTGTTGATCGTTATTGCAGACAATCTTGTCCACAATGTACTTCCAGTCGCAAGAAACGTTTTTGTCGAGAAGACGTCGGTAGTTGAGTGGCTCGAGCGGAGACATATACGTCTGAATGGAGTCCCCGCAGGTCTATTTACATTAGAAGCGAAAAACGGAAAAGATCACAAGCAACGACACTCACTCTTGAAGTTGCCCAGGAGGTAGCATTTGAGCTGGCTGACGTGAATTCAGTGGCCGTGGGTGACAGAGGAGTCCCAACCGACGGCGTTTGATAAGGGATCGGGTAGACCCCCAGTTGCTGGTAAGCACTCGAAGGTCTTTTCACAGGCGATTGAGGAAATTGATCACCGACAGATCCGTTAGGAACCCCACTCCAAAAAGTGGTAGTGGCTGGAAACGAAGGCGAGCCGCCGGTTCCTTGGGTGATGACTCGACGAGGGCCGAGATTTGGAGCTGGAAGAGACCAAATATGCTCACCAGGGGGCGGGACTGGAATCCATACGAAGGGCCCGAAAACACTCTGTGGGACGGAAGAGCACCACGACTTGCAAATGTCGAGCTGCCCCAGAATCGGGTTGGGTCCTGGCCCAGGGAATTGCTTGATCCCGGAAGAGCCTCGTATGTATTATCAAAAGCTGTTCCATTTGTGCCCACCCCAAGTGACTGCTGCCCATGTTGAGACCACAGCCCGCGAGTCCGATTGTAGGCCCCTGCCGACAGGGCGTCCGAGATATCAGACTGGGAATCATCTTGTGCATGCCACGGGTCCTGGACCTGAGTGAACGTGGTGGGATTTGAGGCATTGAATGCATTCTGCAAATGGCTGGTGGTCTGTTCGGTAATCTCATGACCGCCACCAAAATCGACTTCGGAGGGTGGCCCGAGGGCTTGATCCAGGGTATGCTTAATCACGCGGGTTTGAGCCAGCTCTTGCTCCTGACAGGCTATTTTAGAATTTGCGGCAAGCAGCTCTTGTTTGAGACGAAGCAGTTCCGAGGTATCCGCAATGTCTTGAGGCGGCAACAAATCGGGAGTTGAAGTGTTTTGGGAACTGGGAGAAGTGCTGGCAAGAGCCTCCTTTGGAGAGAGTTTGGCCAGTATCCTCTCCAGTCCCGAAGGCGGTCCAGCTAAGGAGTCGGCATTCATGTGCTCCAACTTCTGCTTCTAGGCTTGTCAGAGCCACTTTTAAATTGGCAGTGCGAGAACCAACCTTGCTTCTGGGGACTTCACTATCCTTGTCCAGACGACCAAGCTTGGACAACCCGGAGAGAGTGGACATCTTAGCACGCAGTAACTCGAAACGAGAACAAGCGGAGATGCAAAGGAGAAGATGAGGAGGAAGACGAGGGAGAGGATGGGACAGGCAGAGAGAGAGAGAGAGAGAGAGAGAGAGAGAGAGAGGGAGGGAGGGAGGAAGGTGAGAGGAACAAAAAGAGGAAGGCAGAGAGAGGAAGAGAAGGTGCGATGATTACCTATCTACCTACCTACCTAGGGAGGTGCTTGAGAAAGAACTGCGCGACACCTGCCACGACCAGTCCAGATGACCGGCAGCTAACACTCCCGCCGCACCTCGCCAGCGACCCTCGTCCCCCAGCACCGCATAGTCCGGCTGCCCCCCGCCCGTCACCGTCGGCACCAGGCGAGCGGCCTGTCGCAAACCGGCCACGTCGGCACCCCAGACAACGAGCTCCACACGCTCGTCCGCCAACGGCCGCAGAAACACGGCCCCCAGCCCCGGCTCGTATGCATACCCCTGTGGCGGCGATTGGGGCGAACTAACTAACAAGCGACCTTGGTCCGGATGGATTGGGTATGTGTCGAGCTGGGACGGAGGAAGATCGTTCCCCATGGCCAGGGTGATGGCATTCCCTGGACCATCCGGGAAGCATCCGCGAACGATGTCTGCATCCGCAGAAAAATATTGAACCAGGTTGCGGCTAATCTGGATTGCAACGTCCTGGACGCCAGCCGAGCACAGGTTGATCTGAACCCTACCGTCAGAGCGTAACATGGCATCAATTCCTCCCAGTTGGCGACCATACCGCCCAGAGATCAACCGCCAACTGGGATCATGGGAAGCAGTCCACTCCCCCAGGTTGTCCTGCAGGTACCAAGTCTGTCCAAGTTGGTCATGATCGACAACAAAATGGGTATCACCCAGAATAACGACATCCGGAACCTCGATCTGACGAGCAACGTCCGCCAGGTGGAATCGGCGGATGTTGCGACAACGCACATCCCACGTCCGACTCTCCGGATGGCGAGTGATGGCCATTTCACCATTCTGATCCGGCGACTGCAGTTGGTCTACCTGGATCCCGGCTTTGGATCCGATGACACCAGTGGCCGGGATCGCGATGGTGAAGTTGTCGGGTATTTCCGTCGAAGTTCGCGGGCTGGTGGCCATGTCGTGGTAAAACTGTTGGAGGAACGGGGTTGTCAACACACCGGGAAACCAGTGACCAGCTCCGAGAAGCTCGTTGTACTTTGATGGCCAGGAGATCTGGTCAAGCAGCTCGTGAATCAGACGCGAGTGATATGCAGGCACGTTATCATCATCAGAGCCATGTTGCTGCACCACTGGAATCCCCGCCAAGTTCTCCAACAGCAACTCGTGCTTGTAGGAAGCCCGAGAGCGGAGCAGCACGGACAAGAGTGACGGCTCAAGATTTTGCCACATGCTATAGGGGACATAGTCTATGAAACTTCAGTGCCAATGCAAACCTCTGGACGAGAGGATGGACAAACTCTCAATGGAAGTGTAGCCTGACACGGGAGCTACAGCAGCGACTTGATCGGGGTAATGTGTAGCGTAATACCACGCTCCTTGGCCTATTGCGCATCAGTGACATGGGCTTCGACGGTTGACATTGCCTTCATACCGCCGTTGGAATGACCGATCAGGATCAAATCATGCAAGGAAGCACTCGGGCCCTTCCATCCAACATTGGCCATCCACTCCGGGATGGCAGAGAGTGCAGCCTGCGCATCAGCGTTGCCCCAGTGATCTGGGATTTTACTTCAGTCGCTGATTCCGCTAAAGGGGGAGGGGGGACGTACGCCAGTCATCGCCACTCCATGAGGTGACACCACTCGGAAACAACATCCAGGCACATACTCCATATGCTCCGTCCAACATGGCGCGAGCCTCCGCGCTGTCTACATCCAGTCCCGCACCATGGAGAACAAGCATCACTGGCAAAGCAGCGGGACCATGCAAAATGTTACAAGAGGTCGGAGGTCGTAAGATGGCATACGAGACACCACCCGACGGGTGACGATAAGTGAATCGTTGGGCTTCGGACAGATGTCTCTCCCTGAGACTGATATCAAATGGCAGAATCATGGTCGGTCCGTCCTTTTGTCCAGCAAGCCGGTACTCAATGTGTACCGTAAGACGATTTGTATCTGATTCGGTCAGGGAGATGCTGAACACCAATGGCCGAGTCTGATAGCCCGCCATTTCCAGAGCCCTTTCAAGTGATAGGCGATGCTGGGTCTACAGAAACCAAATGGTCAATGAACATGCCAAAATCATCGAAGGGAAAAAATTGACCTTGGGAGCACTAATGGACAGGATTTCGACCGGAGCAGCTATGTTGTTTTGCAAATGAACCGAGGCCCATATACCTCCCAATTTGCTGTCAGTCAGCTCAGACACCACCAGGCTGCGTTGGTCCACAGTGACGGGCTCTCCTCGCAGCTCAGCTTCGATAAGTACGTCCATGCTACTATCCAACCCTCCCTGGGCCCGGACGTCGCGGGTCAACCGCAGATCTACTACATGGGGCCCCGGAGACAGCTTTATCAGGCTGGGAGCTCTGCGGTAGTGATAGATATCTCCTCCAAAGTGCTGTTCGCCATCGATCCAAAACTCTAAGAGGCCACAAGCCCAGAGGGCAACCGTCTGGTCCTCGACGCCTTGGATATCCAGGGTCCCGCGCGCCCATGCTTGATATTGGAGGGCTGACCAACCATAGACGGATTGCAAGAACCCCCAATTGACCTCGGGAAAGCTCAATGTAAGGACAGCCTTGGTCCGACTGGCTGAGGAATCGGGGTCAGCTTGAATAGCCGCCCATTTCACGGTCCCATTCGTGGCGAGGGCGCTGTTGAATGTGGCCTCGGGATCATATTGCCGACTGCGAAAGCCGCCTTCCTGTTCCAACGGGTCTGCGCCCCAGATGGCCTCTAGACAGGTGTCAATTCACACGTTTATTTGGTTTTCTCTTTCCTCTCTTGGCCTACGATAGATTCACGACCCACTAACCTCGCGTCCCAAGCCGGAAGGGCCCCAGGATCTGCCACTGGGAGGAGAATGTGATTCCTGGTGCCTGCAGGCCGAGTGGAATTTGCGGATCAGGTCCCCGAAAGCTGGCCGAGACCAGCGACAGCCCGGAGAGCCACACGAAACGCAGCATGTTGGTGGGAGTCTCCGGATCGGGCAGCGCCTGCAAGCGGAGGGCCCGGTCACGTGATATATCCAACTGGAGGCGCCTTTGTGATGGTAATAATTTGATAATAATAGGCGGAGGAATAGTCGGAGTGGGAGTAGTAGTAGTAATAGTAACGGTAGTACCCATACGATCCTCCCAAATGCATGAACGATGGATAGTCCTACCTAGTATCCGGGGTCCCTGATAGTCGCTGCGCGGTCTCCTCCGATGCACGGGATCCCGTCCACTACCTTGGATGCGGGTCGAGGATTATTGTTTCCAGACCAACCCACTACTACTCTGCTTCTGTCCAGGCCAATTTCCTGGATCCCCTTCACGAACCGAACTCAATCAGTGCATGGCCTGCCACTCTATCTTCCCTTATCTTCTCGGCGGCTCTGCCACGCTTTCTTTCGTTCTGGACGCTCATTCGCCCCCGGGGATTCGTCATCTCGATCACACCCTTTTTCGGTCCTCAACTCAACAACCCACGTCCCTCTGGTGAAACAGTCTGCGCCGACCCAAGGTGGAGCATCCCATTTCTCTGCTGCCTGCTCTTCACTCGCTTGCAAAAGTCGACCTGTACCCGGACGCCCTTCTTGCCTCTCTGTCTTTTTTGGGGGAGAGGAAACTCACCTGCCAAAAGTCCGCCTGGCTTGTGGAAGATGGCCACAACAACAGTGACCGGCCACGGACGACGCGCGTCCATGCGACAACCGGAATTGCAAGTGCCCACCAAGACTCCCACCTCCCAATCCACCAGCAGCCCAGTCGACAAGTTCCCCCCATACGATGAGTCCTTGGATGCTGTTCCGGGGTCAAGTCCCGCAGTGAAATACTCGCAGGATATCTGGGAACCACGGAGGACAGGCTCCTACGCGCGGGTTCCCACCAACGGCGCCGTGAGGAATCCCAAACACCGATCCAGGAAAAGTATCAGCGAGGCCATCACAACTATCCGCACCCGCAACGGCAGCGTCAGTCAGAATGCGCAGGAGCTGGCTTCGGCGCTCCGAGCACCATTATCTTATCGATTGATTGTATGTCCCCCAAGCTCATCACCATCCGATTGGCTAACGTTGTTTGAACACTAGACACTCTGTCTGATTTGGTATCTGACGTCGGCGTTGACCAATACATCCTCGAAATCGATCCTGAATGCGCTTCCCATGCCCATCACATTGACAATTGTGCAATTTGCATTTGTCTCCATCTGGTGTCTGCTGCTAGTCTACCTCTCGACGGTCATCCCGTGGCTGCGGCAAACCGTCCCGGCACTCAAGACCGGAATCCGCTACCCTTCCCGTGATGTGATCTCGACGGCCTTGCCTCTGGCAGTCTTCCAGCTGGCGGGTCATATTCTGAGCTCGATGGCCACCTCACAGATCCCCGTCTCACTAGTCCATACGATCAAGGGACTGTCCCCGCTGTTCACAGTGATGGCATACCGGGTGCTGTTTCGGATTCAGTACGCCAGAGCAACCTACTTGTCGCTGATCCCTCTGACCGTGGGTGTCATGTTGGCCTGTTCCACCGGATTGTCGACGAATCTCTTTGGCATCCTCTGCGCACTATTGGCAGCTCTCGTCTTTGTTTCGCAGAACATCTTCTCCAAAAAGCTTTTCAATGAGGCGGCCCGTGCAGAATCCGAGGGGCCGGGTCGGCAGAAGCTAGACAAGCTCAACCTGCTCTGCTATTGCTCAGGATTGGCCTTTCTTCTCACCTTACCGATCTGGTTTGTCAGTGAGGGCTATCCCCTGATCGCCGATATCATCAACGACGGTGTCATCTCGCTATCGGGGAAAAAGGGATCACTAGACCATGGTGCCCTGCTAGTCGAATTTGTGTTTAACGGCGTCTCACACTTTGCGCAAAACATCCTTGCCTTCGTCCTGCTGTCAATGATCTCCCCCGTTTCTTACTCGGTTGCTTCCTTGGTCAAGCGAGTGTTTGTCATCGTGGCCGCGATTCTGTGGTTTGGCAGCACCACAACCCCGATCCAAGCGGTTGGCATTGGCCTCACTTTTGTGGGTCTGTATCTATATGATCGCAACAGCCATGACGACGTGGCCGATCGACGGGCCAATGCGGATCACTTTCGCGCGCGCGAGTCCATTCTCCCTACGAATGTGCGCAGCGCAAGCAAGCCGTGGGATTCCAACGGGTATGCCTTCCCCTCGGGCTCCGCCTCCAATCATGGCGTGCAGCCAATGCCAAATAACTCCAAGAAGGAGGACGATGGCCTTGGCCAGGTCCGACCACGAGGGTCCAGCGTTTCCCACGCGTGGCTGCCGGGAACTAAGCAGGAATCGACGTGGCAGTCCACCGACACCCCAGCGGCTACCTAGAGTTTTGTACTATATCCTGGAGTTTTTTCGAGGCGTTTTGGGGGGTCAAGAAAGAGGGTTTGCATTCTCCACGTTCTTCTTTTGGTTCGGGGCATTCCATATGCCACCCTTGGGACCTGTGGGATGTACATGTTTCACATCTACTACTGTGATCTTCCATAGCTGGACAGGTTCTTTGTTGTATAGATTCGTACCCGATGCGCTCTCGATCGGGGGAAAATAAACACCTTATTCGAACGGAACTGTCCACTATAGAAACGAAAATGTAGCTACCGTCGGTAAAGAACAATGTCATCATCGGGCGCAGCCCTTGACTGCTCCAGTTCGGTGCAAGTCTAGTCTCGGACAATGTAGCAGAGAAGACAGGGACCGAGAATTCGCCTGCCTCCTACAATAAAACATGCCCTAGAAATGAGATTTATGTTGTGGGCAGAAAAGGGGAAAGAGTCTGCGCGTTTTTAAGCGGGCTCCCGGAACATGGGTTTCTCCGACCCCGTCCTTTAGTGCCTGAATACCCAGGCGTATATTTTACAATCACGTGGCTCGGCCGCTGTCCAACCGTCGCTAATGAATTGAATGGTCAGCAACGGAAGAATCCTGGTGTTGCTCTGCCTGTCTGTCCACTGCTGCTTGACCTCCCCTCTTCTTTTCCCCCCACCCCAATTCTCTTCAATCTCATCTTTCCCCTTCACATTCTCTTTCTTGATATCCTTGCCACTATGCGGCCGCAGCTGTTCCGTGCGGCCGTCCGGTCGCTCCGGGCCCCCAAGGTCACCCCCAGGACCTTCGCGACGTCAACCCCTCGAGCGGCCGAGGTGGAACTCACCATTGGTACGTGTCATCGTCCTCCGATCCTTGCTGAATGCTTGTGTCTGACTCGGCGGTTCTCTAGATGGAAAGAAAGTGTCGGTGGAAGGTAATTGTGCCCATCCCACCAGTCCAGGGTCCTCAACTCACATCTATCAAAGCCGGTTCGGCTCTCATCCAGGCATGCGAGAAGGCAGGCGCGACAATTCCCAGGTGTGTCAGACCCCTCAATGGCTCAAAACTATCTTGCATTGACTAACCCTGATGACAGATACTGCTACCACGAGTACGCCCTCCCCCACAACCAACTAACCGAGACGCTATGATTGCTAACATAACCCTGCAAGGAAACTCTTGATCGCCGGAAACTGTGAGATCTTCTTGCCTCTAGTCCAGTATTCCACAAATGCCATGCTGACAGACCCCTCACAGGTCGTATGTGCCTTGTAGAAGTTGAGCGGGCTCCGAAGCCGGTGGCCTCGTGCGCCTGGCCCGTGCAACCGGGAATGGTGGTCAAGACAAACTCGCCGTTGGTGCACAAGGCGAGAGAAGGTGTCATGGAGTTCCTGCTGGCCAACCACCCACTTGATTGCCCCATCTGTGACCAGGGAGGAGAGTGTGACCTTCAGGACCAGTCGATGCGCTATGGTGCTGACCGCGGCCGGTTCCATGAAACCGATGGCAAGCGTGCTGTGGAGGACAAGAACATTGGACCCTTGGTCAAAACATCGATGAACCGATGCATTCATTGCACTCGCTGTGTTCGATTCATGAACGACGTCGCTGGCGCACCAGAACTCGGAACGACTGGTCGAGGAAACGAGATGCAGATTGGGACCTATCTGGAACAGAACCTGAATTCGGAAATGTCGGGCAACGTCATTGACCTTTGCCCCGTCGGTGCTCTGACTTCCAAGCCTTACGCCTTCCGTGCTCGTCCGTGGGAGCTGAAGCACACCGAGTCGATCGACGTTCTCGATGCCCTGGGCTCGAACGTTCGGATTGATAGCCGTGGTATGGAAGTCATGCGCATCATCCCAAGACTGAACGACGATATCAACGAGGAATGGATCAACGACAAGTCGCGGTTCGCGTGTGATGGATTGAAGACTCAACGGCTCACCACGCCCTTGATTCGCCGCGAAGGCAAATTTGTGCCGGCCACCTGGGAACAGGCTCTCACGGAAATCTCGTCTGCCCACCAGAAACTGCAGCTGAAGCCCAATGAATTCAAGGCCGTTGCGGGACACTTGGTCGATGCTGAATCGCTTGTTGCGATGAAGGATATGGCGAACAAGCTGGGATCCGATAACCTTGCTCTTGACCAGCCCGGCGGCAGTTCCCCCATCGCCCACGGTATCGATGCCCGTGCCAACTACCTGTTCAACTCCAAGATCTATGGCACCGAGGAAGCAGACGCCCTTCTTCTGGTTGCCACGAACCCCCGTCATGAGGCCGCGGTCCTGAACGCTCGCATTCGTAAACAATACCTGCGCTCCGACATGGAGATTGGGCTTGTCGGAGAGGAATTTGAAAGCACTTTCGATTTCGAGCACCTTGGAGCCGACGTCTCTGCTCTGAAAGCCGCATTGTCTGGAGACTTTGGCAAGAAGCTCGCCGGCGCTAAGCGACCAATGATTGTTGTTGGTAGCGCTGCTGCCGAGCACCCAGATGCGAAGGCTATTTTCGAGGCTGTTGGAAGCTTTGTGGAGAAGCATGCCAACTTCAACACCCCTGAGTGGCAAGGCTACAACGTCCTTCAGCGTGCAGCATCTCGGGCCGGAGCCTATGAAGTCGGCTTTACTACCCCGTCCCCCGAGGTCGCTCAAACTTCCCCCAAGATGATCTGGCTCTTGGGCGCAGATGAGATCGCGCAAAGCGAGATTCCGAAGGAAGCGTTTGTCATTTACCAGGGCCACCACGGAGACCGGAGTGCCCAGCTCGCAGATGTCATCCTCCCAGGAGCAGCATATACCGAGAAATCCGCTACTTATATCAACACTGAGGGTCGTGTGCAGGTCACTCGTGCAGCTACGTCGCTGCCCGGTGCGGCCCGTGATGACTGGAAGATTATCCGTGCCTCCAGCGAGTTCCTTGGCGTTCCTCTGCCCTATGATGACATCGAAGCCCTCAGGGATCGCATGGAGGAGATCAGCCCTGTGATGCGTCGGTACGATGTTGTCGAGCCCAGCTCGGTTGGCTCATTGAGCAAGGTCCAGCTTGTGGATCAGAACAAGGGGTCTCCAGCCACTGGGGCTCCGTTCAAGAAGGTTATTGAGGACTTCTACTTCACTGACTCCATTTCTAGAAGGTACGTATTTGCATTCCTCCACCGGTGCTTGATTTTTAGCTAATTTCGCTTCAGCTCACCCACGATGGCCCGCTGCTCCGCCGCCAAGGCCACCGGTAACCCCGAGACCAACTTCATGGCCGCTGGAGAGATGTCTCCTCAAGCCCTATATGGCTAGATCCATGTGGTGTCTCTCATGACCAGTTGGTCTGTTTCCCCTTTGTAATGGTCCCAGGCGTTGACTTTGTACTCCCTAAACGTCCTTTGTTTCCTGTACTGTTGCCACCCTGCTGTCTTCTTTTGCCTTGCCCTAAACGCCATCACCTTCGGTGGCTGGTCTCTGTTCGCCCATTTCTCCAGCCTCGTCCGGGGGTTCATCTGTACATAAAGATCCAAACCCACAAAATTTCATCCACTTGGGCATTTGAAATATGTTCTCTCACTATATCTCTCAATGGTTTAGGGTCCCAAATGTCTTTCAATCAATTCATTTGGCCCCCAAGGCTAGGAGGGATGATTCTACATCTCATCGCGTCTCGTATTAAGTTCAATGACTTCTGTCAGCTAATTCACGGACGACAATCGTTATAGCTCATCATCATCCGTCTCTCCGGCAGTCTCCTCGGTATCCCCATTGGTTTGCTCCAGCTGCGTCGTAGTCCTCGGCGCTCCGACCCGACTTGTGAAGGGCAACTCTCTTCGTGGGGGTAGCGTCTTCTTGGGAAGCGATCCACGCTTTGCATGGGTGGACCGACCACCTTCCGCTGAAAGAACCCTTTCCGTGGATGGGAGCTGATCAAGCTCCTCATCGTCCGTGGCGGTCTGTTCTTCTAACATCTGAGGAGTTGATGGTTGATCATCGTCGGTCTCCTGATTACCCGTGGTGTCTCTTCTTTGATCCACGTCCATTCTCTCGAACTGGTCGGAATCTTCGTCTGTTTCGCTAACATCTTGGGCGCCTCGCTTCGCTCCATGACCCCTTTCCAGAGCAATCTGGGGCTTATCAGCGAGAGCAGCTTGTATTTCGGACACTGCGGCGGAAGGAGAGAGCTTAGTCCTGACGGTATACTTTATGGCTTCTGGCATTACCTTTCGCGGGGTCGGCCGTTGCTGATGCCAGCAGACGCTGCTGGTTCCGGATCTTCAGTTTCTTCTCGTTGAGAAGCTGGACAAAATTGCCAACCATCTGGTTCTCGTGTTGGCTCTTTGCATGCATCAGGTCCTCGAGCTGTTGGTTCAACTTGCGGATGGTGTCCTCGGCGAGGCGATAGCGGTCAGTCAGGTCGGCGACCTGCTGCTCTAGCCCCTCCGCTCTGGCAGCAGCAATGCCAGACCAGTCAAACAGCTCAACGGCTTGCTCATCGTCCTGAGTGAGAGTCAAGGCGCCCAGTCGTTGCTATGGCTGGGTCAGCGTGTACACATATCACTGCATGCAATCCCCCCTCACTGTGATTGTCTGGACCCTCTTCCGGATAGTGATGACCAGCTCCTTGCCCTCATCCTCGGATCCCGAAATGCTAGCCGTAGTTTCCACGCCTGACGACCAGCCCGAGTCATCGACCGGAAGCGGTCGCTGTCCCAGAGCTAGCGAGACGATCTGGAACCACTCATCGTCCGTTCCTTGGTAGTTCTTGGCGCGGAGATTTTTCAGATGGGCTTGTTTCACTGTGTTGATGTAAGGCGACTCGCCCTCGGTAGCGATCACGGTCAAATCCAGGGGCAGCGAGCCAGAGGATGCGACGTGGACAAGCACAAAAGCCTCCGGCTCGTCTGATCTCGGAATACGCAGGACTCTGGATGACATGGTGGTGGCGTGGTTGGACGAAGAAACACGGATGAGGATGACGAGGAAAGGTCATGCATCGATAATAATAATCAAGATAGGCCTGGGGATTACGTACCTCGGTAGTATAAGGATATGTATGTATGGTTATATAGTGAACACTTTACTTACCTAGATAGTAGTAGTAGTACCGTCTTGAGCGCGCCCTCTATAGTCCCTCCCTATCGGCCAGTTACGTACCTGCCACCGCCTCACTCTCACCTCCACGGGGAATCCCACTCCAGCCACCACCAGCAACAACCACCTTTCCTTTCTCTCCAACAACAACCACCACCCCCACAACAGCAGCAATCATCGCCCCGATTGTTTCCTCTTGTTCGATCTCTCCCTCACCCTGGCCCGTTGTCGCCCTGGCCACCACACCACACCATCCCACATCCCCGTCCTTTCCCGCCCCCCTCGCCGCTGGAGCTTGCTTTCTCCTTTTGAGTGACACGTCGCGATTGGACTGATTCCCAGAGCTATCCAACTGTCTCGTCAACAACCCTGTCTTATCACCCAGGGCTGCTTAGCAACCCGCTACCAGCGACCGACGCTGTGTTCCTTGAACGTTCCACCGTTGATGGTCAACACGGGATGCCGTCCATCTTTCCCAGCCTTCAGCCCACGACTCATGCCGGCGCCCTGTGAACTCACTACCTAAACATCGATCATTCCTGTCCTAGGCGCCACCTTGTACTCGCAGGGTGCACCGTGTGCTGTCTCGGATCTACTCTTCTGATTAATGGAGTCGCCAATGACCCAAGCACGACCGGCCAGTGAAGAGGCTATTGAATGCTGGGACGATGATGCCGACCTACAATTCGACGAGGGAGTTCAGTTCCGCGCTGCGTCGAGCACTGGGTCCGTGGCCAACTCATTCCGGCCCTCCGGCCACCGCGACTCCATTTCCTCCCGTCGTTCTGCGCGCTCTGATGTCGATTCCAACGCAGGAGGGGACGAAGATTGGCAGGTTCTCTTCCCCGGCAACGACGGGCTCGCTAAAGAAGAGGCCATTGCATCGGCTAAATATGCCGGCATTCCCATCCCGGCCAATATCCCGGGGTCTGCTCTCGTTGGGGGCACAATCAAATTCCTATCTTCCAAAAAGCAGAAGCGAAGCTTTGTTGACGATTGGTCGGACGATGTCGAGGTTCCGGATCCTGATATGTTGCTGGAGCTGAAGCCCCGACAAGAAACCGTCTTTCCTGACTCGCTTCGGCAGCTCAGCTCTATAGCCACGAGCCCGATGAAATCTACAGCATCATCCTCTTGGAATGACGATACCTCGACTCGTCTACAGTCTGCACTGGCCAAGTTGGAGCAATTTCAAGATGAAGATGCGAGCCCCAGTAAAGACGTGCCCACGATCAAACCCCCAACATCTCAACCCGTTCAGCAACTATCCACAGCAAATGCTGGAACGAATCATGTTAAAACAGGGCTGGACGTGGAAGAATTTGGTGAAGACCTTGAACTACCCCCCGACCATGAACCTCTCGAACTATCATATCGCAAGGATCATACCCGCTTATCTAGTCCGACCTTGGAGGACTTTGACCTTGAATGGGCCGAAGGGAGCATCGGAGTTCGAGTGGGCGGTACTACCCGGGATGGTCAATCCCTCCCCAGCTCTTCGATTTCAATCGCGAGCCCTAGCGTTTCGAGTTGCCTGACCGCAGAAAGTGAAGATGACGGTCTTGAGGGTCTAGTCGTCCCTGATGGGCCCCTTGACCTCAACTCTCCTCTGCAGAAGCGGCAAGAAGCTCTGTACAAGGACGTCACTCCCAAGGCAAGAGGTGACCAAGCGGATCAGGCACCTGGCGTCGACGACTTCTTTTCCGGCATCGATGTCGACAATGGGAAGGCGTTTACTTCGGGGAAGTTGACACTGAATCCCAACATTAAGTGCAAAACGGAGTGGCCCTCGAGCCCAACACGCCGGACCGCAACCACCATTACATTTACAAGTACAGTTGGATCGCCACGAACTCGTATTCCTCGCCTTTCCGGTCATGAACGGACGCATTCAACTCATCTTGAGACCGTTTCAGAGAGCGGCGCCCCTCTCTTCAAGTTTCGGAGACCACAATCCCGGCTTGGTCATTCGTCACAATCGTCTGTATCTAGCCTTCCAGCCTCGGGTCTTCTTTCTACATCACCAACCCCTGGGACTTCTGGCCGCCGGCCCGCCGTGCCCCAGGCGTCCAAAGACTCTACTACTCTCGCTAGGGAGTCCAAAGCTTCCGAGAAACACCAGGCAGCAAAGCAGTCTATGCCAGTTATTCGGAGCTTGCAAGCCACTGCGTCAACCCAAGCATTCCCGCGACAATCACGCTCCGACGGTCCTATTCGTCCTCTGTCTAGTCGACCTAAAACTCCCACTACTTCGGATGGAAGATCGCAGAGTCGCCGAGCTGCAGCGCCATTTCTTTCAGCTGACACTTCTGGAGTTCATTCTCAACATACGAGTGTGAAAAGCTACCGCTCATCACGGCGCACAAACTCGGACAGCTCCGGTGACTTTGTCAATTTTCAGAACATTATCTCTCGAGCACCTCGTTCGACTCGCTCGGGGCCTTTGGCTAGTCGCTTCATTGAGACGAGCTCGGGAACGGTTGGGCCGTCTACGAAACGCACGCTCACGCGACCTACGAGGCGGCGCAATTTTGGGGATGGCAGTGAGTTGGAGGCATTTGATGATTTACCGACGTCTGCTTCTATCGAGAGCGAATTTGTCAAAACTCCGATCGGCCGAGGGGCGCCACGATCTGTCCGCAGCAGAGTCGGTCAGAGTCGGTCTGTTGCACCGCAGGAAGAGCCTTCGCCCCAGTCTGTCTCTCTAGCGCTTGCCACCAAGCCGCACAACACGCTGCCGAGGTTCGCACAGGATACCAACGCTTCCAGAAATGCCAGGGAGCAGCGGATTGCCTCGATGTCGGCAAACGTCAGAAGTCGGGATCCTAATCCACTTGCGGCTTTCGGTTCGAACTGGAAGCCCCAACCCGTCTCACGAGTGCCCCCAAGCACAGCAGCGGTCCGAAGCCGGAAAGCTAAACCGACAGTCCGGTCGACAGTTAAACCTCAGCTGATCAAACCAATGGGGTCTGGAGTTCACGAAGCCAAATGTAAGCTTGCCCTTCCTTCCTTCTTTCCAACCTTTCATTTTACGGGGGCTGACCCGGCACAGCTGTGAGAGGGATGCGCTACAACCCGGCAACGTACCGGTGGGAAGGCAATGAGAATCTGGTGCAGGACTTTGACGTGCCTGTGACGCCCAAATCCCCCAAGCCCGCGCCCGCGCTGATCAGTAATGTCGGGACGATGCACAGTGTGCAGACCGTCGGGGGCATGGTCTTTGATCCCCTACGCATGTGCTGGCTGCCGGCGGCGGGCGACGGCGGGGCGGAAGACGATGTCTTCGCGGGCCTGGAGGATCTGGATGACCGGGTGGTCAGCGGTAGTGGGCGCGTATCCGGGGCTTTTGAGGAAGATGCCGTGGGTGACGACCCGAGTGCGGGCGAGTCCTCGGATGAAGGGCCCATCACAGAAGAGTTCGATGTCGGACCGGAATTCATTCGACGGCAGCGGGCCGAGGAGGAGAAATGGAGGCGCAAGGTGGCCAAATGGATCGGGCCCAGGCAGGACGAGCAGTGGCGGTGGATGATCCGGGATCTCACGAAGTAATGCCAATGAACTGTTTGTTTGTTTCTTTCTTTTCTTTTTGGTAGCTACGTGGCTAGGTGGTCTCCCCTATGTCCCCGAGACAGCCAGGAACCCCTGTTCAGTGGTCGATCGGACTCGGGGCCTTGATCTCCCCGGCGAAGACACAGCGTGACACGATGCGAGGGACCGGGTCGGCAAGCAACCAAACACGCGCGCTCCGGGCAATCCCTCCTGCGTAACCCCGGGTACATGCAGTCGGGGCAAACAACAGACGTGGCGGCCCTGGCTCCCTGTCGGTTTACTTGCTGGTTTTTCTTTTTCTTTCCCTCGGTGGCATATTTGCTTGCTGCTTGTCGTCCAGGGATTCCCTCACTTGCCCACTCCTCTCGTTTCATCATGGTCTCGTGCACCTTGCCCGGGGCCATCTGGCGATGGTTCTTTTTAACGAGCGTGATTCCTGGCTTTGGTCGGGCTTTTTTCCTTTCAGTCTGCCTCGGTCCTGTCCTGTCCTCCCTCTACGACTACGCCCTATGATCCCGGAGCCTATCCATCCCGCACCATGAGCAGTTTTGCCAGACGCAATGAAGGGAATGAGAGTTACATGATGAACCAGCCACTGGCCATGCCCAGTCCCTATGGCCATTCAGATGGCCATGATTTCGGTGCTACGGGATCTGGCTCGTATCATCAATTCTCCCACCAATCTTTTCACCCATATGGGTCCCAGTTGGGCCCGTCCTATGCTCACCAGGGTCTTCAGCATCTCCAGCAGTACTCATCCGATCATTCCATTCCGTCCATGTCGAATCCGGAGGATATGGGCATGCACCATCCGCCGCTGCAGTACTTGGCCCAGCCACGTTTTCTGACGTCTCCGAGATATGTCCCGCTGAACGAGACGGAGATAGAAAGCCAAATCTCCCAGAATGAGGGCTCGATGCAGTCGGAGCCTGTGCTGCCTCCACTGGAAGGGTTTCCCGATGTCAAGGAATTTGACCAATTGATGCAAAGGTAAGCTCATAGGGCGATTCGCTCGGGGAGATCAACACTGACAGCACAACACCCTGGTCAGCTACGTGGATGACTTGTCAGTGAAGAAACAAGACAAGGCACTCATCCATTCCAAGAGAGCTCGCAATATCAAGGCTGTGTTGAATGAACCCAAGGACACTTCGGTGGAGTCCGCTCAATTCCGGTACAGTCCCTTGATTTGAATCCCTTGTGGCGGTCCCCTGCTGACAGAGCTAGATTCTGGGTGAAGAAAATGTTTAAGCTGCAAGCCGTCGGGATAGCCCCAGACGTAGGTATTCACCACACCCTAAGTGGGGTTTTTCCTCCGCTAACAACCCATCCCCATGCATCAGTGCAGGAAGATGATCTGTCATGAGGGAAAGCCTGTTGCAATACGGGAGAAATTGTTCAAGATCCTCACCAAAGCACATCAGCTCTGCCAGCATGGTGGCCGGGACAAAACATCGGCCCAGGTGCGGCGAATCTACTCATGGTAAACAAATGACATCCTCACATTGTAGAGGAGTAACACTAAGAATGGTTCAGGGTTCCCAAGGAGCTCATCTCTCGCTTTGTGAAAATCTGCCCAACATGCCAGGTTCGCCGTGGGGGTTCACGACTGACGCCGCCCAATTCACGGCGCAGCTCGCCTCGGCTCGACTTGATCCCTCGATCCCCAAAGCTCCCGTCTCCCCCAATATCAAGACGAGAGTCCACTTTTGGGGGACAGGCAGCCGTCGAAAGACAACAGATAACGAACTATTTCAGCCATCTGCCTACCCATAACGGGTGGCTGGACGGTCATCACAGTCTCCAGGGGCGCTCTACCCTGGGCACTGGGCCAGTCCGATCCTTCCAAGGGCCGATAGGGCATCTTTCGCTCCCAGGTACCTTGGATCCCTTCTCGACTGATCTGTCCGTGCCGCCCTCTCAGTTGAATTACACGAGCTACATTTCCACTCACACTCCAACTCAACGAGACTATTGATGTCGAGTCCCGTGTAGCTATGCGCCTTGGACGTCCGGCCATGAATTATGGTGACACAATTTCTGTCAACAAAAGTCTTTTCTGTTCTCAAATTTTTCTGTAACAGGTTGAGCGGAGGCAATGCGCGCGGAACAGAGAACTATATACTCTCAGGGCATAACAGCAGCACTAGCACTCATCACGAATTCACAGTTTTTAGACAGGCAAGAAGAACTTGTTTTGTACGTATGTAAACATGAAATTTCGCCATTAACGATCCGCACCAGAACTCTCTCTGCTTTCTCTCTCTCTATTTCATGGTTTGAAAGTTGGAAGCTACTCGGACATGCTTGGACTGAGAATGCTTGCTTGCCAACATGGTTACCGCGGTGCATTGTGCCGTTGACATCGGAGCGATCTCCCACAGGCGCGTTGCAGATTCCAAGCCAACCGAGCCCTTTCGTCCTCCAGGCGTCCCCATGTGGTTGCATTTCGTCCATTTTCCAAATGTAACCACGTCGAGGCATGAAATTTATCCATTCATCGTTCGCAGGTCATATCGTCGGACATCAAAAGGGGGTTGCACGATTGCGTACCTACCACGCGGTTCAGAGCGGTGGGCATCAGTCCTCCAAACCACCGCCGCCATTAGATCCAGCCACTCTCACAAAATTATGGCTAGGAACTCCCTAAACAGGAAGCGAGAACTTCTTCCCTTTCAAGACCCTATCGCAAAAATCTCAGTGATCAAGAACCCGGTCAAAAAGGCAACCATCTCCGCTTACTTGTTGTAATAGATGTAGAAGAAATCTGAGTATAGCAAAGTCTGGATGATGCCTGCGATGATTGGAGCAGGCTGGAAGGAGTTGTGAAACGTTTTCTCTGTGAAGTATCTGTATAGCCAGTTCGGAATATAGAGAGCTCTGTATATTCCCAGGGCGAAAAGATAGTGAGTTGTGATGGTATCTGCCTCACCCGTCCGCTGCAGCATGAAGAGCTGTGGCAGGATGGCAACAGATTCAAGCCAGATCGAGAATGTCCAGAGAATCTGCACGAGGTGAGTCTCCAGTTGAGGAACATCCCCAGTTCAAGCCGGTTGCCGGGGAAAGTGGGTGACAAACCTCAGAAAGACGATAGCTGTGGGGGAAGAGCAGCGCCAGAACCACACTGATCCCTAGGAGGTATTGGACCTTGAACGTGTCGATATTGGGATCATGGGTCGGCTTGTAGTCGTTGAGCATCAGATAAATGATGTAGGCGGATGATCCAATGAACAGGAGCTTGAAGGTGGTGAGGTATAGGGAGTCGGTGAATGACCAGAACAAATCTGTCGCCCGATTGCGCGTCAGCTCCAGGAGATGGGAAGACAGCCGTCAATGCGAACATACCCAGATATCGAGTCACAAAGACCAGCAGATAAAGGACCTGTGATTTAAATGACAAACCGGAGCAGCTCTGCAGGATCATTAGTTGCCGGTCAATGGCGGGAGGGCCTTGGCGAGAGTCTTACGCTGGACGACTTCATCTTCTGCAGAAGAATGAAGATCGATGCCAGGTGCGAGAAATCGGCTGTAGCGCAACCGTCAGAATGCATGGTCTCATCAAGGGTGGTGTGGTGGCCATCTCACCTAATAATCGGAAGATATTCATGGTGTCGACAGATCGAGAAAGAAGGAATCAGTCAGGAATTGAAGGTATAAAGGGCCATATATGGTGGCGACCAAGGGTGGTGGATGGTTGGGGTGGTTGGGGTGGTGATGGTGGATGGAAGAAGGGAGTGAGTGAAGGTAAAATGTTGACACGGAAGCAGGACGAAGGGAGGATTTGCGCCGCCGATCAGGCACGTACTGCGGGAAGGGGGCTGGTGGTACCGCCAGGTACCGAGCCCGCATCTTTTGTATGTAATGGTACCTCCCACTACCTATTCACGATCTATGATGATTGATCTCTTATGATTTAATAAATAGTTATCATTTGATTATTATTAATCATACACTCATTCATCATGAACTAAACAGGTGATTCCGATCAGAATAAAATGCTGCCTCCAATGCTCTCATCTGCCATGCGCTGGAGGTGACCCTCGGCCAGCTCGCTTCGAAGCGCACTGATCGAGCTTTCTCGATCCAGCTTGTCCCAATCGCGAAGCCCCGTCCTCTTGGCTCGCTGTGTGTCTGCGATCTGTTCCAGTAGCTTGACCTGATCAGCTTCCAATTGAGACAGCCGTTTCTCAGTGACCGGGTCCAGCAGCGAAGGCAGAGTTCTCCCGCCAGGGGTCACCGAGCACAACCCAGCGAGGTGGTTCATGAATCGTGAAGCCGGGGGTTGGCCGGGAGACGGGATGCTGTTCTGTCGGGACCCGGGATATCGATAACTTCCTCCGCCGGGAGTCGGAGATGTGAAAGAGCCTCGGGGGGCAGCCGGGGCACCGTGCGATGGCGCGGGGACTGGTACACGACGCGCCGACGGGACGCCCATCCAAGAACTCTCCCGAGAACCAGGCCCTCGACGAGGGCGAGTTGGTGCTGAGAGTAAAGACATGTTTTGAGAGCCGCGACTTTGCGAAGCAGCAGCAATTTTGGAGCCTTGGGAAGGACCGGATGGTGGTAGTGGACTCCCGCTATGGCTTCTCGGCTGGGTTGGAATATTGCTGCTGGTCCGCATACCGCCCATTTGTGACTGATCCGAAAGTCGGTGATCGCTCATCCTCAACACTCCTCGACCATCTGGATCTTGCCCTCTGCCTGCAGTTGGGAAAGTTGCATCGTAATTGGATTGGGGAAATTCGGGGGTTTCGGTTACCCTATCAGAACTGGAAGGTGCCGTTTGATAAACTGGATCTTGCGAGTAAGGCGACCGAGCTTGAGATCGCGAAGGGAGCTGAGAAGGAGATGAGGGACGAAGGGGTGAGCGGCCGCGACCATTGAGGGGCAAGCCGGCTTTGTCGGGGTAGCCCGCGGGGGACGACCGTCGAGAGGTCGCTTCTGATTCTGCAGCCAAGGCATGCGCGGGAGAAGGACGTCGTGGAGGCGAGAGTGATCGACCTTGGTTGAAGCTCTCTGAATGTTCCCGAGGGGCGCCAGAAGAGGGGCTGTGTGGTCGACGTGTAGAGGGTCCTTGTGGCGGAGTAGGCTGTGGGTTTGGTGAGAAACCTCCTGCATATCTATCATTCCTGGGTGGAGGTGGGTAATCTCGTCTGGATGCCCGAAAATCCTGGCTGGCTGGGGTCCCATCTCGCGTCCGTCTGGGGCTAGCCCTGCCCCTGGACGCATCACGCGATCTATCCTCGCTGTATGGGGATTTTGAACGCCAGGAGGCCGCTGGGGGCGACCTCGGTTTGTCATCCCTTCGAGGCGAAAACCGTCGCATCGGGGACCGTCTTCTGCTGTATGAACTGGGACCGGGGCCTCGCCCATAGATAGGAGGAGTTCGCGAACGACGTCGGTAAGGTGGTGACCGACTCCGGGGCCGGCCATTTCCTCGATTAGACGGAGGAACCCATGTGTCGGCTCTTGGACGAGGGGAACGATTCCGGGGCGGGGAACGAGGATGACGAGAAGGCGATCGACCAGATCTGTCCGTTGGTCGATAGCTCTCTCCCCCTCTGCGATCATCAAACCTGAGCAGAAATGGTTATCAGAAATAGCTCTCTCGCGCCGAGATGCATGGGGTACATTACAAACCTTCTGCGGTCCCAATCCATTCCCGAAGAGACCTGGTAAGCCCTTGACTTGACGATTTTGGGGGGAAGGCGAAGGAAGTCAAGATGGACGATGGCCGGGAGCGAACAAGTTATGGAGGAGGCAGAAAGGAAGGAATGGTAGGGTAGAAGAAATTTGCACTAGACCGTTTTGGATGATTTCTCGGTCATGTGATCTAGATACCACCCTTCTAGCAGACAGTGAGTAGATAGTAGTTCAGTGTATCATTATTGTTTTACAGACCCAAAAAGAATTTAAGAAGAAAATAACAACAATCACAGTTCAGCGCTTTTTCCGGCGCCTCTCCTGCGCAATCATGTCGCTCAGGTCCTCCTGGAACCCCCAGCTAGGTTGATTCTGCTGGCGTCTCTGCGTCTCGTACATATTTTGAAGATTCTCCTTGCTGATACCATCCTCGGCGTGAAGAGCGTCAGGATCCATAGAGACGTCCACGTCACCGGGCTTCTTGCGCTTCCGGCTTTGGTCTTCGGCGCCGAGGAGAGGAGGCTGGCTCGAGGCCGTGTTGAGGTCGTATGCCCTGTCGCCTCCGAAAAACCCTTGCACGTTGGTCTGTCTCTCGGGAATTACCTGGTAGGCACTGCGAGGATGAACGGATTCCTCCGTCTCCGTACCTCGATGGTGTTTTCGGACATCAAACTCGCCGGAAACGTTCTCTGCACCCACAAATTCGGAGGGCGCCGTTGATTCCATGCCACTTGGGGTTTCCAAACCACCGGGAGAATGAATCCCGGCCTCTGTCTCCTCCTCCTCCTCTTCTTCTTCTTCCTCCTCTTCCTCCTCCTCGCTCTCTTCCTCGGACTCCTCGGGGGCCTGTAGCTCGCCCCAAAGATCCTTTTCGACCGGCTCCCCCTGTTGGGCATTCTGTTGGGGCTGTAAGACTCCAAAAATGTCACCACCGTACAGCGGCCGATTGTGTTCATCAACAGGCGGTTTGCCATAGCCGCCCGGATGATAGCCCCACATGGCTCCAGGAGGGGGCGGCGCATTGAGACCAGGGATTTTCAAGGCTGGATAGGACGGTGGAGGGCCGTATCGCTGCTGGTTGATGAGCCATGGAGGAGGAGCACCGGGAGGCATATTGAGGGCCTCCTTCAGTTCATCGCTCAAATCACCGGGCCGAAGATGTTTGAGATTGGTCTCATATTCCTTGCCTTCGTAGTAAATTTCCCCGTAGCGAGTCAGTTCCGGCTTGGTTTGGAACCGGAAGAACGCCTCGTACAATTTCTGATAATCGATATCCAACTTTCCCATTTTGGGCTGGACTCTTTCCCTTTGTTTCTGTTTCAATGTGGATTGTTCCTGTTTTTCCAGAGCAGCGTCACGCATTTCCGCAATCCCCGTTTCTTGAATGAATTTAGGCAGGGCGAACGGTGCTTTTTCCACCCCCGCTTGGATGAGAGGTACTCGCGTTTGAGCGACCAGTGAGAGGGCACAGGGACGACATTCCGATGGGCTTTGATGTGGATCAGAAGCCGTGGATCAGGCGCAGACGTGTCTGTCCACTCGACAATTTCCGGCTTCCGGACCATGGCTTTGAGCTCTGCGACCGATAATTTGTTCATCTCTTTCCGTTTCTTCTTCGATATTTTTGGTTCCGTCTCTTCGTCCTCGTCAGGGATCTCGTCACCATCATCGAAGTACACTTCCGGTTTCTCGGCCTGTTTTGTAGGAAGACTATCGCTCGCCGTTTCATCAAACTTGCTAGCAATCCCCTTATAGATATCCCATAATGGGTCGCTGGTTTCGAGAGGCAGTGACGCATCAAGATCAGCGGGCGCATTCTGCGGCGCGGGTACGGGGGCTTGCTTCTTCGGTGATGTCGTCTGTGGCTTTTCGTCGGGCGCTCCAGTGGCAGCCTGGAAGGGGAAATGTCAGCCATTGAATTAGATCCTCGAGGATACTCAGAGAGCAGGGGGTGAACGTACCTCGGCTTTCTGCGCCTTTTTCCTTGCCCTCCTAAGCTGATTCTTGCTTTGCTTCATTGTCGCCATGGTAGCGCACGGCGCGTTAACGAATGAATGTTGAATGGGGTGATGGGCAAGTGCGGAAGAGACGTTGCGCGTGAGGAACAAAAGTCGAAGACCTGCTGACATAATATCAGTCAGTCCAGTCAATCCCAGCCATAGTGTACGCAGTGTTATGTAGGTATGTACTACCTACCTAAGGTTTAGGAAGGATTGTTCCAGAGACAACTGAACGGAATCATAAAACATCGATTGGCTATTTATTGTACATAAAAAAATGCGTCTTAGGTTATCAGGCAGGACTCCATACTCAACATTCCGTCCGCCGCGGTTAAAGACCAACTCGATGGCAATAAGAATGATGGATATTCTATGCAATGCTCGCCTGTGCCCAAGCCTTCCATGGCATGACGACTATTTCTTCTTCTTTTTCGCCGCCCGCGACTCTGTATCTGTGTTAGGGAGCACGTCAAGGGCTGGACAGCTGGATACGGGTAATCACCTTCGGCGGTTCTTTTCTTCTTCGGCCTGCCCTTCCCTCGCAATTTTGCACTGTACGAAAAGAAATGAATTTAGCATAAAGCAAGCAAATGCGACGGGGGAGTCAGGGTAAAAGACGAACACTTGAATAGCTTCCTCTCTATCGTCTTCCAGCTCATCAAAGGTGGTCAAGCCGAGGGGTTTATATGTGTTCTGCAAGTCTCGGAAAGAGACGGTCTTCTTGGGATACCATGCCGCAAGGCTCGGACCCCGAAGGCGTTGTCGTAGGATCTTATTTCCCAGTCGGAGCCGGTGTGGGTTGAAGTTCAGGGAGAAGATGCGACATTGGGTCTGTGGGCAGAGAAAGGACGGTCAGCGGGAGGATCACAAAGAGGTACCAATCCAGGGTGGGCATACTTTGACCAGATCAAGGATCCGGGGGTGTGCCATTGTGCAATGACGGAGAGAGAAAAAGGGTGCCCGGCCGGAAGTCATTTTGGGACTTGGCTATGGGTCACGTGGTGATTAAGGACCTTACTCTCTTCCTTTCTTCGTTCTCTCTTATTTTCTCTCCAAGATCACCATGAACTCTAAACGGCCGGCGTCTGCTGCAAATATAGGTTCGGTGAAGAGGTCCAAGGTGAATATCCCTGGATCATTGACTTAGACTGGTCCCATCCTTCCTGGTTTTGCGAGTTTCTCTCGTGCTGCTCGTGGCTAACGGTCCTCTTGACCCACCATCCACAGACGCAACATGAAGATGGGCCAGTATTGACCGGAACGGATGATTCGGTCCAAACTGGCAACATCAACTCCCGGCTAAGGACCTTGGAAAATCTCGCTCGCGAGGTGATGGGCAGCCCTGGTGCCTCGGAGGTTGACCCAGAGGTGATGAAAGCCGTGACTATTCTGAGCAACAATTGTAACCGAAGGGAGAAACTGTCTCGATCCGTGTCCAGGGATAACAGTGAGCCCCGTCAGACTCCCGAAACACACCACTCAGCCCATGCTTCGAACAAAAATGGCAACTCACCTATACCTCCATTGCCCCCCATTCGAGATACTTCGTTGGAAAAGGCAGTATTCACACACCCCGGGGTCGGCAATAATAACAAGACGACTTATGACCGGTTGGAGATCCTCGGGGATGCTTATATTGAGCTGATCGCAACACGAATGGTGTGGGAGCGGTTTACCGACATATCTTCAGGTCGGATATCACAGATCAGAGAGCTCCTGGTCAAAAATGAAACTCTTTCGAACTTCGCAAGCATATATGGTTTTGACCGCAAAGCTTCAGTGCCATCGGACCATGTGAGCCAGTCCAAGCGCTGGACAAAGACCAAGGGCGACATCTTTGAGGCTTACGTAGCCGCAGTCATCCTATCTGACCCCACTCATGGCTACCAGACTGCGGTAGAATGGCTTTCTCATTTGTGGGTTCCAATGCTCAGCGGCTTAGAACATCAGCAGACGGAGCTCAGGTCGAAGGAAGCTCTTGCCAAGAAGATCATGGGAAAGGGAATCAGGCTCGAGTACATGGGTGAACGTCCGACCATCCAGCAAAAAGGTGGCACTCAAACTCACTTCATTGGGGTGTACCTAACCGGCTGGGGTTGGACGAAGAGACATCTGGGCTCTGGAAAGGGGCTCAGTAAAGCAGCAGCAGGCGATCAGGCTGCTCAACAGGCTTTACAAAACACTCCACTAATTCTCGAGATCATGGAGGCGAAAAGGTCATGGGAGCTACAGGAAACATAATAACACGTAGTTTCGATGTTAGAATCTTCGGCTACGCCAGGCCCTCTTTATGGATGTATGTCAGACTACATTGTATTCTTTCACTTATTTAAGTTGGGTCATACTGCTATGATAGTACCGGCATAATCGTAGCAAGAATAACTAGATAACTAAGTGTTGTGTCATACTACTTTGGCAGAGACAGGTGCCTGGATAATCTGAGTAAATAGGCCAATCATCGTGGGTCAGGACTAACAGCTCCGGCATCTTTGCATAAGAATTTGACTCTTATTGGCCCATCGTCCAAGAGCCGCGCTTGACTTTTTCCAGGCGATACTGAAAATGCGCGTTTCATATAGTTTAGATACTGACTCGATATCACTGATCTTCATCAATCCTCCCTATGTAAATCGATACCGAGCGTTATTCAAAGGACAAGAGGACAACCGACATAATAACTTGTTCACCGTCTCCAATAATCATGTTTACCCTAAGTGCAGTCCAAATACTTAAAGACATAAAAGGTATGGACTGATATCAGATCATCTTTGCTAGAGCCTATATATATCTAGTAAAACCATCGTTACCTAATACTACACAGGAATTTCAGTAGTAGTAGCAGTAGCAGTAGTAGTAGTAGTAGTAGTAGTAGTAGTAGTAGTAGTAGTAGTAGTAGTAGTAGTAGTAGGAGTGTCCATTTGCCTGCATTAGCTTGCCTCAAAGTATAGCTACTAAGCGAGAGTACCGTCAGGCCTACCCGATAGCGAGAACAATGCAGAGCACTTAGTTTTTCTATTTATAGAGAACCTAGTAGGCTCTCCGTAATAATGGGCTATTGATATAAAATACAACAATTAGATAAAAAAAAGAATATCAAAAAACCGCAAAGAGCAATATTAAGGAAGTCATATTATATACTAAAGGTAGTAGTCAGGAGAGGAAAGTTTGATCTCCGCCCTATTTAGTGTAGCCGCTCCTATTATCCTAGTCCTAGCTGAGATGCACGCACCACTTAACTACCATTATGATACTAAGCTCGCTCAACTGTTATCGCGACATACCTATACAAGATAAAATCCTACGCTATTCCCCCGACTATAGTAGCCGCTTTCTATGATGTATTCGGGTAACAATATGGCGGGATCGACTAGAAATATACGCCCCTATGGTATTCCTGTCGTTTTACTTATAAAAAGTAGAAGAACTACTTATTAGGGTAGAAACCAATTAGATAGGTAAAGTAGAAGACTTCCAGAATGGTACTAAAATGGTATGAACAAGAAGAGATAATAGAGTAACTTAGTATAGGAACAAAGACACTGACGTAATCCACAAGCGAGCGCGCCATCCAAGCGAGCGCGCCACACAATAGTAAATACATTATTTTCGTAACTCTATATCTCAGCATACGCTGATTTTATTTTTATTATCAGTATGAAGCTATCCATATGTTTAATAACTAGTACAAACCAGGTAAAATCAAAATTAAACAGTTCTTTTATTGCATTACTACTATAAAATCATATACTAAGGTATCGTTGTTGAGATATTAAGATATAAGTTATCGCGTTTACTATAGTGTTTTGGGGTAGCGCGCTCGCTGATGAATTACGTTAATTCGTACTATAACCTAGCTTAAAAGTCTAGTTTCAACACGTTGGAAATTTAGCTCAGAATATCGCTTATCAACACGTCTATATTTTTTTATTCTAATTTCCTAACCATGCGTTAATTTGTATATAGAGAGTGAAGATCAAGGGCTGAATATAGAACTGGCTAAAGGGCAAACGTTCTATAGTTCTATATACCCCTAAAATTAATCACCTAAAATCGTCGAAGGTGTAGACGTTTCCTGTAGGTCTAGTCATATAATGCATATAAATTCACTTTTAACAACGTATAAACCATAATTTCTACGCTCGTAGAAATAGGCCTTAGGTTTTTACCTAGTCAACCCATTGGAATATATTTCGATTAGTACGCTAGAACCCATAGTGCAGCCATAGAACTCCATCTACAAATGCACCTAAAAATCCGAACTAGGGTATAATTTGTCGAGGTTCGAAGGTTTGCGGCCTTAAAAAAATATAAAACCAAGGTGCCGTATACCTTTAAATCTAGTTACTACCTCAAAAAGATGTCGACTCGCCTATCTTAAGCCTTATTATAATACGTAAAGTATGTTTTATAGATATTTTAGGCTAGAATTCAAATTTAGATTAGTACTCATATAAGATTAAATATTATAGAACAGGACTCCGACCTAGCGTATGACGAATACAACACTAAATTCTATCTTAATATACTCAAAGGAAGGTTTCATAAGGCACTATATGTACTATCTTTTTATGCGAGGATTCATAATGGTATATTATGCGATAGTGGGTTTAAAGACGTAGCATTTATGTAATAGAATAGCATATATACTCCTCTGATTTAAACCCAATTAAGACCGTTTTGGACTTAAATTAAAAATTTTAAGCTATATCCTAAATTAGCTAATATACGTTAATTAGAGACCAATTAGTATAGGGCTTTAGCGATAGCTCTTATAGTCGAAATATTACTTATTAATACTAATTCTATTAGGTATTTATAATAATCTTATATATAATATCTCATTCTATTTTATCCCTCTTCTTTAAAATCAGTCTACGTAAATAAATAACTCGCTAGTATAGCCTATAGTATAACTCGTAGTTCTCTAGATTCTTAAGAAGTAAGTAGATTAATTAGCTAGATACTTATAAGGAGATTCCCCCTAATTAAGAGCCTTCTTATAAGATTATTATTAAGTAATCCTCAAGTAATTTAAACACTTGGATTTAAGGGTAAGCTTATAGTAGTAAATATTTGGAAGTATCATAATAAGTATTAGCCTATGTTTACAAATTCGGAATGGTGCTCTTAGCTACTAAATCGCTCAAACAAAATATTATTGTAACCTTCTAGAAACTATTGGGGGAATATAGCGTAAAGCTTAGCTTCATCGTAAGGAAGTTACTGTCTAGGAGCGACTTACTATAGCTCTAATTAGAATATAAAATGCTACTATTATAAACCTAGGAATAGTGACTAACCCTTAATATGGCGGACCTTAATACGAGCTCGCCCTATAAAGCGTATAGCCCTAAAAACTAAACTACTAACTAATACGAAACGCTACTAAACATCTATAGTCTCACCGTACGGTGATAAAAAAAGAGAGTATAATGGAACTCTGTAGATGTTGTGAACATCTACAGTCTCTAATGACGTAACTATTTTATATAGCCCTTAATTGGAATGAAAGCGAGGACATGTATATGGTATTTCTACGACCTTCGCGCCCTAACGTGTGAACTTCATTATTTCCACTACTTACTATGCGCCTAAATCGTAATCAAAATTCCTAAAATTCGATCTTAAGAGGGTAGGATCAAGCTCGTAATTTAGGCCTATTATAATAAAGAAATACTATCAATTCGCAAAAATCTAGTATAGATTTTAAATCCCCATTTAACTTTTGTGACGCGACTATAAAATTATATTTTGCAAAAGATATACGCGCAAGTAGTCATAAATTAAGTCCTAGAGCAGAGTAATGACTACTACAATAGATTATGTCTATCGACTTATGTAGATCTACCCTTATGCTATTGATAGTTAGGGATATAGCCAATATTCTACTAGGAGAGCATAGTAGTTAGAATAATAGGATTAAATAGTTCTATAAATATAGTAGGCGCTATCTAGAACTTAAATTGGCACTATTTCGTCGGTATAATTACTACAGGGGTTTATATGGAGATCTATCTATTATGCCTTAGTTGAGCATATACGACGTATAATAGACGAGAACGGGATCTAATTAGAGGATATCTACAATTTCAAGGAAACAGGCTTTGCAATAGGCCTAATTACGACCGCCAGAGTCATTTATATAATAGCCTAATACTATAGTCAGAGATATTTTTATAGCCTTGAAATCGCGAAATAGGTCAATGACTATCGATTAAATACATAAACGCGATAAGATTTATACTGCCCCTACCTATCATCTTCAAAACGTACACTTACTACTGAGCTTAGTATAATGACCTACCGAAAGATTAGAGAATCGAAATAAGCAACAATAATTATACTAGACGATATTAGGCTTCGATAGCTATAATATCAATTTACGCTTAGTCGTTAATTAGAAAGTCCCTAAGCCCTATAGAGAGAGCATTCGATTAAATTTTTAAAGGGTCCTGACTCACAATGTACAGTATAGCAATCCTACGCTAGGAAGTTTGCGATTTAAAGGATGGATATGCGACAAAAAAGAAAAGGCGTAACGAGTCTACAAAGCATAATACTTAATTATAGGGATTTAGAAGTTGTGATAGTAGAGAGGCGTTTAATAGTCTGATTAGGCCAATAAAGCATAAAATCACGACCCCCACCCCCCAAACATCCCTCTCCTGGTCACGGAAGTAGATGTATTAGCTTCCAAACTAATTAGACACGCCCCTCTACAATGCATCTACTATAATTAATTAGGCTATAGAAGAGCAAGATGCCCCAATGAGTCTAATATGTGGAAATTTGAAATTACGAGCGTTAGTAGTCTGATCGATTGATTTAAAATATTAGTAGTTAGTCTTCTATTAGCTCACTTACGGACTACGTTAACGATAGAACTTATGAACTTTTATAGGTAGCAAGTAGAATAACATAACTAAAGGAAGCTTAAAGATATCTACTTGATATTAGTAACTATATTTATCTAGCTCAATATAACGAATATCTCTAATTTATAACTAAGTTAGAAACTTCATACTAGAAACTATAGACTATATTGAGTAATTAAAAGAATTGATTTATATATAGGCCTACTACTTGAAATTACTATTAGAATCATTATCTAAATTAGTTAACGTAATTCACAAAGCGAGCGCCGCACCCTACAAACCCATAGTAGATGCGATAAATTACAGCACGATATCTCAACAACAATAGCTTGATATAGGATTTTATAGTATCCTCTTGGTAGTTAG